ATATAAATTAATAAAAAAAATAGTATATTTACTAATTATTATTTTTAAATTTATTAATTTAAGTATAAAGAACTAAAAAATTATAATAGCTAGCTATATAGGGCTATATTAGCCTTTTATGCCCGTATTAGCCTTTTGTACCTAACTAAGCTTGCTTAGTTAGCCCCCCCCGGGCTCGAGCCAACGGGTATACTAAAAGACTTGCATAGGCCAAGATTCTGCAACTCCAACAATACCTCCTCGCTCAGCTATTGACCTACGTGCGCCCCTAGGTCCTAAGGTCCTTAGTTTCTTTCCTGAGGTGCCCTAGAGAAGCTAGGAGAGCTTTGGTGCCTGGCAGCGCTATCCTAGTGAGTCGATAGTGGCAGCCGCCTGGCTATTCCTGGTGTTCAAAATCGATAGTTCCTCAACACTACACTAACTAAAAGTCGTTAAGCCCAGCTTCAATATGAAGATTGCAATTTCCCATCTCACGCCTCTTATCTGCTGGGAAGTCGCAAAAGAGAACTCGACTCTCATTTTATTCATTATTCCTTCGGGTGGCTTTTCTGTGTCTCAAAATGATCCCGCTTTGAACCATTGCATTGTCATGTTTGGCCCTGGCCCCTGTGGCTGTCTCGGCTGGCGCATGCAAGCCCAGATCCACCACCGATCTTACAACGGCCGCCTCCTCCACTCTGGAGACCGCGTCTTCCTCCGAAGCCCTACAGTCGACTGTGACCGATCTCACAACCGCGATCACTTCTACAATTGAGACGACTGCATCCTCCATTCTAGAAACAACAGAGGCATCCACCATCGAAACAACCTCCGAAGCCGCAGCCACTACTTCCAGCGCCCCATGCCCAAGCTACACCCAAATCAACCCGCCGCCCAGCGGTAAAGTCTGCGGAAAAGTAGTCACCAGGGGAACTTCTGACTCTTCGCCCCTCTACCTTACATCTCAATTATCAACGACTGGTCTCACTGGATGCGCCAAATACTGTGGAGATACCCCGGGTTGTGTTTCCTTTTATGCAGAAGATTATGTACGTGGTTCAGGTGCGCCGACTTTCAATATCTGCTTCATGTTCAAGGGATATGAGAAGGATATTCCCTTAGGCAGCGGACAAAATGGAGGGTCGGCGTACTATGAACAGGCATGCTTTGCTTGTGTTCGTGATGATGCGCCTCAGCCGCCTATCCCTAGTTAAGAGATGAGGTTAAAGATTTGGAAATACTAGACCCAAGACCTATAATGTAATAAATAGAAGATAGTAGCAATATTTCTCATCTTAAATTAATACATGAATCTATCATTGAACGATTTTTTCACGTGCGTCACCAAGAAAGTGAACAGATCGTCAACTTCTTCTGGGGCTTTGAACCAATGTCCCTCTAATTCTGCTCCCTGATATTCTCTCCACTCAACCGTGAATCCAGCCTGGATAATGACATCTCGCGCCTTTCTTCCCAGTTCAACATCGACATACGCATCATCGGTCCCATGACCAAGAAAGACAGCCGTTGATGGGAGCCTGTCTCGAGATTGAGGAAGTGAGACCTTTGACTGAGCCAGCATCCCAGCGACAAACTCAGTTCCTACATCCGCAGGTGAGTTTGGTTCATGTGACATACATCTCTCGATGGAGGAAGCAAAGGGAAGCCAAGTGTTTGTAGCGAAGAAGGCACCGAGTGGTCTCTCAATGGAGTCCTGACAAAGCAATGTCCATATTCCCACTGCTGCACCTTGGCTAATTCCTCCCAAAACCACCCTTGATGCATCTCCGCCAAGTCTTTCGATCTCCTGGTCCAATATCGTCTTGACGTAGTTGACTGATTCCTTGATGCCCGGCATCTGAAGGTCTTGTCGCGCTGTGATGTCCGTCAAAGAATGGGCCTCAAACCACGCGGGCATGTCCTCTTGGAAAGCCGTACTCCATAGCTCACGCGAGGAAGGAAATACCCATCGCCAACTGGGCAATCTTTGAGGGAGGCTGGATTGATCTGATAGCAAAGTCTCTTCGAAGAGCTCTTGTGCAAACTCTTCGCCGTTGCTCCCCCGACCGTGGAGGAGGATTGCTGTGTGTGTATGTGACTCAACTGGCTCAACTATATGGATAGGGCCAAGTGCCTCACTTTGGCTTTCAGTCGTGTCGGCTTCGTCACTCATTATGGGGATGATGTTGAGGGGAAAATGCAATTCTGTAAGCAATCAGTGGGGACAGCCAATGACTGGTTACAGCCTCTGAACCTCGAACAACAGCCAAGAGCGAAATAACAAAGGCAGCCATAACAAAGAATTCTTCCAATGTAAATGTATTATCTACAAGGACCATTTCATATATACTTAGCTCATGCAGCTGTAAAGTCGTTATTGCTTCCACAACAAGCAAGTCCACTTTATGATCCAACACTACGGAGTATCTTGCTTGGCTAACCTACACCACGAAGGAAGCAAGAGCAGGAACCCCGATTGTTCAAGAGAACTAATCTATATGTGTATAACAAATATGAAATAAGCTGAATCTCTGACAAGGAATTTGAGAACGGATATCTCTACGCTTTGTTACGATTTTGATATACTGATGAACACTCAAAGTTACCCTATGAAACATGACTTGACTCGGATAAGCGCCGTCCCACGGCATTTCACTAGGCATACCACATCGGAACCATTGTTATTTGGCATTTGCCGATCTTGAATTGCGTTGGTGTATGTCGTGCAGTATCGCCCCAAGAAAGTGGTCGCAGCCGTTACCGAAGCCTCAGATCAAGATGAATCTGACGGAAATGCCAAATCGGATTCTGTCAGAGCCCCCCCCCGCAGTGGCGGTTCTCGTTTCCGGGCGACAATTTGGCGGGGTATTTATCCGTCAGTGAGGGGATTTCGCTTTTCCGTCTCTTGGTTCAATGTCATTGACGAATGTGGAGATCCGGATATCCGTTTTCTCAATTCTATATTATATAGCTTCTATTCAATAATTCAACATGAATGGATTCTCTGAGTACGCAAACACTTTCGAAACCATGACTATCAGACACGACTCAAATGCCGTTGAGGCTCACAAGCCTGTTGTGCAGCCCTCGCAGGCGAAGCTGTTCACCCTAGATGAGATGATCAAGCGTCGCGCCATGGAATTGGGAGATACCATCTTGATGGGTGCGCCGGAGACGGGTGTTGATGATTTCAAGGAGCACAGTGCTGTGGATATTGATAGATATGCTGATACGGCTGTTGCGAGACTCCAGAGCTTGGGCCTGGAGCCTGTGGTATGTTCACTTCGGCGAGGTCTATATCAAGGACGAAACTAACTGTACAGGATCCAACTCTTGATAAAGCACCAGTTGTTGGCATGCTGGGCCAATCAGGCATTCACGTCGTGATACAAATCATTGCACTCAACAGATTAGGATACTCTTCGTTTCTCATCTCAACAAGACTTGCAAGTCCAGCCATCACCCAGCTTCTCACTCTGGCAGACTGCAATGTCATTCTCACAACACCACCTTTTCACCCTGTTCTAAAGCAAGTTCAGGAAAACCGACAACTCGAAATTCTTCCACTTCTCCAAAGCGCAGACATCTTCCATCACAACGCACCAAGATTCGTTAGAGATTACAGCCCCGAAGCTGAATCTCGCAAGGTCGCTGTTATTATTCACTCTTCCGGCTCAACAGGTCTCCCTAAGCCAATCTATCTCACCAACTCAAGCTGCATCGGAGCTTTTGCAGTCCACATGAACATGCGAGCATTCCTCACATCGCCATTCTTTCACAGCCATGGTTTCTACGAGGTGTTTCGATCGATTTACTCCGGCAAACCTATCTACTTCACAAACTACGGGTTGCCCTTGACGAGAGAGACCGTCATGGCGCAGCTTAAGGCTACAAAGCCTGAGATCTTCCATTGCGTTCCTTACGTTATCAAGTTGCTTGCTGAGAGCGAGGAGGGTATTCAGATGCTGGCTGATATGAAGCTTGTGCTTTATGCGGGAAGTGGATGTCCTGATGATCTGGGCGATCGATTAGTTGAGCGTGGCGTTAATCTCTGCGGAAATTACGGAGCGTGAGTATCTCTGCCGCTTCACTGGAACCAGCTAACAAGTTTTAGCACCGAGACTGGAAGACTGGCTACCTCAGCTCGTCCTGAAGGTGACAAGGCATGGAATTACATCCGTGTCCTCCCCCCAGCAGAACCTTACACCATCTTTGACGAGGTTGCCCCTGGCTTATTCGAATGCGTAGCTTTAGATGGTCTCCCATCAAAGAGCACTACCAACTCAGATAACCCACCTGGATCATTCCGTACTCGAGATCTCTTCACACAACATCCTTCAAGGCCTAACCTCTGGAAATTTGCTTGTCGTCTCGATGACCGCTTCACTCTCATCAATGGCGAAAAGGTCCTTCCCATTCCCATTGAAGGTCGAATTCGGCAAGAGGAAATCGTCAAGGAAGCCATTGTCTTTGGGGATGGAAGGACATATCCTGGTATTCTGATCGTCAAGGCTGATCGGGTTGCTGACATGCCCGATGATGAGTTCCTCGATGCCATTTGGCCATCCGTTGAAGATGCCAACTCCCGGGCAGAGTCTTTCTCAAGAATTCCCAAAGAGCTGGTCGTCATCGTACCAGCTGAGTCTCCATACCCGCGTACGGATAAGGGTACTTTCATCAGAGTTCCTACATATCGCCAGTTTGAGAAAGAGATCGAGGCTGCTTACAACAGATACGAGGGCCAAGGCGATGAAGCCGGCTCGCTCACGCTCGAGGGTTCAGAGCTAGAAGATTATCTTGTCCAACAATTGAAGAGCAAGTGCGGTGCCGATCTTGAGTCTTCTGAAGCAGATTTCTTTGCCTCAGGTGTTGATAGTCTTCAATGTATTCAGATGTGGAGTCTCATCAAGCGAGAGATCGATCTCGGTGGGAGACAATCGGAGCTGGGGCAGAATGTTTTGTACGAGACTGGCAATGTCAAGTTGCTTGCCCGCCAAATCGAGAGGCTGAGAAGTGGTGCGAGTGATGAGACGCAGGATCAGCTGAAGATCATGGAAGATTTGATCGAGAAGTACTCTACCTTTGAGCGTCATGTACCTGGATCTACCCCTCAACCAGAGAAGGAGCTTGTGGTAAGTTCTACACTTGAAGTTAGCGATATTGAAGCTAATGGCCTAGTTACTCACTGGTGTAACCGGTGCTCTTGGAGCCCACGCCCTTGCTCAACTTACAGCTCGGCCCAACGTTGGAGCAGTCTGGGCTTTGGTCCGAGCAGCCAGCGATACCGCCGCCACCGAAAGACTCTACAGCTCCCTCCAAGCTCGCGGTCTATCCCTCAACGAAGAACAACGCAGCAAAGTCCTCGCTCTACCCTGCGATCTCAGCCGTCCGGACCTCGGCCTCAGCGAATCTCACATCTCTGAGCTCCGCACCAAACTCACAACCATAATCCACAGCGCATGGGCAGTTAACTTCAACATCTCCGTACAATCCTTCGAAGACCAACACATCAAAGCCGTGCACAATCTAATCCAGCTAAGTCTCTCCGTACAGACACCCAAGCCAGCACGATTCTTCTTCTGCTCCTCTGTTTCATCGGCGGGAGGATCACCGCGCCCTGGAAAGGTTCTTGAAGCACAGGTTCCTTCGCCTGCACATGCTCAGCACACTGGCTATGCGAGGTCGAAGTATGTTGCTGAGCATATTACTGGTAATGCTTGTAAGAGCGCTGGTGCGGTAGCGAGAGTTTTGAGATTGGGACAGTTGGTTGGTGATACCAAGGTTGGAGAGTGGAATACGACTGAGGGAATTCCTTTGATGATCCAGACGGCGGTTACGCTTGGTGCCTTGCCATCTTTGAACGAGGTACGTCTCACACATTACTAGTTGAAATGCGAATACTGACATGAACAGGAAATGACATGGCTACCTGTTGATCTGGCCGCTTCAACGATCCTCGACCTCGCCAACCTCGGCGCATCATCACCGTCAGACCGCTCTTCCGACCCCGATCTCGTCTATCACATCCTCAACCCCGTGCGCTTTCACTGGGCAAACGACATGCTTCCCTCCATGACAAAAGCCGGCTTCAAGTTCGAGACCCTCCCTACAGACCAATGGATGGACCGTCTTCGCAACTCAGAGCGCGACCCTGCCAAGAACCCTCCTATCAAGCTACTAGATTGGTTTGAGGGTAAGTATGGTAATAAGGCTGCTTCATCAGCGGAGAAAGGACCATTGGATTACCTGACGGATAAATCGAGGGAGGACAGTGAGACGCTGAGAAATGTGCCACATGTCACGGATGTGGAGTATGTTAAGATGATGCTTGGAAGGTTGCAGGCACGCTGGGCAGAGAAAATTTGAATTCAGCGTTAAAGTTCGTTTGATCGTTAAATACAATGCAAGTTCATGCTTCTAAAAGTGTTCTTTCTAAGTTCTAAAATTCAAGTGCGTGAGTGATTTGATCCGTCGCTGTAAAAGTGTATGCATCCTACTCTATCAACTTTGGTCCTTCAGTCTTCATGGTTTTCCTCGTCCTCCGTCTGAACCTGCTGCTCCGACAACCTCGGGTTTCGGAGGGCAAGTGCAAATATGATCATGGGTATGCAAACGAAGATTCCCGCGATGCAGAGAAGTCTCTGTACGGAACTGTAGCTGCTGATAATCGCTTCTCGGATGGCCGTTCCAACAGGATAGTCCGGTATCACGGCAAATGGCGAGTTATAGATTCTCTTGGCCAGATTATCGTCCGTTTGGAAGTCAAGGTTATGCTCCAGGGCTTTGTAGAGGGTTTGCGTCCAGATAGCGCCTGAGAGACATGTACCTAGGGCGCTGCCGACATTGTAGAAAGAGAGGTAAAGTCCTGTGAGGATAGCAACGTGTTCTCGGGTTGCCGAGGCTTGGATAGATGCCTGAGTTGGATAAGCGAAGAAGCCGCCCGCTACTCCGAGAAGAATCTGCGCCGCGATGATGCCGTCTTGAGACGATGCCGAAGCTCCACCAGGGTATAAAATCAAAACACCAAATGCGACCATGAAAAGCAGTGTGCCTCCAACAATGATGAACTTGAGTCGACGGATCTTAAAAATGACTAGACCAGCTAGAACTCCAGTAATGACTCCGAAGAAAGAGAAGAAAGAAATGATGCGAGTTGCGTTTTCGATAGAAAAGTCAAAGGCGACAATAAGAATCGTGTAGAGGTAGTTTCCTTGCGTACACCATGCTAGGTTAAGAAGACTTCGAACTGCCAGGGCGGACCAGACACCTCTGTCACGGAGCAGATGGAATGGGACAAGAGGATGACGAGCACCGTGTTGTTCCCAAGTGATGAAAGCAATCATGAAACAGAAACCGAGGACCAGAGGGAGGATTATGTACCAGCTGCGCCAATGACTAGCGGTTCCACCAGCGACGGTCAAAGGGGCTAGAATGAGCGAGAAGGCGAGGACAAGAAGCACTAGGCCGATAATATCAAGTTGGTGAAAGAGATCTGCTCTGCCTTTCTTGGTCTTGAGGGAAACCAGGACAATCTCATCGCTCTCCTTTCCGCTTTCAGATTCCCATGTTTTCCTCTCAAGGAAGTAAAGACAGGATAGGAGAGGCAGTGAGGAAATGGGGTAGATGATAGCCCACATTCCAAGACCCCATCTCCAAGTCGTCGTGCTCAATACCGCTGAAGTGATGTTGCCGCTGATCCACGTGTTGATCAAGAATGGTATCGCTGGTAGATAGCTGAAAAAGACGCGCGCTCGCATGGATGAAAAGTCGGCAATAAGGACTTCTAAAAGCAGGACGATGCATGTGTATCCCGTTTGGTAAATAACCGATCCCGTGCAGAAAACCTCGACTGACGGCGCAGTTGACTCGATCGCGATTCCGAGGGTATATAGAACAGTTGAAATGGCAATGACTTCGAACCTGCCAAAGACATCTGCCACCTTGGCCGCCGTAGGTTGAACCGCGACCGCGATAACATTGCGCAAGACATTAATCGTAGAGAGATACGAATGCAGATCAAAACTCGACGTTGCATATGACTGATACGCCAAACGAACCTGACTCTCTAAACCATACGCATACCCAACGAGGAAAATACCCGTAAAGAGCCAGATCCGATGCGCGCGGGTGAGGTTTTTGGACACCACGGCCATGCGCGCCACGCCCGCCGAGAGCCTCTTGGGATTAGCAGGCCTCGCGGCATTTTGCGATACGTCGCTTGAGCTTGGTTCTGGAGCGACCAGAAGCGGCGCTGTTTCTGAGGACATTTTGGGGTTGGCGATGAGGGGGGGAGAGTAAAGAATTTTGAAACAAAGCTGCAGGTTCAGGCAGCGAAGGCAAGTCAAGGGGCAGAGGGAAAAGATCTGAGTCATCTGATTTGATTACGAGTGCATGGGGGGTGACTTGACCTTGTGACAACGCATGACAAAGCCATCTGATAAGATTTCATGTCCAATAGCGGCGGATCTAACCGTGGTCCAAGTGGGGACTTGACGCCATTATCACGAATTTGATGCCTGAGGTTGAAGATCATCAAAAGAGTATTGCCAACGGATGCTGGAAACTATGTGGATATCAACATTGCATACGACTCTACCTTAAGCGCTATCAGGTATCACCAAGCTTAGGACGATTGCGTTGTTGCTGATCTGTTGTGCCCTCTGTCAGATTTTGCTGATGTCACCCAAGCTTATGTCGGGTTGGATTGGAGCTTATCAGATCATGCAGGGCAAAACTCAATCCAGGTACCGAAGTAACGGTATTTGCACCAGTGTAAAGCTTACTTGGGGCCGGTGACAATTAATAGAGGCATATGGACGCATCTTTCCTTCTTTCACGGTCGAATAATGCGACTTTTACCGGAAGCATGTAGGGTATGCAAAACTTGTGACAATTTCATCCACTTAATCCAACCTCAAAGACTGAATGGCTAACTAGGTCTGACCACGATATCAAGCAAAAGAAACTTAACAAGTGCCGAAAAGGGACATCTTCTCCATTGCCCGACGAACCCGCCCGTTGAGAAAGTACAACGGAACAGCGAGAGACCCCAATGCAAAAAGGATACCTCCGAATAAAACATACGTATCCCTGATTCCCACTGCGCTGATCCATGAATTGAAAGAATGGCTGTACCCAAAAGAAATGACATTTCTTCCTCCACAAGTCAGCACGATCGCAGGCCCCGACATATGAGGCAGCAATTCTCCAAGCCAAACTCCCGTCACAGCCGAGATAGCACAGAAGCCAAAGTAGAACAAAGCAAAAGCAGCGTGCATGCCTACCCAACTATAACGCGCTGGGTCTGCAGCCACAACACCGTAGATGATGATACCAAGAAAGCAAAAAATAGCTGGAAGAATGAAGTTGGGAAGCACATGTTCAGGCTCTCGAACGCCGCCATTTCTCTTGGTCAAGTAGCGACTGATTGGCTCCGCTAACTCTCCATAGCCCAGACCAAACAGTGCCCCGATGGCTGCTCCAATTTGCACTGTTCCAACTGTTTCTGGGGAGAAATTCCAAGGTGGCATTTCAAGGCGCTGTGCATAGGTCAAACTGAGGACAACAAGACCACCAAATACCATGCTGTTGAAGAGGAGGACCCAAAGAGTACCTGGCACAAGGATACAAAGAAACATGTCTTTGTATGCGCCAAAGAACCGGGCAACAGGCGATGGTTGGACTGTGAAAAGCGCGAACTGACGCTTATACGAGAGTTCTGTGGGATTCTCTGACTGAGCATCGTCAATGTCGAAGCCAGCGTCGCGGGCGGCTTGCGGCGAAGCAAAGGTTCGATGAGTACCATAGGCGTCCGTTGCGTGAATTCTTCCGCTAAGCTCTACAGCGCGACGGTTGAAAAGAGTCTCGGGGACACAAAAGATGATGAGTGTCATGGCAAATACTGCAAAGGCTAACCAGAACCAATAGTTAAGCCTCCAATTGCCGCTTGCGTTCTCGAAGATAAAAGGGATGGGAACCAGTAGTATAGACGATCCGATGGCGGTTAATGCCCAGTAGGCAATGAGCCGGGCGCTTCGCTTATAGAGGAATGACATGTCGAGGACTATAATCGGTAGCTACCAGTTTTTAGCGTCAGAGAGTATTTGCGAGGGTCAACAGAAGAAGGGAGACATACCAGACAGTCTGAGATACCTGCAGTGAGTCCCTGTAAACAGCGCGCTCCAAGATGAGACTCAAAAGACTGGGACTTGGCAGCCCAGATGATAGATGCCACAAAGATAACGTTGCTCAGAATGAAGGCGAAACGACGACCGAGTGCCATGGACAAGGGAACGAAGAAGAAGTTTCCCAAGCCCATACAGAGAGAATGATAGCTAGCAAGGTCTGCAATACGGTCAGGGTGGAATGTCTAGAGCCCAGTCCATTTGTCAGACATCACTAAGACATTGTAGACTTGGACTTACACCACGCGTCTCCTTCATATATTCAGCAATGAGATTCCCCAAAAAGAGCGGAGTAGACTGAATAACACCGAAACCAGCGATCCCATACATGCAGACGGCTAAGAGAACGAGACGCTGTCGCCAGATCCCAAAGTTGAGAGGATCGTTTGGGTCGCATGATGGAACCGGTAGATTTCGCACATTTCCATCATCGTCGTATAGAAGGACACCGGCACTGATGCTGACAGCATCCTCAACGTTCATGGCCTTGCCGTGACTATCGTCTTTTTCCATGTTGCGCAGTGGAAGAAGACACAGGAATTAACGTGGATGGAAATGAAACAGACCAAATGGTCTGCGAAAGCTGAATTATGGCCGGTTTGAGATAATAGAAGGAGTATCGAGAAAACAAGAGAGGATGCATCGTAATTTAAGCCCCAAGACTCGATGGACGGATCGCAAGGGGTCTCAGGATAGTCTGGGGCCCCGTGAGACTCTAATTAGCACTCCAGGTTTTACCCCGCGGTCTTGACCAGCAGATTTGCTTTCTGTTGACAGCGAAACAGCGTTCGGGCCGAACTGGAATGTGCGGTAGACATCAAGTTAGCTAGCTCAACTTGCCAGCAAGCCCGATGTTCGGCCCGAAAATCATCAACAATCCCTCTTGCCTCAATTTATTCTGGCTCGTGAGCTACGATCTGGAGATGAATTAACGTCAGATTGCCGTGGCCTCATTAGCCGAGGTCTTCCAGTTTGGTTCGTCTCATGTTGACTTTGATAATGGAGGGATCGACGGGAAGAGCGTCTATCCCAATTGGCTCACGGTAGCATCAAGCCAGCAATCTGCAAGCCTCGGATTATATCAAGGTCATACTAGGGGCTTATTTTCTACGTCTAGGATGAATAGATCGATCCTTTGTGTAAGAATCCCTCTCACAACAGGTAGTAATAGTTCCTGTAACAACTGTTTTTCCAAGAAAACTCCCATGCTTGGTAACATATTAATCCATCCCGATTGAGCCTTTGTCAAATGTAAAGGCCGTCTATAGTATACTTAAAACAAGTAAACGACTGGACAAGAAAGACAACCGATCTTAGTGCGGACAGTTCTACTTTTCCGCTTCGTATTATGTGGTATTCAAACTTCAAGCTGCGAACAGTAAACGAAAATGCTAGCTTTAATAAGAAGCTAACTATCCTGAGTATCGTGAGACTCTGGCAATCAGAGTCCGGAAACGGCTGTCTGATGCTATTGATAGATGCGACAATGTTCGATAATAAGCCACCAAATGTTGCCACTCCAGCCATCTACGAATAATCTAATGTTCTGCAGTATGTAAAAGTGGTTACAAATGAGGCTCAGAGGCGACTGTAATACTTTGCAGGAATGTCAAGGTTGATACGTCAAGAATACCAAAGCTGCAAGCCCGTAACCTTGACAGCGTATCTAAAAACAATCCGTCACTCGTATAAGGCGCGTGCTGTAAGCATTGGCTCCCAGATCTACCGAATCAAAATAACACAGCAGAGCCTGAGGCCGGAGAAATTCACTGTTTTGTGAGGGTTCTCTAACCAGTTCAGGGCAGCTGAAAAGCAGGCTGGGGATTGAGGTGAGACAGGTGGAGGCAGTGCATTTTCAGCTTTATCTATAAAACAGCTGACTTTGGCTGTCCTGATCCACAGACCACGATAATTACATGATTTCATCATCCTCTTATCCACGCAGTCGATACTGCAGGGTAAGAAGTGTCAAGCTGTCACCTATCTGAAACCACCGCAGCGCCCTCATCCCATCGATAAGACAAAGCCCTTGAAGCGTGCCACATATAACCGTTGATATCGACTAGGTATATGTTCGTATCTATGCGGAGGTCACTAACGACGGCGTGGCGTCAGGTCAGTCTACGGTACGGAGGCAGAGGCAAGGTCCCCGAGGGTTGAAGCCCCGGTAGCCGACTTACGCGCGCTGGTCTTGCTGGGAGCAGTTTGGCGACAGAGAATAGAATTTACCGGCATGCGCCACTCTCCCGATGCCGAGACAAAGTCTAAACCGTTTCGGCGACTAGATCAGGTCCCCGGTTTTCATTGAGCAATGGCTCCCCGGGTCGGGGATTACATACCCAGGTACAAACCAGACATATTGGCACTGCAGACTGCATTACAGTCCCTAAGGATAGATAGAAGCCCACGCCAACTTGAAATTTGAGAATAGATAATAATGTGAGATGTCAGAACTTCGGCACCCTGATGTTACTTTTTTGGTTCCAGAACATGTTAGGCGACTTTCGGCCAGCGGGATTGAATCCGCTCCGGCTACAACAGCGAAATAACCGTACGCTCGAGTTAAACCCAAATTGCAGAGGGGTCAGACCCATCAGTGGCCCAAGTACAAATCCCGGCAGTGCAGGTCCACATGGCGGCGTTGGGCTGAAAACGCTTCTGCTTGATGGGGTGTAGCGTTCAGTGTAAGGTTATTGCTTGGAACATCGAACGATTTCATCATAATCTCTGTGTTATCAGCAGGGACTCAATGCTTCGTAAAATAGAAAGGGGACGACAGCACGGCAGATGCCATGAATACGTAATCCCGGGGACACGGTACGGGAAACGAGCTGCATTTGGGTGGCCGCCACGGACCTGCATGCATCTTAGTGATCCTTGATAATAAATCCCTGACACCCAGAGTTCTGGGTTCGTCTCGCTGTTCTGTGCCTCCCAGCGACAGAAGCCCAGGATTGCTATCCAGGTTCTCGGGATTCCCAACGTAAGAAGTGCTCGCGCGATTTAGTTAGAGTTCAGGACACAAACAATTGACAAGCAAAGCAAAGACCATGTCTCTCGCACGAGCACAGTGGCATTGAGAGCGGGAAGTGGGCAGATGGAAATGTAACCTCGCCAATCGAATTGGGATGAATTGTCACAGTACGGAAGCACTTCACAGGGGAAATGGTACGGTCCGTACGGAGTACACACAAATTCCCGCTACCTTTTCCGACGGGTCCGCTGACGAAGCAGCGTTAGGCGAACCGGTTCTTGGTGTGAGGCTTGAGCGCTGATCAGGCCTGTTTTCTGGAAGGTGAACTACTCTTGGCTTTGTCGATCCTTGTCGTGCAAGTTAGGGTGATCCTTCGATCGGGTCAACGGGCCCCCGAATGGAAATTGGATGCGCGCAATTGATCGCCCGCGACAGAGCTTGGCTTTCACACAAGAGCACTAGAAAATATGTAGATTATTGTGGAGGAAGATACGGATAATCGAACATATTATTACAACGCAGATAGGTTATTTTTGATCCCGTAGAATGCTCAGTTGACTAGAATTCGACGCAACCTCTGTCTCGTCCGTCCGTGAACCCGTGCCCTTTGAATTCTTCCGAGAGTCGATGTATTCCGTGACAGTAATCTCTTGAGTTCGTAGAATACCTTCCGAAGGCTGACGACTGTGATGCACAGTACCGAGAGCGAATGTTTCTGTCGTAGGATCGTCTCCGAGTGTATCAGTTACTCTCGTATTTTTCCTAGTCCTCATCCCAGTTCCGTTGGATTGCGAATGCGAGTAGACATATCCAGTGCCCTGCTTCTTCTTATTCCAGAATCCATACAACGTCGGTGCATTGACGACGATTGTCGCGGTGAGAAGCTCGGTGCTAGCCCACGTTGTGCGATTGACCTGGCTGTCTTTGTTCATGGCGTTGATCGGCAATCGGATGACGGTGATGGCGACGATGAAGATGCCGAGGGTGAATAGTACATAAAGCTTGAGTTTGCGCCTCCAGGATGTCTTGAGCGAGAAGAATAGCGGGACCGGGACGGCGAGAAGCATCACGTCGGTGACGATGTTGAGAACTCCGACGACGATGAGTTGCAGTTGGGCCTTGGAGCAGGATCCAGGATTGGGAACGACCTGCCAGTACAAATGAAAGGGCACGCACTCGCTGAAAGTCGTGACTTGGACAGCGACGTAAGTGCCGAAGAAAACAAGAAGAAAAGAATACATAATCGGCTTCTGATATCGCAAGTTGAGGAGTAATCGTCGGTAGACATCGAGAAGCACGAGCTTCTGCAACCAAAGGCTGAATAAAAACCGTCAGCACGACTCCCCTTCGAGTCAGTCAGTGAATAAGAAAGACCAACAATGAATTGTAAAAGACTCGATTGGTGATGGCGAATTTACTGCCAATCTCTCGCCGATAAATAATCTCATCCGTAAAAACCATCTTCTCTCGAAGACTCGGTTTAATATTATTCGTCCCCCAAGTAAGAACAACATGAATGAGCGCCAGCCTCACAGCACAGCACAAGATGGCGCCCATGGTGAGGTAATCGCCGAGCACAAACTTCTGCTTGGCGACTTTTCTCCATATCAGCCGCACCCCCATGATCAGGAGTGACAAGCAACTGAAGAACCAGTGGATGAACAGCGTGGGATCCTCCATCGTGTCGATGCTACTGTACACAGGGAAAAAGGAAAAAGAAGCAGCAAGGGAGATTTTCGCAGCGGGGGATGGGGATGGGGATGGGGATGGGGATGGGCGCAGATCACATATCTTTTTATTGTTACTGTGAATTGTCCTTTGATGAAACGCTTCCTGTTACCTGCTTTGCTTCTTTTCAGCGTTCCGCCACTTGAATCCGAGCGGGAACGTTCCCCGTTAATTACGCTTGTTTTTTGGGTGCTATGTTGAGGTGAGTTTACTGACGATATGCTTCTGGACTTGTCAGTTTTAGTGCCTAGCTTGGTTTCTTTGTGGCGTTAGGTTGATTCTTTCATTTTGGGCAATACCAGCGCTAGAACGGGCCGTTTTCCTTCAACGGGGAGAATTAAACTGTTCGTCTACGCTAGCTACGGAATGACATTGCGAGCCGAAGTATTAATAATTTGTTTATTAATGAACATTGTGGACGATGTCAACTGATGCCTTTAGCATATCGCTTGATACCGTCAATCGGGCAATGGGGCCGTTCGTCCCTCATGCGCCATTTTCTTGTTGCAAGGATATCACGCGGGTTCCTGGGATGCGGCGGATGATACGAGCTGCACCTTAGCTACAGCGCCGTAGCAGGGGCCTAAAGTTCTAGAGTTCAGTCTGTCGCATCCGAAATGGAAAACGAGGATGACGATCCTGTCTAGTGTAGCTCACTAGCCGGGAGGCCTTGAACAACCTCAATTCCGCAGTGCAAACCCCCTGCATGATGCAGTATCCGTATATCTGTGACTGTTTCTTTCGTTCTTTTCTTTTTTGTTCTCCTGCATCCGCGCTGCATCTCCTTCCCCATCCATCCAACCATCCATCTTTCTCATCTCATCTGCCCACCATGCGTTTCACCTCCCTCCTAGTCGCTGCTACCGCGACATTCACACAATGTCTCGCTGCAAGCTACGGCAGCCAGGGTGAAGTTCCTGCTATTCGCACGTACTTCATGGTCGGTGGAGGTTATGTTGATGATGGTGCAGGCGGAGAGATCTTCCGTGATCAGATGTACGTCGAGAGACTGGTCCCTACCAAGGGACCTTACAAGTCTACGCCTCTCGTATTCATCCACGGACAGGCCCAGACAGGAACCGTAAGTCTCCCCTTCGTCGATGTGACGAAACAGCCCCGGCTGACACACAGACATAGAACTTCCTAAACAAGCCTGACGGAGGCCGTGGTTGGGCGAGCCAGTTCATCAACCAGGGCTACGAAGTTTATATCGTCGATCAGACCTTCCGAGGACGATCGGCATGGGCGCCGCTCGCCGGTGCTACCAAGCCCTCCACGTACTCGGCAGAGATCATCGAGCAGCGCTTCACTGCCGTGCAGGACTTCAACCTGTGGCCCCAAGCTGAGAAGCACACCCAGTGGCCTGGTACCGGCAAGCGAGGAGACCCTGTCTTTGACACCTTCTATGCTTCCAACGTCCAGTTCATCAACAATGCCACCTACCAACAGGAGACCGTCCAGGCTGCTGGTGCTGCCCTTCTTGACAAGATTGGCAAGCCTGTTATCCTCCTTGGTCACAGCCAAGGTGGTATGATGCCCATTCTAGTCGCTGATGCCCGCCCCAAGCTCACCAAGGGCTTGATCCTTCTTGAGCCCTCTGGTCCTCCCTTCCGAGACGCCGTCTTCAGCACCAAAGCTTCTCGCGCCTACGGTCTGACTGACATCCCCCTCGTCTACAGCCCTGCCGTCACCGACCCCTCCACCGATCTCGTCCAAGAGGTCCAGCCCAGCCGTGGTGAGGACTTTGTCGAGTGTATCCTCCAAGCTAAGAAGCCCGCCCCTCGCCGTCTCGTCAACCTTGCCAAGAAGCCTATCCTCCTCCTCACCTCTGAGGCTTCTTATCACATGCCCTATGACTACTGCATTGCTCGCTACCTGAAGCAAGCTGGTTGCTCCAAGACAAAGCACATTGAGCTTGGTGAGGTTGGCATCCATGGTAATGGACACATGATGTTCATGGAGAAGAACAGTGATCAGATCCAGGCTCTTGTTGAGCGCTGGGTGCGATCAACATAATTTGGCTACTCTTTTAGCCCTCTTGTCGCTTCTCAGTAAACGATCTTTGCTGATGAGCGAGACCTTCGATGTTGCGCACGACTGTTATTGAGTTCAGCGGCTGTTCAAGACTGGGAGGATAATAGATCAAAGATACTCGTCGCCGACGATCCATATATATAGAATTAATTATAACTTTAATGCCATACCAAAACCGTCACAACAACAATCGCTAAAAATGCTGCAAAAGAACAAAGCATGTGGCCTCGTTTCAGTGAATAGACTCTCAATGATCAACTCCAGATATCCATACCTCTCGAAAAGGGGTTGATAATTATGATGATCTTTTACAATCCCAAGATTCCCAGCTCAATGCGCCTCATTCGACACATATTGTTTACGCTTAGTCTGATGGATCTTCCGTGCAAGTCGGACTCATAATCGATGGTTCTACCTATATCTAGAGGCAGTTGAGGTTAGCTTACGACCCGACTATCATTGTATAACAAATGCATAACATACCTTGGTTTCTTGTGTCGCATATTCTGAGGATTATCCCCAATCTTTGGTACCTTGATCCGCTGAACAGCCACAACCACGATATCTTCGCTAACATGGTTTCTCCCATTCGAGTCTAGGAAGAACTTGATCCCTAGCGTGTGACTCTCTTTGCTCTGAAGGTCCAGCTCAACAAAGTGTTCGCCATCGCAGAACCCCCACTTCTGACTCTCGGATTCTTGAGCCACGAACTGTAGACCAGTCAACACGCCGATTTCGTTAACCCATACACGAAGAGCCTTCAAGTAACCGCCGTAAACGTGCCATTTGTCTGGCTCATAGTGGGGTATATCTTCGATCTCTTGTTCGAAAGAACCTCCATGTATACAAGCGCACCGGTCCTGCTTCTTGACGCCTTTTTCGTGCTCTGGTGAGTCTATGGGGAACGGTCCGAAGAACATTGGTTCATGGGCCTCTGCGTACTCGAAAGCCATTGAAGTCATCATGAGCAGCTTCGTCGTCGTGCTATGACACATCGTGATAGAGACAGTTTCGAGTGGTTTTGAGCAGTCGAGCCACGTCACAACTGCCTGTGGACTTGGCACGCCGACGCCGGGGTAGCGCAGTCTTTCGATCCATCTTGTCATGCCATGGATCTGCCCAGCTCCCTCGATTGGGAATCTTGTCTGTGGACGCTCGGGGACCCAGTAATGACCCAGAATGTTATCCTTATCCTTATCCTCGCGCTCTTCTCCTAGATTCACGGAACTAAAATCGAGCGTCAATACGCCAAAGGACGTCAGTGAGCTGTTTCGGTCGTCAGACCATCGGCAATTGAAACCCTCGATAGACTGCATGTTTAAGCCTTCTTTGGCAAGGCCTATCTCGTCTGGTCCAGGTCTTCCAACGATGAAATGCTGTGTTTTATCCGTTACCAAGCGTATGCCCTCAATTTTGTCTTTGCCCGTGATGTAGCATTTCGTGATTCGCTCATCGCTATCCATGAAGAAGTAGTGCATGGCAGTGGCAACGCCGATAGATCGCCGAACTGTTTTTGTCTTGTCCTTGTATTGAAAGAGGACTTCGAACCCACGAAACTGAGCATCCACCCCAAGAATGAATTTGTAGTCCCAGTCATCACCGCGCGGCTTGGTGAGCATCAGTGTCTCTACAGGCGTTGGCATCAAGGGATCCAGTCGAACTGGGTAAGTAGGCCAGATTTCGGGGCGAAGAGGGATCCAGCCTCTCCAGAGGAAGTTTGCGATTCTAGGATCGGGTCGAAACATCTTTGTCACTTCCAGTCCGTCTAGGTCATCGGGGTATTCCACCCCGATCCGGCAATAGGCAGACCGAGGTACCTTTTCTTGAGGCTGTTGCAGAAGAACCAGGCTTTCCACTCCTTTCCCCGTATTCCATGAAGCGCCAATGCCAACCACAGTATGCCACGGCTTGGGAACGAGAACTCGGACGTCTCCCACAGGTTCACCGAACGAAATGAAGTCGTCGTATAGGAACGCAAACTTAATCCCTACAATCACCCGTCGCCAGACCAAGGGTATCTGTACAGGCACTTCCTTCGTTACGATGAAAATTCCTGCTAGCCAGTTATCTGAGGGGATCTGTGCATCTTGAGTCCTGTGGAATGGAGCCACTGATCCTAAGGTCCTGGCCGTGTTTGTGTTGGGATCGTAAACTCCAATACCAGCAAGTCTCTTTCTGGCACTCCAATAGACCCTAATCACAGGCTCGGCTTTCTCGAGGTCTTTCATCTCCTTGATGAGACTGACGCTGCCATAGACTTTTTTGGAGTGTCGTTTGGTGTAGCCTGGGAATGTCAACAGTGGCATGGGACTCGCGATCGCGCCCCGGAGAATCTTATCAGCCTGCTTGGTATGTTTAATGAAAGGCCACTGCCCCCTCGTCTCCGCCTCCATCTTGTTCGCCGACTGGCCGCGTGTCGAGCACTCCTCCAAAATTCGAGTACATACACCCCAGATTCGACACCGATTCTGGAGATGCATCCTGACTGGAAGTGAGAAGTCTCCCTCCTTTAGGCGGCCATTGCCGAGAGCGACGAGATTCTGGTAGTATAGGGCCATATCCATTGACAGCTTGTGCGAGCGGAGCGCAAGAATGTACTTTGCCCATGGCATATCATCGTAGATTCTTGTAGGAGTCAACCTTTCGCCATTGAGTATGTGCGGAGTACCTGACCCAGATCTTCGCGAGTTTCTTTTAAGCTCGCGCCCCACAAACTTGGGATCATCAGAAATGCGGTTTGGTGATGCGAACGAGAAATCATAGACGGTGCCGACCACAGTGTGTCTTGGGTTGTCATATTCGAACGCCAGTTTACTGCGATAGGCGCTGTCAACACGAGGGCAGTGGCTTTCAAGGGTGTCATAAAGAGCTGAGAGATCGACGTCTCGCGGTTCATAAGCGTCCGCTAGCACCTTGTAGCAATCGACGTGAAATGGCGCTGCAAATGCCTGAGGCCCTTCGCAGTCGTACCTAAGTGTGAGTAAGCATCAACTGTAAGCCAGTGATAGTAATGAGATACTTACACTGTTACGAGTCGGGAGTCGAATGCTTCGCCATGATTAGCAACTTCATCATCATCACTGACATCAAAGATGTAGTCCCGATGATGCCGTGCTTTCTCAATTATAAAAGTCCTACTAGTATTAGACCAGCAGAAATCATCGGAGGTTATAACTCTGGCTCTTACTCTTGTGTTTCGGGGTCTCGAGCAATGATCATAAATTCCCCCATCCACGCTTTATCGATATCGTGTCCCGAGTCTCTGCCATGGCCGACATCACGCAAGGGGAATTGATTTTGCCGATGTTTGTCATATATGGACGCATAGCACAATGCGCATTGGATAATGCACCGGCCCATGATACGTGATGTATTGAGATTGAGGGTGTGAAGTTGTGATGACCAGCATTATTGCTTACCATTATATTTCTCAGGGGGCAGCAAAGTGTAAATAAATTGCCAGGGAGACTGTTTATGGCTAGTGGCAGGGGGACCGCTATGCCTTTTAGGGCGACAATTTCTAGGGATACGATCCACAAATTTTCAGTGAACGTGCATGATGTGACTAGGGATGATGCGACACTGAGGACAAGACGCGGCTTTGCGAGCAACGCCAATTTTCACGACAATCAGTTTGGAAGAACGTTCGAGTTTTGTAAAGACTTGAGAGGAAGATAGGTTGATGACAGAAGGTGTGATACGTGCGTGGCAGTGATCAGTTCGCGCCCGGGTATATCTAGCTCAATGAACTGGATTCCCAAGTAGCCGACGTCGGCATCTAATAATAACAAATGTCTGGCTTCTCTTAAGCATAGTATTACAAGGTAAAAGATACTTATTTGGCTTACCCGTCACCAACTCCGTAAAGACTAGTGTAAAACTCCCCCTCCCCCTACCCCTCTTCCGTCATCCTCTCATATCAAATGCTAGTCTTCAGCAAAGTAAATGCCGAAAGAGGCCAGCTTGGCGTCAGGAGAATCGCGATCTGACCATTGGCAGAATATCCCAGTCAGCCAACCCCTTCCCTCATCTTCTTCTCTCGGATACGCTATCTCATCTTTACCAGGCTTTCCGGCCGCGATCACTTGACCCTGGGTGCTGAAAAAACGTAAACCGACGGGGATGTTGTGCTTCATGGTCACATAGCATTTGATGATCCTGTCAGGGACGGCCAATGACTTGTCGAAGTATAGGTACTGCATGGCCGTGCTCCGGGGACCAATGCAATGACTCCATTTTCGTCCATTTTCTTCCAAGTGAATCTCGAAACGCTGCATATCAGCGTCGACCCCGAAACGAACGGCATTCTTCAGATCGCTATCACGGGCGGCAAGGGTCAGAGTCTCCGTGGAAGAGGCTTCGATGGGAGACTTGTTCCTCAGCTCTTTCGGCTCACAGGGCCAAGGCATGCTACCTTTTATAGGCCTTCTGAAGAAGTCCATGGAGGGCATGCTCGCAGGTACTGAGCTGGCCGTCCTGGATCTTGTGGCTTCGGGTGAGGAGGTTGCCTCGGGCTTTTGTACGCTGCGCTGTTGGGAGTGAGGCAAATACTCCGCTACGATCTTCGAGCATAATTCCCAAAGGCGACGACGATTGTGCAAGCCCCGCAGTGTATCTCGATATTCGGGAGCATTGAACCCCCGACCACCGCCTAGGTCAAAGATGGCCTTGCAAAACAAGAACCTATCAACGTGGCGCCGCTCGATCTCGTCCTTAGACGGGAGAAACTCGCGTATCCAGGCGAATTCCCTGATAAACTTGTTTTCCCATTCCGTGTCAGGAATATCCCTGTGCACGGAATATCGGCTTAGCCCCGCCTGCCGGTTCTGCCTGTCTCGTTTGTTTCGTTGCGGGCCTTGGTGGGTTTCATATTGCGACCTTGTTCTCTGCTGACTGTGATACGGAGCGGCTCTGTAGGACTGATATGGCCCAGTCGAGGCGTTTTGGGAACGATCTCGACTAGAAGATGGCCCAGTTGGGACGTTAGAGGCTGGTCGATTATTTTGTACATTCGACCTGTTAGCTTTCCTTAGAACGTGCTCAACAATGGAGGTTACGTTCTCGGTGGAAATTGGTGATGCGATAGCGTACTCTATCCCTGGGGCAGTACCCCACTCATCGCTCTGATATCTTTTCACTTTGCCATAGTTAAAGTCCAGTGCATTCGGTGGTCCGTAGGACCTTGGGAGATGAGATGTTAGAACTCGATAAAGGGCCGCGTTGTCAATCTTTAGCGGCTTGACAACCTTTCCGAGAAGTTCGTAGCAGTCTACATGAAAAGGAAACACTAAGGGGTCTTGACCTCCGATATCATATCTCCTGAAGTCAGCACAATGATAGCTGTCTGTGTGCATGAAACTTACACCGTCATCATGTTCATATCTTTTCGAACTATCCTAGCGTTCTCCTCGAAATCGACGTTAAAATCGTTCGCTTCCTCCTGCTCAGCACGAGGCACAATAAAGACCCTAGGCTCATTAGATGATAGATACTTACGGGATGGCGCCAGGGTTGTTTACCTTCCTGACTTGGGGTGCTGCGTGATAAGCCTGACATTGTCCAACCAGTCACTGTCGTCATCAGAATCGAGGCTAGGTTCAGACAAATAATCAGTAAATGGCTCGGCTGAGTGACTAGATGTTGGACCGCCGCAGATGGCGCAGTAAATAGACGTCGAATATCCGGACATGATGGCGATGAGGGGAAGAGGAGGTGGTCCCTATGGCGTGAACTTAAAATAGGTTGGTGGCTTTAATAAGACGCGAAAGTCATAACACGCACTACAAAGTCCTGATCGGGTAGTCAGAAATGATTGAGCACTACTGTTAGCGTCTCACCGGCAAGCACCAGCTTTCAATCAACGCAATTACATGCTTTTTCTGTCTGGTACCCCCTACCCCAACCAAGTCCCAGACACTGACAAAAAGCAATTCCCTTCTGTGAGATGGGTACATTAAACACGGGTTGTCAGACACAAAATTGTATGGTTGCGTATCCAGGAGCAAGAAATCACAGCGCGTCTTACTAATCGTATAGACTGGCGTGAAGTGATTTGTTCCGGTGCACCCGAAAGTTTGATATCTTGGCTATCCAAGCCCTTTGGGGCTGCAGAGTGAGCATTTTTGTCGCCTAGGCATTTGGCATTGGTGGGATTGCTCACAGCCCTGCAATTTAACAATGAACTAGATAGAGAAATGAGCCATGATGATGACGGGAGCAACATGCAACATGAGCTCGGTGTAAATATAACCCGGTGTATTATTTCGCGACAAGGATTACTGGTTGGTTCATGGTCAGAACTGTCACCTCCCTTCAATACCAAAGATGGACAGATCAATCGTCGAGGCCAAGTTCGACAGCCTTGTCGAAGCAGGACTAGTGTTTTATGACCAAGGACAAAAGCTCATTGAGTATTTGGATGAAGGATTGAAGGTATTACTCTATCGACTGCCCAGCCTCGCGTCATACTGACAATTTTGACCGCAGTTTCAGTTCCTTCTCACTTCCGCTCTGGCGAAGAAACCCACCATTGAAACAGCTGGAGCACAAAACCAGCACGACAACGACCCGTCCCAGCCGAAGCGAGACGGGAGTGACATTAACACCGCAGGTTATGAGATCTGTGACGTTGGCAGCACGCATGTCCTGGTTGCCAATAAATTCTGCTTCGCTAGGCCTCACTTGATGCTCCTGACTTCAGACGGTCACCAAAGGCAATACGAGGCTCTAAACAGAGACGATTTGACAGCAGCATGGAGTGTTTTGAGCACCATGGGTGACGACTATGTTGCGTTCTTCAACTGTGGCCGAGATGGAGGATGCAGTCGACTGCACAAGCACATGCAGCTGATTCCCATGCCAAACTATAACTTTGCGTCTTTTCTCAATTCCGATGATACCGAAGAGCCTGGGGTTCCATTTCGATGGTTTTTTCATCGCTTCGGACACTCGAAGCCCGGCGTAGACGACCTGGTCACCATTTACAACGACCTTGTTAGAAAGGCCACAGAAGCTGGCCAAGGACAATCTGAAAATGCCAATAACGCACCCCCAGACGCTGCAGTCCCGCACAATTTCTTGCTTACACAGAGATGGATGATGTTACCCCCCAGGCGAAGAGCGGCTGTCAACGGAGAGGCTGGGGCGAATGCTATTGGGATGATGGGCGTCATCGCTGTTGCAACACGAGACGAGATCGAGAGCTGGCTCAGAATTGGACCAGCTACAGCCCTCGCAGAGCTTGGGTTTCCAAAGTAAAAGGTCTTCAGTATAGCAGAAGAGGCACTTTTGTAATTAGATTTAGAGTTTCCTGTTATCGTTACCACTTATATCGTTCCCGTCACTTAGCTTCCCTCGCCAGCAAACCACTCCCAGCCCCTTCATCAGCACTGACACTCACGTAGCTCCCCGAAGTCGTCGTGGCCTTCCTCTCATTCAGAAACCCATTCTTCTCAACAACTTGAACAAGACCTCCAATACATCCTTGACACGTCTGCATCTGCGACGTAGACAACATGGTTCCGGCAATCCAGTTATAAATCACCCACGCCGCTTGCAGAAACACGAGATCTGCTAGAAGGATAGCTAAAAGCATAACACCTGGATTCTTACTCTGCGGCACAGAACAGAGATACTGCGAGACTATCGTAGCGTTTTTACTGCCCAGCGGTCCCATTTTACTGGCAAACATATCGTAAGTTTCGTTCAGAAGAACAAGGTTCTTATCTGTTGGTGGAAGTGATGTTCCTGGCTTTGGAATTTGCGCATAGCGCGTAGCTTGGCCTGTTAATGATGAGTCGTTCAGAAATGACCCATTTTTGCGATTCGGGTCATCTGGTGGAAGGATGGCGTATTGAAGGTTCTTCTCATCCAGAAGTAGGTTAGGAGCGTTCTTGTTTCCTAGGTCAACGGCGATGAGAGAGTGAAGAATCCGTGTGTAGTGAAGACTTTCCCAAACAACTGGGACAAATTGGTTCTATGGTATGTTAGTATAAGAAGTCAGTTTGTCAATATCGACATACCTTTGGGTCTGTCTTGATAAAAGAGGTGTCGTTGAGAGCTGCGGGTCATAAGTATAAGAAATGTTTAGTAGGGAGAAGAAACTCACGTTCGTTTTGTATGAACCCATCGGAGGAAAGAAACCATCCAGCGAGGTTGAATAGCTTGGGATCCCGAATGCTGAGTCTCGTTACAATATGAATATAACATTCTTGGGGACTTGCTTACTCCTTAATAGTCGGATTCGTCGTGAACGTGATCCCTCCCGTCATCCAATATGAATCATCTCCCAGATCTTGGGTCTGCGACATAGTTGACAGAATGCCGGTAAAATAAATGTTCAGCAATCTCGTTCCCCACCAGGTACTTGCATGAGTCTTATAGTCATCTTCAATAACATAATTATATATATGATCACTCTGACCAGTGTATTCAACACCAAGAGTGATGTTAACTAGGCCTTCACTAGTCATGACATTGCAAGAGGCTGTAGCATCAGTGAAAGTCGTGATCCAAGAAAGCCACCAGCTATTTGACGCTCTGGCGTCTGATTTCCGGAGATTAATGTCGACTTTTGTGAGGTAGCAATTTTCAAGAGTATTGTTCAAGTAAGCAATTGAAGGATATGTCTTTCGAAAGTCTGAGTCATTGTCTGATGAGGTCAGAGCCTTGACGGAATATTGGAAGCCTAGGTTGGTGGAGAAAACCCGATCACCAACAGATAGTATCTTGGGTTGGCATTTGACCTTCATGTTATTGTCCCAGTTCAAAGGTGCTTTCATAAACCATCTGCATACGCCTGTTAGAATGCCACCTGGAGCAGGAGTATTTAGTTCTTACCGAATTGATTGAGTTGTTGTGCCATTAGGATCATCAGTGAAGATCGGCTTCAGGTAAAACGCACTCGACGCTAGATTAATGATTGTAAACAGTACCACCAATATCAAACCGCCCCCAATAGCCACTGGAGTAAACCATCGGAACGGATACGGTCTAGTGATGGGATATGAGAACCACGAAGAATGCATCGTGGCAGTTAGGCAACTCTGCCCTGGTAATTCTGATGCCCAGAAATCAGGAAATGTGGGCATTTATCTACCTCAAACCCAGTCCAACCATCGTAACATGAAGGATCATGATCCCTGCGATGGCTGACTTCGGAGGTGCAAGGTAAGCCTTTGAGGCTCGGCAATCTCCACATCCGATTGGACAAGACGAGCCAAATTTAGCACGAGAAGTCCTCGCGTCGCACTTTGGCCAACTGCTCAGCCTTCTTTTGCTGCATTCCTCCTGCAGCTAAGATTGATTAGCGTTTCATTGCTACTTGCTATCAACTGTTTAGTAAAGCTTGACATGCTCTCAGTTTTTCTTGGGCCAAGGACTTCCTTAGCATTTTTTTCTGTAGTTACCACGAAATGACTGCGGAGATAAGAAGCACAGCCACAGGATAACCGCAACAACGAACGCCTTTATAATATTTTCCAAATAACTTATTGAATCTTTATATCCAGAGCTAATGATTCAAAACTGTTAGATATCTAAGCCGTAAATCTTTCTTAGGGTTGCCTTAAAGCTTCATACTACTAAAATGCTTTGAAAATGCTACTTCATATATGTTGCTGTCCTACTTGATTATTGATCATAACACGAGCTATATCAGCAGGTTTCTTTCCCTTCGATGCTCAAGGTTGATTGAAGACTCCCTCGCCGCTTCAATCCCAGCCATCCAGAGACCTCAACGATGTAGACATTGACCAACTATGAGTTAGGTTCCACGTTAATATTCTGCTGTGTTTAACCAGAAAACCCCACTGTCATAAATCCGTCATCTACCCTGTTGTCTGTAGGGATTTCTCTTATATTAGATACTTACTACTGTAAAACAAGACTTAGCTATCCTCATTTACTCACGTTTACAGCTCTGAGATTCGATAAATGCCCAGGAGGTATCGTCACTGCTTTTGACTACTTCACGCGCACATGAAGCCTTAGCGTTTTACTCGGAATATTGTATATTGCTATGTTGAGCCAACTTAACTATAAGTAAGCCCGAACTTATTCCCTATGGTCCCCAATTTCAAATCATGCAAACGCCTCCTAGCATACTAACTTAGAATATGATGTCTTACATGCAACGTCCATACTGATCCATCCACTTGATCTCCGCATTAGGTGAAGAGTCAACCAGTCTCCAGCAAACAACCGTGTATCCAACTCGCTCAATAACACTAAAGTCCGGCTTCATACATTGGAAGATGTACGCAGGGGTAGTAGTGATCTTCAACTCCTGAGGCTCTTGCTCATCAAACATGTGAACCAGACCAAAGCCGCTCTGACCCCGAGCAACAAAGTCACTTTGCACAGCAACGACCTGAAGACAAAGGGATTCCGGGTGGTTGTACCAATCCGCTTCATCCAAGATGCCCCAGTGATTGCAGGGCTGCCCAAGCTCACAGTCCTGTGGAATCGAATGGTAAATCATAAAGTTTCTAGCAACCGGGAAGTGAGCAGCTTGCTGAACTTTGCCAATGAAGGTGCGAGAAAAGGCTTGCCGGATTACAGGCTTCTCCTTGACTGCAGCATATCTTGGGTCGGCCTTAAGATATGCCTTGCTGAGGCGTGGGGTCTCGTCATAGGTTCCATCGGGAAGAAGGCGACGGGGTGCTCGAGTTGCATCCCAGTCACTGATAAGCGCCTCATCACGGTCGACGAGTCGTCCTAGGTTGGAAATGGTACGGGCAGCTTTAGCAGAATCCATTAGTATTGATGGGATTTCGCAAGGTGAAGTAAACTGAGAAGTTGATTATTTCTGAGAATGGCTGCTATTGGTGAAAAGAGAGCTCTGTCGCAAGATTGCTAAAGGTTGGTCGTAGGTATAAGAGGTATAGCAACTCTTGTAGTCAACGTCGTAATTGCTTTGTTGTTGTGAGCTGATGAGGAATGAAGTGCATCTCTGGGGGACGGACTACCTACTTATAGAAATAGAGGATGTGATGTTCTGAAGCAAATAATGAACAGCCTGCTGTTCATGAGTAAGCGATGGACGGGGTTATCTAGAACCGTATTAATGTTGAGGGGCTGAAGGCATATGTTCAGCTGCACATGCAATTCCACTCGCTCTGATCATTAATTATCTCTGTTTAGGCTGTTTAACTGACTGGTTTGAGATAAACCTTGGTAAACCGCGAACAAAAGCAGAAAGACGGATACTTCTCTACATACCGTTTCAAACAAAGCTCAGTTCCAATGTCTGGGATCTCAAAATCATACCTTGAACAAGGATCTAAATCGGTCCAGCTGCGAAAGAACAGGGGACTAGTAACTGTGGCGGTTACTGTAAGTGATTGTGGTATTTCCAAGTATTTACTATAGAGTGGTTACCAGGCGTTCTTATGTATATAACAGTGACTGACACTGATAGGACGGAAATCATAGATCACAGGGGTCATAATACATTTAGACTCTTATTAGAACTTGATTACTACTTAAGTTTTAGAACGCAGTATACCATTTTCCAAGGCATGTTAGTGCTTCTTGGAATTCCGAGCTATATTAACTAATCTTAACCCTTATATTTGAAGACATGGGCGGGCATAGAGTAGGCATCTACAGCAAACCAATGGAGATACCACTTGTTAACGAGGTAGATGAGGCTCAATATCACCGCTTTGAGTCTGATGTAGCCGCTCCCTCCAATGCCAGATTACATTTTCTTGTACTACTTGGAAGAGGCAAAACAAAAAACTGGTCGTCGTGATAGCCTTGCAGCACACGCAGAAGATATCTTCCGCCCTCGCCTACCTAGGAAGCTGGGATCTAGCATCTTCACGAGCAGCCCTAGTCATGCCTCTGGAATTGCGTATGACTGGGGCGTGCATATAGTCGAACGACCGAGCGGTTGGGCTAAGAGCATGCTTGGTATATTGAGCGCACTAATATGCATTGCTATGTTTGCTATTATCTGGCGGTGTGCTGATTTCGATAAAGCGATTGGTACAGGCCAATACACAACCGAAGTTCTAGTAATTATAAATGCAGCAGTCTACTTTGCCTTCCAGGATTATACCAGTCTCTTATCACGACGAGAGTAATTATCTGTTATCTAGATAATAATATATAGTTAACTAGCTGGTTTCGTATTTATTATGAAAGTGAAAGTTATATAATTCAATAATCATTAGAATTAGAATCATAATTATTTAATGTTCAATAAGGTTGGCTTACCGGTTTAACAGTTTTTACACTGCGTGACAGTCGGCACTCGGCAGCTTATCAGAGTTCTGGGTATACACATTACCGTGAGTTAGTTTGTCATCTGCCACGTAATCTTATCAATGAAAAGGTCCAAAGGTTATTTTTGTTTTTCTCTCCCAGCCTCCTCACCTTTTTTTGTACGTTGGTGGTGTTTCTCGGGCGACCATCTCCGAGCTTCCGCCGGCACTGGTAAGCATCAAAACATCTCACCAACAACGTAATTCAACGCAGCAAGTCGCCATGGCATTGCGCGGGCACCTCAAAAGTCTCCCGTATTTAGTACCCAGGCTGGCAACCTACTCTGTGCGTTCACGATCAGCCATTCCGAGATATCCGATTCCGGTGACGCGGAAGTCGTCTACTCAAGCTGTGCCGATACCAGGTCGATATACACATGAAACTATCGAAGATCCGCTGACATTTCCATCAACTGCATATGATTTAATTGACCAGAACGTCAAAGTCGAGGAGGAGGAAATACCTGGCTATGAAGCTTCGCGATTTTATCCCGTCCACATTGGAGAAGTTTTCCAAGGCCGGTATCAAGCAGTGACGAAGCTCGGCTATGGGAGTTCATCAACAATATGGCTCGCTAGAGACTTGCGGTAAGTGATTCTCAGGCGAAGCAATTGTTCACCTTCAACTCATCGTCAGGTGCAGGGGCAGCAAATATGTTGCCCTCAAGGTCTACGTTCATACCTCACGCAATCACCGAGAAATCCCCGTGTACGACAGCCTGTCACCGATACTCGCGAAATCGACCAATCCAGGGCGGGACAATATCAGACACCTGTTGGATTCTTTCGAGATCAGTGGTCAGGATGGCCGCCATAAGGTTCTGGTGATGCAGCCCGCTCAGATGAGCCTCCGTGATTTCAAACAAGTCTTTAGACCAGATGGAGGATTCGATGAGAACTTTGTGAGAGGAGCCATCCAGGAGCTACTCAAGGCCCTTGAATTTATCCATGAAGAAGCACACTTAGTACACACAGGTCAGTCCTAATTCTTCTTTGGAACTTCCATCGTTGACACTTTCGAAAGATATACACCCAGGAAATCTGCTGCTCGGTCTAGGTGACGACTCCCAGCTTGAACCATTGGTAGATATAGAGCTCAAGTCACCTGTCTCTCGGAAAAAGGTCGCCGAGGACAGAACTATATATCTCTCACGCTTGATGCGCCCAAAGCCAGGCCCCATGCTCTTATCGGATTTTGGTGAAGCCAGGACTGGATCTGGACCCTTTGCAGGCGACATCATGCCGATCCAGTATCGCGCGCCCGAGGTTATCATGTGCATAGCCTGGAACCGCCCAGTAGATATCTGGAGCGTTGGTCTAACAGTATGGGATCTTCTTGGTCCGAATCGATTATTCACAGCGAAAGATGAAGATGGAGACATGTACGACGCAGCACACCTTGCAGAGCTTATAGCGACACTTGGCCCGCCACCGCAGGAATTTCTGCAACGCAATGTCGAGAGAGCGGCTGAATTTTGGGACGAACAAGGTATGTCTGATAACTTAACATTATCTATACTTCACGCGGCTGCTGACGCGTTGTAACAGGCAAGTGGCTTGGATTGGCACCTATTCCGAAAAACCGCTCACTAGAAGAGCTTGAGACACGGCTCAAAGATAGCACGGGCTTCATTGCATTTCTGCGACGTGTTTTGACGTGGATGCCTGAGGATAGACCTACTGCGAAGGAATTGCTACAAGATCCATGGCTCACGGGAGAGAGCAGGAGCACATAGGGCGCTAAGTTCTGTCTGCTGATTTAAGCTCTCAGCCACAAGCCTCAACTGTAAATAACACATCTAGCTTCAACTGTACACATCTAGCTAACAACTTAGACATTATACCATAATGACTGACCAATTGGTGCTGTATTGTCGTGTACTCAACGTGATGGTCGTTGGAGCGGTCAATTGAAGCTTGTACCCTACCAAGCACTGAGGGAACGAAAAAAGTCTCAATGTACCAATATTCGAATAAAACACTCAAACTAGAACATTCTCACCAAGCCTTGCCAGAAATCGACTTCTTCTTTGTAGCCCCTCTAAGCCTGCCAAAGAAATTCCCTCCCATAACCGACGTCCTTGCCACAGTCTCATCCCTCTCCCTATGCTCCTCACACTTCCTCGGTGCCAATCTTCCCTGACTCTCCCAATAAAACCTCGACACATCAAACTCATGATGCGTCCCCGGCGCCACGCAAATGACTTTCTCCTTCGTAGCTTCTAACTGAGGCCAACAAGCATCACACCAATTACAGCCCGGAAATTCTTCTGACTTGTTAGCGTTGGTGACTTGGATGATCTTCCCGCAGAGTTTGTTGGAGCAACATGCTGTGGAGTCAATGGTAGGCCACCATTCACGGAAAGACGCCTTTTCAGATGATATCATGGATGCTTTGCTCTTGAGCTCGAGTTGGGTGCAGATTTCATTGCAGACATGTGTTGCGAAGAAGAATTTGAAACCTTCTCTTCCGAGGTTTGTATCTGCGAGTTTGAAGCGTTCTGGGTCGAGGGTGTGAATGGCTGGGTCTGTGAGGACGTGGCCTACGCCTTGGAGATCGCAAACAAGAAAGCTTCCCCATGATCGTTCGTAGGTGAAGTGTGAGAAAGCCTGTGCGGCTTTGTTGAATTCATCGTCTGGGTTGTCTTCGTTGACGTAGCTGCAGTTATTGTTGTACTTGACATAATCACCCTCGATGAAGGGTTCGAGGGAGATGTAATCGGTACCGGAGTCGCCAGATTTACCCTTCAGGCATGATGTGACGATAAAGTCAATCGCATGCTTATCGCCTGTAAGAGCGTTGAACTCTAGTGCGAAAGCTTTGCAGAGAGCTTGGCAGCGCATGTCCTCAGCAAGATGCGCAAGACGCTTTCCACCACGCTTAAACGACTTGACGACGTAGGGATTCGTAGAGTACGTCGTCTTGGCGCAGTATGCAAGACGCAAAGCGCCTTGAGCGAAGGGCATGCGGCATTTGTGAACGTTGAGTTCCATAACACTCAACTTGATGTTATCGTCGTGAGCCATCATGTCATTAAGTGTACCGGAGCGATGAACCACTGTATCGGGACTGAAACCTTCGACAACAAGTTTATCTTCGAACCAGCTCTGATCAGACCACTTCTTCTCAACGTCTTCGAGAATTGCTTCGCTCTGCTTCTCGTTGAATTCATCGTCTTCCGCTTCACCGATGGCATCAAGATGAGACATTTGAGCAGTCTTTGTTCCCTTTTCACCGGTTCGAGAAGAAGACTCTGACATTCGAACAGCAGTGCGTGAAGCAGAGCTAGTGACGCTCTTGACTACCAGATGCCGAAGGGCGCTGTACGTGGTACCCAGCTCAGCTTCTTCAAAGAGCAGGCCGCCCTTGGCAGTACCCTTAGAGCTTGCACCGAGAACACTACTCCTCGGTCCAGAGTTCGCCTTCAAAGCCTCTCGGTAGTGGGGGTTTGTCTTCAGAAGCTTGCAGTCCGCTGACGCAGCAGCATATTCTTGGAGGAAAACGTATGCCATCTTGTCAGTCGCACTTAGAATGCGGAGAAGGGCGTAGTTGAGATTCAGACCGATCATCTGCTTCAGAAGAGGCTGGTAGTGAAGCTTATGTGGTTCGCTCCCAGGAGTGTAGTAATCATCGCTCTTCTCCGTCCAACTGTGGAAGATGTTGCCGTGTGGTGGGGCATCAGCGATGTGAATGATGCATCGGGTCTGATTCTTCCAAGAGGCATTGATGGCTTGTTGGATTCCACCTAGGACATCTTCAGGTGCATCACCGCCGCCGCGAGCTTTCAACTTATCGATGAAGCCCCTTACTTTCTCCACATCAGTAGTGAAGTCGATGAACTGAATGTGATTCTTATCACAGTGGTCTTTGTAACTGACGACCGCAATCCTGACCTCGGCTTCATTATAGAACGTCTCGGTGATATCCTGCATGATCTTCTTGACCTGCTCCTTAGCAGCAGCTATGAACGGGCCCATAGACGAGGTAGTATCCATGAGAAAGAGCAAGTCCGTGGCACAAGCCGTCTTGAACATTCCCTCGTTGGGAGTCCTTTTCATCTGGGCAGCAGCCTGAGCTTCCCGTTTCAGTTCGAGAACACGAAGCCTCGCTTCAGCGGCAGAAAGGCCAGTAAGACCTGCTTCGCGCTTGAGACGATCATTTATAGCGCGCTCCTGCTGCATTGCGCGGCGGAGATCATCGCGTTCGATCTCCATCTGGCGGAGTCGTTCGCGGGTGCCGGAGGAGGTGGCATTGGATGTTCCGGAGTCGGCGGGGGTTCGGAGACGCTGGAGAGCGCCGGCGATGGGCGGGACGGATCTAGGTTCATCGCTGTGGCTTGGAGCTGCCCGGTCTCTGCTTGGGGGATAGGGAGGGAGGATGGTAGATGCTGAGGATGCACTTGATGTAGTGGAGGTCGCGGAGGAGGTGTCAGTCAGGGCACGAATATCTCGTGTGCCTCCATCACTTCCAGTAGAGCCTGGTGGTGAGTATGGAGGAGGGGCACTCATTCTGGTATGTATTGATGAATTGGACTACTTGATGAATATCGCTGTTCTGTATCGGAACTAAGTATATATATTCAACCGTCTCAACTTATGTTACTATATCCATACCCGCTACCGAAGTCGATCGACGTTCTCCTCATCATCGCAATGCTAGGCTCTTTCGGAAACCTAGTGCTTCCTCTTCGCCCGATAAGGCTTCCTTCGCGCATCGACATATCAAACGCAACTCCACTGAAGCCCTCCATATAAACCGGGCGTTTTTCAGGCCTCAATTCCGCGCCGTTATTCCCATTCCGCATAATCGGGTCCAATCACAGCCCCTACTGTCTTACCACTTTGAGCACTGATCAACACGACCTTCCCTGTTGGTTCAGATTGACCAATCAGATGAGAGCACGAATTCGCCCGGTTTGAGGGTGTAGTCCTGAAAAGGTCGTGTCTGCCTGATCAAGGCAGTGTTTTGGTGGAGTCATGTTCGTCGCCCATTGATTTTACAAGTTGGGACTTGAGCCTGGACATTACAGGGGCCGACGCCCGAGAGCAGTTAATTGATAACATTAGACTTGGAGCTTGTGAATTGAGATTCTGAGAATGCCTGGGGCGGGGTTCATTACCAGATACATAGCCAAGTTGCCCGAGTCAACCTATCTTCCTTCTGTCAGCCCATCATCCGGAGGTGCTTATCTTGGGATCTCAAAAAGAGCCTTATCGGTTATACGAGGCTGAATGTTTGTAAATCATTGTGGTAAAACGTCGGTCTGGACTGTGCCGCATTTTCCTCGCTCATCATCGATCTCACCAGCCTCAACACCATTTTTTCCATTGATCTCTTCACTTTCATTCGAGACCTGCCATTGATCTCGGTACCTTTCATGATTCTCCAATCGTCAGCATCGCCATTTTATTGAACAACGAGGCATCGTCATGGCAGATACTCGTCGCGTAGAATGGTTCCTCTCCAAAGCATCCCTCCAACCCCCTCCCCGACTTGGCCCTCTAACCGAACCACCCGCCCAAGATTTCTTACCATTCAGTACTACCAATCGCGATGCAGCTCGCCAGCTCCTTGTACAGCAGAGGACATCAGATCCCAACTATAAACCTCCAGATCGACAAAAGCGACATGTATTCCGCTCCAAAGAACAAAAGGCCGAGGCTTGCGACACTTCACAATGGAGCTTTACGAAACATGAAGTCGCGAGAGCCTTCGATGCGCTGCTAGCACAACAGACGCTTCCGCCAGCTGGTGTTGCGCAAGCTCTCTTGCTACATACGACACTGACGTCGTTGGATGAGCTTTGGGGTCACCTGAATGATGCGCAGTTGGAGAAGAGGATGAAGAGGAACAGGATGAGCGAGATCTTGAACTTCAATTCAAATGGAATGTCATGGTTGAACACAGTGACATCTCGTGACAACTTCAACTACGTTCACCTGTTATGTCAAACACAAGCGAGCCAGGGAGTCTTGAACAGAGCGTTTGGCGTGGCTTTGTCCAGATCATCTCTCGAGTCTATGAAGCTTCTATTGAGCTTTGGAGCAGTTGCATCTGAATACCAAGGTCTCATCAGCCAGCACATACGAACCAGAAACTTGGAGTTAGTGAGCCTTCTACTCTCAGCGCCTAACCCGATGACACCCTCGGATTGGAAAGCATGTCTTGAACAGGATTTCGCAAGGGCGGAAGCAGGAGAAGCTTTGTCTCTCTCATTCATCCTCAGACTTCTATCCCAACGCCCAGAACTGGCCTCGGAGTCATTTCTTCTCGGTGCACTGAGACTACAGAGCTACCAAGCCACAGCTGTGATGTTGGCCTACGCATACTCCAACCAGGTCTTCTTCACCGTTCGCCACCAGGCATGTGAAATCATTTCTCAATACCAGAACGGCAACCAGAAACTAGCGTTCTTTACTCTCCTATCTCATTCTGGTCTTGTTGGAGACAACTTGGTCACTCGAAAAGAGCTTGTCAAGGAAGTGCTCGCTCGCCACTTGCCACTCGTCAAATTGCTTGTGCATGCTGGTGTCGCCGTCGATGCCCCCCCTCACAATGCTTTGAAGTGGGCTGTCTCACAGTTAGACTTTAGCATGTTGGAGATTCTTCAAGACGGGAATCTTTCGTCGCCTGCATCCCAGGTACTGAGCTACCTGCCCGATGACATCCCAGAGCCTGGCATGGTGGATTTCATGAACATGTTTGGCCCAATGGGTCTGGGAGGTCAACAGCTTGACTCATGCCTTATTGGTGCTGCGCAGAGAAGTCAGCGACACCTCGTCGGAACTTTGCTTCACTACGGCGCATCTGTCGAGGCTGAGGAGGCTGCTGCCATCCGCGCAGCTATTATGTCTGCTGATCTGCACGTGCTAAGCTTGCTTCTGCAAGGGCAGTGTGCATCGGCTAAACTTTCAACGCTTATTCCCGCCGCTATGGACGTATCGCCAAGAACCGTCAGGTTTAGTGTGATGCAATGTCTCATTAGGAAAGGTGTTGAAAGACAGTCACTTGGTACCGCTCTGCTGCAGCTCATATCGGAACAAGGCGACATGGACTCCGACCTCATCAAACTTCTTATCGACAATGGTGCGTCACTGGACTCGAGTTCGGACATCGATAATTCGCCGCTCGTAGAAGTCATAAAGAAAGGAGATGTCACAGTCCTCAACATGCTCTGCGGAGCGAAGCCTACAACAGAAGCAATAGGTGCCGCTCTTCCCTTTGCTTTCAACACCGTTGCCGCCTTTGGGTACGATGTTGCTCTTGAACTAATGACCCTACTTCTCAAGCAAGGTGCAACTGGTCCCCCAGTACATGAGACGTTTCTCAAGGCAATCACAGCAGATGTACCACTCGACTTTGTGCAGTTATTGACAGAGCACGGCGCTGACGTCAACTACTCGTCTGGCCAGGCCTTCGTTATGGCAATCGAGATGGACAAGCCTTCACTCCTAGAGCTACTATGTTCTTCATCCCCACCAACCCAAGCCACAGTCAATGCTACTCTACCCAAGCTCATCGAGCCAAAGCACTACAACCTCTCCAACATCGAGCTCTTCCTAAGTGCTACATCACGTGCCACACCAAAACCATCTCTCACCAATACCTATGCTCTTATCAAGGACCATCCACAGCGTGCAGAGCTCTTACCTTGTCTTCTACGCCACGGTCTAGACATAGATGAAGAATCAGGCATGATTCTCTGCCTCGCTGTCAGAGAACACGACATGGACCTTATCAAGTCAATTCTTGCTCTCGGCCCAAGTATCGCTACACTTTCCAACGCCTTTCGCGAGGCATGCCAAGTTGAGGATTCGGATATGAAGCTTGATCTTATGGAACGCCTCCTTGAGAAGGCTTCTCCAGCCGAGATCGGACAGTCTAAAGCATTGCTGCAAGAAACCCAAGCCGCTCTTGATGGAAACATGGATGGACTTTGGTTACTCCTCGGACATAAGGCCAACGTCAACTTCAATAACGGTGAAGCTGTTCAGGCAGCTGCTTCAAATAGCGCAGGATATCCAATCATCCTTAACATGCTTCTCTCAGCTGGCGCTACAGAAGCTACCGTCGAGGATGCATTTGACGCTGCTAGCAACGCAGATACACCAGCAAGCATCAAAACCGGCATCTTTGGAAGTCTATTTGCTTTCCACAAAGATATCTCAGTTGACATTATATCGCGAGCTTTTGTCAAAGCCCTCGAAAGCCACCCTGATGATGAGCATCTCCCAAACCTGTTACTAGAACATGGTGCTGGTGCTCAAGTACAGCTCGCCATGTTAGAGGCAGCAGCTGAAGCATCTCCAGGCGGACTGTTCCAGAAGCTTCTGCGACAGGTCTCCGACTATACCATGCGCAATGAGATTTTCGAGCATGTCCGAAAGCACACTGCCATGTCGTCTATGGACAGACACCAAGCCTACGAGACCCTCCTGAAACAAGGCATAGCCAAGTCCCAGATCTCTGATGCCCTTGTAACGTCAATTAGGAACGATCCTACTAATCGGGAGATTCCTATGTTGCTCTTGAACAACGGCGCTCAGGTCAACTACAAGAACAACGAAGCGTTCGCCGCAGCATTTCAGTCGCGTAATTTAGAGATGTTTGAGCTTCTTTGCTGTTACCTTGTGAAAGGCGAGCATGACGAGGCAGCGAAGCTTGTCTTTGAGCATCCGTATCTACGGGAGAATCCCTGTGTTACAGTTGAACAGACTGTTCGAGCCAATATCTACAGAAGTGTTCTTACCTGCAACATCGATCCGAAGAGTATCTACACCACGCTCGTTCACTTCCTCGATTCGCCGGAACCCAGCCTTCCCATCGTGGAGCTTCTTCTCGAGCATGGCGCTGATCCCAATGATGAGGATGGCCACTGTTTCTATCTTGCGGCACGACACAAAGAGGAATCTCATTTCCGAGCACTGTGCAAACACGCAGATCTATCCATTGTCCTCCCCACGCTTTCACGCCGCATTGTGAAGGAGTACAACGTGACACGCTGGTTCAAGATCTGTCTTGAGATGCAACCCTCTCAAATTGCTGGACTGTCAGACCAGCTTTTGTATCAGTGTATACGCAAATTTCCAAACGGTACTGACTGCCTGGATGTACTATTGGGGGCGGGCTTGTCGCCGTCTGCGACGATTAGTTATCGTCTGCATAAGAATTGGGCGGATGAGGAGATTTCGTTGCTTATTTGGTGTCTTGTGTCTCCATTGAAAACTGGGAATAATGTTATTCTGAAGTTGCTGGAACACGGAAGTAAGGGTTGGTCAAAGCTCCATGACTCAATAACCAGTGCTAACAGTATAACAGCTTTGCCAGACTACGTGACACCGGACTCTAAGATACCCACCATCTTTCTGACACTCCTCGACAAGTCGCGAGCACCTGTTTTGGAAGCTTTGCTAAAGCTTGATGGCACCAATGTTCTTAACCAAACCATCTCCGGCTCAAAGTTCAGCTCTCTAGCTTCATATCCCAAGAAAGCTAAACTTGAGTTCACATCTCTCTTCGAAGACGACGACGATATTCCACCACGTGAAGCGTCACTCTTCCTTGGCAATCTTGACGCCTTCAAATTACTCAACAAATCCATGCTCCCCGACGACGGCACGCTTCATCTAGCAGCTCTTCTCGCCCTTCCCGATTTCACAGACTGGCTTCTCTCAACCCACGAGCCAAACTACGAAGAAGAAAACTTTGGCTTCATGGTTCCGCTGGCACTAACGTGTTACTCTAAACCCTTCCCATGGTGCAAGGTTGCCAATGAGGAACAAGAGTGGTTCTCTCGCTTAGAGGAAACTATCAAGATTCTAATCCCAAAGACATTGTCCAGCTGGAGATATCGGCAGAAGCTTCCGCTGCATCTAGCACTGGAGAACGGGAGCCGAGTTACTATGGCTATGTTGAATGTGCTGAATGCGAGGGGTATTGGGAATAGAGATAAGTATTTGTATACGGATAAGACGGGCATGCAGTACTCGCCTTGTGAGTATGTTGAGACTTTTGTTGAAGTTGATGATGAGGAAAAGGTCAAGCTAGTTAAGATTCTTCAGGAGCATGGATTAAACTGATGAGGCATTATGTATTTATCCTTTTGTATCTATTCGTTCTATTTTATATACCCCGATTTATCTATCCTATGGACATTCTAGCCTAGCTCGCCAGATATGCTTGCTAGATTAGCTTTGTGATAGACTTTCCCTTGTTTCCACCATTATAAACATCTATCCAAGCCCTAGGCATATCCTCGATCTTCGCTGGTACGATATTCTCAATATCAACATTAATTCGTCCATCGGTCGCCGCCTTGATGAGTTGCTCCATCCCATCGGGAACCTTGTCCATGTGATCAAAGAGAAAAAAGCCCTTTAGAGTCAACCTCTGCGAGATGATCTCGAACCAGTTCTTCAACATAGTCGGCTTATCCGAATTATACGTACTTACAGCTCCACAGACTGCAATCGTTCCAAACTTCTTCATCCTCGTAAGGACACCATCCAAGACAGCTCCACCGACATTATCGAAGTAGATATCAACCTCCTCTGGTGTCGCCTCTTTCAGATCCTGCATAAACGTGGGACTTTTGTAGTCAACACATGCATGAGCGCCTAGATAATCTCTAACCCATGCACACTTTTCTTTACCGCCTGCGATGCCTACTACGCGCTTGGCACCGAGAAGCTTGACTGCGGTCTGCACGACGATGGACCCCGTAGCTCCCGCTGCAGCGGAAACAACGATTGTGTGCTCGGGCTTGGCTTGCGCGATATGCAAGAGTCCGACGTAACCTGCCTGACCGGATCCTCCGAATGCACCAAGATAATGCGTGATGGAGAGGTTATTTGGGAGAGGGGCGATATGTTGCACTGTGTCGGTGTCGAGGATGGTCTTATCGCCCCACCAGGATCGATACGGTTCCATTACCAAGTCGCCGGGTTTGAAACGTGCGGAGCTGGACTCGAGAACTTCCCCGATCACTCCAGAATGCATGGGGTCGCCGATCTCGATGGGAGGGACATACATCCTGTCCTCATCAACTGTACAGCCAATGAAGGTACGGAGGCCTGCATCGTTTGAGATATAAAGGACCTTGACAAGAATTTGTTCTTCCTTGAGAGGCGGGATCTGAATGGTTTCTAGCCGGAATGTTGGGTTTGGGCCGTCTATCGTTGGTGTCCCCTCCGTCTTGTTGGCAAAGACCCAGACTTTAGCCTCAGTATGATCAGTCATGTTCATAGTAGCAAGAAAATAGAATTTAAATATCGAGATGATTCCCTTCGGGCCATTATAGCCAGGCCCTGTCTTTATGTAAATATCTTCATAGTCTCCACTCCTACTGGAGCATCGGTTGTGGGCCATGACGACGTAGTGAGGCATAAGCTAGAGTGATCATCCTCTAAATGGCAGGATTGCACCGAGATCTGCTTATAGTGGGATCTACGTACCGGATGCTCGGGGAGTTGCTTAAATGTGGTTAGAGAACAAGGTATGGTGCCACTATCCATCTAATCGATATTTGGTTTGTAGAACTGTAGGCCCAGAGCTATTCCTCTTCGGGGATCTCAGCTACTGATGCTGCTCACATTGAGCTTTTTATATCCCTCTGGCTTCTTTTACAGGTACCCTGTGAGTCACAAGCTCACCATTTGCTGGAAATGGTTGAATTTTCCTCGTTGGTTACATAGAGAGAGCCCTCGCTAGAGGCCAACATTGGCACCATGTCATGGGCCGAAGACCATGTGGATTCATTCGCTAAGTAAATTGACTGGAGACGAGCCCTTTTTACTTTCTACTATAAGCTTCCTTCATAACATTGGTCTACCTGCGACTAAGTAGTAGCTGTACTGCGAGTGCTCCCCATTTCGTCGTCTTCTCCATTCAACCATCTAGCTCCGCAGTGTCCCGATATGCATCGCATCGGTGGCCTAATGCCATGATGCATCCTTTGAGGACACTGAGTGTTATTTTGGTGGCCGACCTTTCGGGACCTGTTCCAGCGCCAACCTCGCTTTATCACATTCGATTCTACGTTCATTCTTGCACCTGTTGCACAGCCTTTTCTCAGAAACTTCTCTTTCTCCTTTTCCACACTTTTTGCACATCCTTGGGATTTCCTGAGTATATTATTCTCAATTTCCCTCAGAGAGTCTTGTTTCTCATCGTGCTCTTGGCACACGATTCTAGGACGGCTAATGCCTCTGGCACACACGATGCAGTAATGCTTTGCTAAGGGTTCATGGCTCCGCTTGTTTGAAGACGGGGGATCTCTTCACAGCTAACACAAGTTGGTCCAGAGAAAGGGCGTGGCAAGACTCGCATGCACCCTAGGTAAAAGCGGTCTTGAACTTGGCTTAGAATGTACGAAGAGGGGGGCATGTACGGTCAGAAGTACCAGGATCATCGGTGTTATCATTTGTGGTCCCTGCAGTAGGCCATGGATAGGGTATTTGCGGTCGCGGGTAGTTTTGGTTCGGCTGTGGAAGATTGGGAAATCTATTGACTGTTTCCCTCTCTTTCCCCTTGCCCTTGTCTTGGCTGCTTGGGCCACTGTCATATCCTTCGTTGGAAATATTGAATGCGCTGGAGATGTTGAAGTCCTGCATTCCTCTGACGATATACTTTTTGATGTATGGGAGTTGAGTGAAATGTCTTGCTTCCTAGTAAGAAGTGTGTTTGGGTAGTAGAATTCTAATGTTCCAGCACGTCAAGTGAGCCAGCTGTCAGCATATATACCTTTTTGCTGCTGTACTTTATAGGCAAAGAGCCGCCCAGGCAGCTACTTATCACAGTCAAAATTTTACTGACGGGTGTTTGGAGATTTATTACGGTAATTGAGTGCTAGTGTACTTCTCTTATTCAAACACGTCACTTCCTCGCCCCTGAACCAGCTTTGTTTACACTGACAAACCGCTTGCCAGCTTTTTATGGTGTTCAGCGGTCCTCTCTTGCATGGCAACGCGATACTCCTGTTCGTGATTTAGTCAATGAATCATTCACATTGGGTAATTGTGTGGGCGGTTAGTTTACTGCCTGAACTGTGTTTATGAGTGGCATCTTGAGCACATGGGCCCGACAGATGATGATTGTATCATGCGTCTCACTCCAGTTCCTCACGTTTTGACAATGACTAAGCCTTTTTTAGGTCTTGAGACTAGCTGATTCAATTAAGGAGCTACAAAGACTGTTGAAGAGATGCCCACCTGCCACATTCCATTCCCAAAACCCTACCATCAGGATCGACATCCCTCAAAATGCCTTCATGGAACTCTTTTCTCCTATCTTCGGTGCATTTTTGACATTTGCCACCGCGGACCAAGAGAGGTATTTTCCTGTATCTAGAGCATCTGCCCGAGCTATTGCCTCCTCTCTCGAGGCTTTCTGTGCTGCTCTCTGTCGTACTCCATGCATTTCTCACATTTACCACCGCGGACCAAGACAGGTGTATTCTTGCACACATAGCATTTGCCCTGAGCTATTGCCTCATCTCGAGACTTTTTCTGCTGCTCTCTGTCGTGCTTCAGGCATTTCTCACACCTCACGTATCCTTCCTTACGGGGCTGATCGCACGAAAGGCATGTCCCTTCGCTGGCCTTTTTGGCTTTCTTTTTCGCGTAGGACTTCCTGTCGTATTCGGCTTGTTTACTCTTTGAAGGATAGGTGGATGATCCACTTGGGTTCGCTTGGACTGATTGACTGTCACTAGGTCCAGGTACTGGATTCGGAGGGGCTTGTGCATAGGAGCCGGTAGGCTGTGTATAGGACTCGGCAGGCTGCGAATAGTAGTTGGGATGTTGTGCACTAAAGCCGACGCCTGAAGGTCTTTGAGAGCTACCACCGGGTTCAAGTCCCGGATTCCGAGGGGCTTGTCCATAGTAGCTGCGAGGCTGCGCGCCATAACCGACACTTGGAGGTCCTCGAGAGCTTCCTCCCTGATCATAAGCCGTGTTTTCCAAAACTGTTCTATGCGACTCTTGTTGTCGAATGGGACTTTGATAGGTCAATGGCAGAGGAGCTGGGTTATGTGGTATGTCGGGTATAACAGAATGACTGCTAGGGCTGTTCAAAAGATTCATTGGAACAGTTCCTGTTGTGTGAATTGTGGGCTCATTTAGATTCGCGTAACCGCCTGTTTGATAGGGAGCAAGGTTTTGGGGCTGACTGCTATTGCTAGCCCACTGAGCGTTCCGGGCAGCCTGAGCCCGGCGAGATTGCTCATCATTGTTATAGGACATTGTGTTGATGGTGGATTTTCTGATTAATTTGGGAGTGTCAGTGAAAAATAGTGGTTCAGGTATTGGTTGCGTTTATTGTGTTGTGTTTGAAGGTCCAGTTCAGGTCATGGAACTCACTGTTATATATCGCCAATACTCCTTACTTCGCTCGTTACTGACATCTACAGAGCCTGTTGTGATACACTCAGTTTCTCTCCGTGTTTCAGCGAGATGGTCGTTGAAGCGCTGTATCTCACTGTCGCAAGACATCAACAGCAGTTGTTAGACGCGCAAGCTGAGCTTTCTGGGTTTCTGATTCCGTGTCCCTACAGAGACAGTATATCAGAGCTATCACCATAGTGATGAACACCGACTGTTCTTGATCGGCTTATCATTGATGGATGTTCTGCTGTGAAACGTAAGTACAGTAAGTGAAGAGCCTGACATAGTCTTACAGTGCTTATTATCTGTTGCAGTCAAGCTTGGTTTGGTGGCCTTTCACCAGCAATGGGTTAATGATGAGCCCTCTTACGGCATCAGGACTTTATTGATCAGAATCTTAATCCAATGGGTCTTGTGCCCTCTGTCTTTTTGTTCACCGCGATAAGGATCCAGCTTTATCAACAGACATGGTTCAAGTATATCCTGCTACACTTCACCTTGACATGAAACAACCATATCTAGAGTCATGACTCTTAATGTTGAGACAGACGTGAGAGGTTTTTCTGGAAGTAGTATTGAATGAGCTTATTTAATGTACACTACCGAGTGTTCTATCCTTACACTACGGGACCTTTCCTTGATTAAACTTTCAATTGTCTTCATCTTTCTGCCTCTCTTCTTCTTCTCCTCTCCGCCGCCCTGGAAGTATCAGAACAGCCTCGGCACTGGCCATACCCAGGCATCAGCTCCCTTCCACACCGACACAGTCCTAGTTGCCTGAAACGATGTCTTGGGTTGCTAGCCTGTCCATAGCAAACTTCACATCGCATAAGTGAGCCAGCATCTCGTTTATAGCAATTGTTACAAATATGATTTTCCCTAAGAATTGCCTTTTCATAGTCGTTGAAGACTTGCCTGGTGTTCATATGGCCTGGACACATCAGATTGCCAGGATCGTTGACGTCGGCTGTGCATGCTAGGCAAAACTCTAGTGGAGAGCGTGAGCGTCACTTTGTCGGCGATGATCACAGTCGTGACAGCGTATCCCGAATGTGGGCAGAGGTGTTCTACAATTGATGCAATATACTTGCAGTGGCGCGTTCCCCCTCTGTCCCCATCGTCGATATTCTACGGTCGGTGCAGCGATGTTCCAACTGTGGTGGACTTCTGGAGCACTGTATTGATCAGTATAAAACCTATCAAATTCTTGTAAGCCTTCAAGTTCAGAAAGATGGATGTACGGGGCATGCTGTTGATTGTTCGCATTGTAGCTTGATGGTTCACCATAGGGTTGACTGTCGTAGGTCCAACCTCCAAGGTTTCCATCATTCTATAACCAGTTATCAGCATCATGTCCGGGAAACGGATATGTCAGTTGCAGATCTACGTCACGATTTCCGGTGCCGGAAGACATTCCTAGACTAGAAAACGGATTGGGATGTGAAGAGCTATGATAGGCATAAGTACCACTGGGGCTTGGGTCGTTATATTGCGGGCCGACTGGGTTGGCTCGAGTTGCTGGCTCCCCATTCCAACCATCAGGTGGTCTGATACCACTCTGTTCTGGGGGGCCATACGGCGATATATATGGTGCATGATTGTTATTCATATTGCATATAAAGAAATATAGGTTGTTAGGTTTATGTTCGAAACAGCCACCAGCCGTATAAGCGCTTCTTATACACTACGAAGCTCAGTGATACATTCCTGCAAAACCGATATACACTGTCAGACAGTTGTGGCAAGCACGCGGCGTTGGGCAATGGAGTGTTCCCAACTCAATCATAATGTCGAGAGTATTATAGCTTTCCGTGATTGCACTGATACGCTCCCCCTCCTGAAACGAGTTCATAATGGCTGATTGCATCTCACGACTTGAGTTGTTCACAAGATTGAGCGCCATGAGATAGGATTGCATTTTGTTAAGCTGTAGGGTAGAGCACTGCACTATGTACGTGATTCTCTGGAAGTGAAGTATGGTGTTGCGTAGTATATTTAGCGCTTTACTAGGGCACTACCTTTTGCTCACGCAGATATTGATGAAATGGCGTACGGCCTTGATCGCAGCTTTCGTTATCATGGTTTCCTCAACTTATCACCGATAACAATATCGTTATCGATAACATTTAATTCTGGCGCTTGTCGCGTCGCGCGTTATTTCAGCCAAGTTTGCTTGGCACACAATAATCTCACGACTCTTTCTTCATGATCAGTATTCGCACCGATTCAATTCACCATCGTCAACACCATGACCTCTTTTCCCAATCATGTCGACCCCAAATTCGATAGTTCCCCGCCTCCTCGTTTTGAAGGTGCGCCCACCGCGTTAGCCAGCGATGCCAGCCCCAGCTGCATCACCAACTTTATTTCCCCTCAATATTGGCCCAAGAAGGGCCGAATACCAGCAACGCCACTGGCACACGTCACTCAGCCTTCGATTCTTAATCAGAATGGAAATGAGGAGACGATTTCCGGGGAATCCGGGGTAGTATTATAGCTTGCATTTATTTATTTGATGTGCGTGCAATTGCAACAATGAGAGCGACGCGACAGCACCAAGATATTAAGAAGATAACAACTATCCGCAATTGCCGCTAAAATTAAAACCGTTTCTTTTTCTTCTTGAAACCTTATCAGCCAATTATTAATTAGAATCTTGTCGATCACGACCAGATGACGAGGTACTGGCTCGGTAGTTATAATGCTGGGTAAAGCAATCAATCAAGATTTGGGGCTGTCCCTGTGTCTCTGTCACGAGCGGGAGCTATGAGCGGAACGACAAATAGAGTTTGATTAGATGCATTTAGTGCTGTAGCATTCATTCGCGCAACACGTTTCTTGGTATTAATTGACTCATGCTAGAGTAGGAGCCGTATAACATTGAGCATATAATATTCACATCGCTTGAAGCTACAGGGTAGTGCTGCATGTGACAAGTTGTCCACCGTCATAGTGGTATGCTAGTCGCAAGCCAAAGGCTAGAAAGTCAGGAGAAGATCGCGAAAGGATGATAGCAGGTTAAATATCGACCGGGGGCGCACCGAGGAAGGATGCAATTCATCACGCCGTTGAACGTCTCGTCACATTGCATCACCAATCCCAGTAGACGAACCTGCAGTAGCTAAACTCAAAAGCCCCAACGGGCTTGGTTTGCGTAGAACATGCATAGAATATGTGACAACAAGCACAGCCATTGTGATCTAGGACTTTGCATTGACGTGACAATCCTTAGGTCATAACTTCCACTGAAATTCCGAGCAAAATCACATGAAGGTATCGTGATTCAGTGTATGCGTGACATTTTGCGGGTCCTTTCTCGACGGAGCCGATAGAATCCGAGGATCGTCAGTCCCAGACGCCCGGCGAGGCGGCAACATACCCTGTTGATGGTTAGTCCGCCCGCAGAGAATTGATGTCAGATCACTCCTTAAGTAACCAAAACTCATAGCTCAAGCAGTGACCCGGAGCCGTTACTCGATTTGGCATCTTCTTTCACCAAGATACAGGGTGATCAAACTACTTGTGCTTGGACTCTGCGTCACGAGAGCTAAAAGCTGAAAAGGCTACGGAGATTATTGGAAACCAGAGTGATTCTAGACTCGGGGAAGATGAATGGGTTTAAAAGGGGGGCAGCGGTGGAAATAGTGGGAATTCATATGTCGTCGTCTAACCTCGGATGAAGCAGGTCAATTTTGAAGAAGTTAGTCAAGCTTGCACGCTTTTTCTACTTACCCCTGGCTTACCTGTCAGATTGAGCTTAGTCCTTCAGCTGGAGTGTGCATGACATGATAAAACGCAGGGGCATTAGGTGAAAGGGGTAAAAAAGGCACGGAATGAAATTCAAAAGCAAGCGCTCAGCCTTATGATCCAAGAGCCCATTCTCCATCTAGGCCCTGAACTATTCATTCTACTAGCTACCCATCCGGTCATCGTCGCGAAGGACACGAGTAAGGCTGATCTTGGCCTAATATGCCCCTCGGAGCTGTTGTTCCAAGGAGCAAGACCAACGACAGCCGCCACAAAGTCCCAATACGTAATAAGGGGCCCAGCGCTAGAAAGCACTTCCCTCCTTCCGAGCCAATCCCCGCACGAGTTCCCCATGGAGAAGAGTGGATCCGGCTAAAATCGGCCACGCATTTTTCTTGAGTTAGTTAGTGACTCTAATGGTGAGACGCGGGCGTTGGTACGAGAAAAACTCGCGGCGCAAACTAAAGTCTGGAGATTTGTTCAAATGAGGCTCTACTACCTACCACTGCACGTATAATTAATTTACTTTGGATCTAGTTCTTACCTAAAGAATTGCCCTGGATGACACACGAGTGGCCGGAAGAGGTAGGTACCCAGACTTCGTGGCAGACACTAGAAAGCTCCTAGTCTCACTTGTTGTGACGCGAAGGATGATGACTATTTGGGCACAATTAACCACCCAACGGCTCATCTGGGAACCCTTGCATGTCGAGTCAAAGCAGGTAAGACAAATCAACGTGCAGCATAGCTCCCCTAGTCCCCGTTCCCAGATCGGCATTTTTAATCAGTCTCAAACGGCCTCCATCTTGAGCCGCATCGCGAAGATCGCCGTTTGTTGTCAAAGCTTCTGGAATACCACGTGGAAAAACCATGAATGCCTTCTTTTCTTCCCCTCGAGAGTTTCTGCAACGCTCACCCGCAAAATGATCGGTCGGTTAGACCCAATAGGGCAAATGCCCAGCTAGCGTACCCTCTCTCATCCGACTTTTTTCTCCAGTATTTGAAGTCAAGGTCTCCACCTCCGCAAGCCGCCAAAATGTGAGAAACGCCGAGAGTGAGGCCGTGGTAGAAGCAGAGTTGCAAGCTACCAGAACCTGGGGTGCATGGGTCCTGATTCACTATCCCCAGTTGACGTTCAACTGAACTGAACTGAACTGATTGACGCACTGTAACGACAATACCCAAGCGAGGGGGAGGGGGGGATGGGACTCGACAGCGCCGATCCTATATATGTCATGTCAGGGCCCGTTGTCAGGATGTAACCCCAGGACCATGCCGATCATTCATTCATGACTCCGCCGAAAGGCATCCATTCCTTTCTTCTGAATCATCTCATCTTTTCTCCAAAAATAATTAAGACACCATGTTCGGCTCTGGTAAAGCAGCCTCGGACAATGGTAGCAGCAAGGACGAGATAGTCCTGCTGCCAGTCCAAGCAAAGTCCGGCATCCTCCGCGTCACAGAGATCGAGACAAAAGTGCACGATCCAAACCACCAGAACAGCACTCCCATCCCAGACCCGACGTTTGACCTACCAGACAATCACCCTAATAAAAATGCCATCGAGGTACTATGGCTTCCCCGCGGGTCGCACAGCTCCGACGACACGGGCGAGAAAGTCCGTCGCGCACTGAACAATGAGAAGGAGATGACCATCCTGGGATGCTGCAAGCAATTCCCCAAAGCCATCTTCTGGTCCCTGCTGCTCTTCCTCACTGTTGTCATGGAGGGGTACGACAAGAGTCTTGTCGCTGGATTTGTCGCATTTCCTGCGTTTCGACGACGATATGGCGAGGAGTTTGATACGCCGAATGGACCCATTTATGAGATCTCGCCGTTATGGCAGACGTCGCTTCAGGTCTCGGCTATTGCATGCGAGGTCCTTGGTCTGTTGCTTCACGGTTGGGTAACGTATAGCATTGGCTATAAGAAGATGATGTTGATCAGTCTTGCTTGGATGTGTCTTGCTGTCTTCCCGGCGTTCTTTGCTCACGACATCGGTGTGTTGGTGGCTTCTCAGGCTCTTTGTGGTATGTCCATGTCTCTCACTCATCTCACCCTTCACCCTCTTCTCTCAATGATCATTCATTTTGATACACAAGACTAACCATCACTCAGGTATCTCATGGGGTGTCATCCAAACACTCGCAGCTACATACGCCGCCGAGGTTGTCCCATCAGCCATTCGTGCCTGTCTTCTCAGCATGACCAACATGTGCTGGGTTATCGGTCAACTTCTCGGCACTGGTATCCTCAAATCTCTCGTCCACAACAACTCAGAGTGGTCCTACCGTATCCCCTTTGCCCTTCAATGGGCCTTCGCCATCCCTCTCCTCATCGGCATCTTCTTTGCCCCCGAAAGTCCATGGTGGCTCATCCGTCGTGAGCGCAAGGTCGAAGCTCGTCATGCTTTACAGCGCTTGACTAAGCAGTCCCAGCTCGATATCGACGACACCATTGCTGTCATGGAGCATACTAATCGCATTGAACGTAAGCTCAACTACGGCGGCTCGAGCTACCTTGACTTGTTCAAGGGTGCCAACCTTCGACGAACTGAGATTTGCTGCATGGTTTGGTCTGTCCAGGCTCTCTGCGGTTGGATCTTGACTGGCTACGCTCCTTACTTCCTTGAGCAGGCCGGTTTTGACTCGTCCAAGTCCTTCAGTATGTCCACTGGCATGTATGGCATGGCCTTGGTTGGAGGCATGATCTCTTGGTTCCTTCTATCTCATATCGGTCGGCGCAAGTTGTACCTCACTGGTCTTATCGCTGCTGTCGTCATGCTTAGCCTTGGTGGTATTCTCTCAGTCGTTCTCGATGGCCAAAAGGGTCTCAACTGGTCCCTCGGCGCCATTCTCATCACAACAACCTTCTTATATAACCTGAGCATCGGCCCAACATGCTACGTCATCGTGGCCGAGATCCCCTCTACCCGTCTTCGTGTCAAGACTATCGCATTGGCTCGTGTTGTCTACAACATCTTCATGATCATCAACAACGTCATAGTTCCCCAAATGCTTAACCCTACCGCTTGGAATATGCAGGGAAAGTCATGCTTCGTCTACGCCGGTACAGCTCTCCTTTGTCTTATCTACTGTTACTTCCGTCTGCCCGAGACCAAGGGTCTATCGTACCTGGAGTTGGATATGTTGTTTGAGAAGGGGGCGCCTACTGCCAAGTTCAAGGAGTTGCAGCAGAGACTTGCGAACTCTGCATACTTGACAGTAGACAGGGCAGAGCGCATGAGGAATGCTTGGCACGGTTGGCTTACATATTCGTAATATTTTCTAGTCATAATATCTATCGTTCTTTCAGGAATCTAACTCTTCAAACTTGTACTTCAAACCCTTCCGTGACACCGTATGTTGCATTATATACCCCTTGGAGGCCTAGACTAGACGTCGCCGTCTTAAATTGCCTCCTTGGCAGTCACCCCATTAGCCATGTAAGGGTTAGTCGAGGTAAGGGTCAGTCGAGGTAAATCCCGTGGCGGATACTGGTAGAAGCAACAGGTAGCTGAGCGCGTTTTGGGTCAGTATGGAACCCGTGACCAATTGGGTGATAGCACTGGTAGAATGGCCTGAACAACAGCCTGATCTGTTTCCATTTTTGCCTGTCATTTCATCGCCTCGATTATGACTCCCAACTTCCCAAGCGTTTAGGTCATTGGGTACGGAGTCCTGTCCCTTTAGGTCGACGTGGTGAAGTGAGATTAGCCCACGCTCAGCTACGGAATGCCTACCAAGAACAAAGGCGAAAAGGTGGCGTGAATTTCGACCATATATGATTAAGCAATTGCATTCAGAAAACAATGATATGATCAAGTGGCTGTGGCCCTTCTAAATGAAGAAGGCCGAGTTCCTGTAATATTCGTGGTGCTGTCACAGTCACACAAGCGTCAGCAATAAAATGGCCTCATCAAGGCGTCACAGAACTCGAACAATAAAACCGGCGACCTGCTTACCAAGTTGGGCAATTTCTACCAAGGACCAACGGATGGCTTTGCGGCTGACTTAGCCAGACGGATTTTTGAAGTAGTCCTATCTCCAGCAAATAGGACGCAACGCTGAGGTAACACAAGTGACGAGTCTGCCTTACTTGGTCACATGGTGGCCCCCAACCTGACTCGGGATTTGCAACTGGGAGAACTGAGTGCATACATTAGCGGATGAAATGCTAACGCCCGAGTCGCGCAAATTTGCAGTGTTCTTGTTGCCAGTCGAAGGGGGGCATGCTAGATGTTTGGTAGTCACAAAGACGGCTACCTGCTGATCCAACGCCACTCTCTTGGTCCGAGAACGGGCCTGATGTCTCAGATGTGAGAATTCTTGCTTGGTATTTGTATAGCGCGCTTCCCCCGCTTTTCATAAGGAAGCCTCCAGAAGAAATTGTCCACCGTGACAAGATCCGTGCATTCAAGGCCAAAGACAACAATACAACGAATCAACCCATATCTACTCGAATTAATATCTCGAATCCCCTTTTTCACCTCCTCAAACAGCTCCTGGCATGGGATATCACGGGAAACCAGTTGCAGTGCTTGACATGAAGTCAGACAAAGTCCGACCGCTTGACAAAGCTGACGTTGTAGGTAAGGAGCTCGCTGCAACTAGATCGCCTTGCTCGTAAACTGACAGACGAAGGATACCCTGCCGTTCAGATTCCCCGACTCAAGAAAAACGTCCCAATCTACATTTCGCGATCGACCGACGAGGGAAAGGAGTTCATTGCGGAAGTCAACCTCTGGAGCATGGGGGTCCGGTACAACCTGAACAGACTGGTCGGGGAGGGACCTCAGCTCTACGTTGTCAATGCATGAGGATGGTCAGCAAGCGCCTATGGCTTGCTGTGTTGATTACGGGAGAATGTGATTATTTCCATTGTTATTTGCAGATTTGGAAGCAGGCTGCGTGCGCCACTTTTGGGTATTTTCGGTCATGGAATGGTTTTTAGACATCTTTCGGGGAGACGGACAATCCTTATGTAGCAAATGTAACCTTTCTTTAGCCAGGATTGTTGAAGATAGCAGTTCATCCGACGATGCAAGTCAGCCGGTCAGCTGCACCCTTATCCCATTTCTATAACCGGTGTATGCATGATGACAGCCTTGATGTGGCAAACCTGTTAGAGCACGAGACCCATGCGCCCGAAAAGTGCAAATCACATTGCCACAAGCAATGATCTCCGTCATTTACGCCATGAGACTCGAGCTGAAAGTCAATTGCAGATGCGCTGAAAGTCTCTACCCCAATAAGTCCAATAAAACGAAATGAAACAAGAAAGAGAGGTCAGGCCAGTGGACTGATGGAGGCGAGGTACGGAATTATTGGGCGAGGGCTGGTAACACAGCAGCCAATATTTGAAGCCATACGCCGACCGCGCGCATAATGCTACAGTGGCTTTGGCCAGCGCCTAAGTTCCCTTCTGAGTCTGCCAGATATCCACTGGAGGGCATTTTTAGGGAAGAAAGATAACAGGTTTCCATATTGTATAGACTCAACTTGATTATCAGAACAAGCGTCGGCTTCTTTTTCTTTGGCAATACTACAGTCACTCGCTCTTGGTAAATATCTTGCTAGAATAATCTTGACACAAACAAATGTAGAGTCTAAGGCTGTGGAGGCTCCGAGTCCCTCCAGATTTGCAAGAACGAGCATGGTACTATTGCCCTTGGCAACAACCATGGGGGTCATATCACAGTTACACGAGCTGGGTGGTTTCTGCAGCAGGCTGCCCAGCACACCATAAAATTTCCGATTTTGTAGGGGTTGAAGAGCCTCGTTCAGCAAGGCATAAAATGATCCCATGGACTCGGCGCAATATTATCTCCCATTCTGTTATCAGACAAACACTAGGCTCTCCAGTCATTACATTTCATCGTTCCTCCTTTCAAAGTTGCCGAGAACTCAATCGACATGACTACTCCGTCTTCTGAAGACTCTGGTACATTGCAGCACCAAGTCAGCGGAGAGAGTGGTGCCGAATTTGATCCTTCGGTTCCTATTCGCGGACCTGAGCACATCTCATACGAAGAAAAGCCATGGGCCAATAAGACAATCCTGTCATTTGGTAAGAAATCATTTTCATTGTTTGAACCCCTTCCTTTAATAACGATACCATTTTAGACGGTGGTGGTGTTCGTGGCTACGCAAGTCTGCTGGTGCTTAAACGCATCATGGTTCGAATTCGGGAATTAGAACTTGGCCACGAAGAGTACCGAGCCCCCAGCAGCGACTTCTATCGTTGGAATGGGGCACCTGAAGAGAATATCGTCGGCGGCAACCCAGAGCCAGATCGAGTCGATAAGTATCTTCCGTGCCACTACTTCGACTATATTGCTGGAACTTCAACAGGGGGGTAAGGAGTCCCGCAACATTCTTTCCAGTATCTGATACTAATTCTACTTAGCCTGAGTAGCATCATGCTAGGGAGACTTCGTATGTCTGTTGACCAAGCAATGGACACATACAAGTCCTTCGGAAACGCGGTTTTTGGGAAACCTAGGGTGTTCCACGAGCGTTCATTCATTTATCCCCGAGCAAAATTCTCAAGTCGAAAGACACGTGCAGAATTTCAGAAGATCATCTACGAGGCCCTTCAACGAGAAAAGTTCTGCTTCTATAGTGAGGCAGAAGTTGAGCCACTAAAGTACAGAGAAGATCGAACCAGAACGTAAGGTTCCCTGTTACTTTTATAGCTTGGCTCTTTTTGGTATGCTAACGTTGACATATAGCATTGCCATCTCATGGTCTATAAAGAAAGACGGTGGCGTTAGTAAAGAGTTTGTCTGGAGGAGTTACGACAATGAGCCTAATCCCATGGAGCCTAGGGCTAATCGATGGAATCCATCCAATGCGGGACCGGCCCATACAACTGCCATTTGGGAGGTTGCCCGTGCAACAACAGCTGCCCCAGGGTACTTCGAGTCCATCAAGATTATAGGAAGAAAGTTCCTTGACGGTGGCATGGCAGCCAACAACCCCTCATTAATGGCCCTCAGAGAAATCCACAACCTTCACGGCTTAGTTCCAGACCTCTTTGTCAGTATTGGAACTGGTTTGAAGCCTTCCCCAGATGATCAGAACAATGATGTACCCAATGGCCACACCGGAACACCAAGAAGAGATACAGTCAGAGATGGTGGTCGACGCAAACAAGGCGTGAAGAAGTGGTGGGAGATAGGCAAAAATTGGAAGGACTGGATGGTCGACTGTGAGGGGGGCCCGATGGGCACCAACGCCTGGCGAGACCGCTGCAATGTGATCCAATTGACAGATTCATACAGACTCAATGTTGAAGGCGATCTTCACACCGTACCTCTCGATGGTTGGCGTCCGCCAACCACTGGAAAAGATACCCTCGACTTTATCGAAGAACAAACGAGGCAATATCTCACTGAGACCAGAGTTGTGGATTGGATCAACTCCATCGCGAGTAAAGCAGTCGAAATAAGGCGTCAACGCGCTGCGACTGAGCAGTGGGAGCGATTTGCAGTGGATGTGATTTATCGCTGCAGAGATTGTGAGAACAAAAAGTATGACACTAGGGCGCAGTTAAGAGAGCATCTGCAAAAAGGAACCGCACATAGAGGAGAAAGGATCACTGATGGGAAGCAGCTTGAGGAGAGACTTAACGATTCTAGGTCCTTTAAGCCTAAGAGAACAGTTGAAACAAGGAGGTGAGGCCATAGTCGGATGACCCTGGGTCTCACAGCAAGGTCGCTTCACCTGAAGGTGACTAAGTACAAACGTGGAGGAAGATATCATGTATATAAAGCTTTGGATTTCGATAATGCTTGAACTCGCTCAATTATGCTAACGATACCCCCTGATTATGCAATCTCTTCCTTTTAAATCTTTAAGCAGTCGAATCGCCTTGGTTGACAACAACATGTGCTTTCTTCTCTCCTTGGGAATAATAGCGCACTGCAATGCACAAGGTTCTGATGAGCAGCTGGCAGTTCTGCACATAAGGTCCAGTGAAGTAAATATCCGGGTTTCCATGGATGCGGCTATGTAACGTGGCTAGTTGACCAATGTTGTTAAAAACTGCAAAGACCAAAGAGTGGCAGATATCCGCATCCGAGAACGACTTGATATCCCGCACGGGATTTTCCGCCTCTTGAGTCTCGGCGTCAGGTCTATGCTCTAAGCTGAAGGCTTTACAGAAAGTTGAAGCAACAGCTGTCATCTTCATACCGATTCTGTTGTAATCCATCCCATAAATGTCACCAATCAGTTTATCGACATTGGCGTTGTTACCCTTCTCAGCTTGTTCAAGCATATCGTCATATGTGCGGGCTCTCGTGAGTAGAAGGAGCAAGCCGCATAATGCTGATCCGCCGAATGAGGAGCCTGAGATGCGCTGACATTGGCTGTTTTCTGAGACTTGGAAAAATGATACTCCTGAGCCGATGTTGACGAGGAGATAAGGGTGAGATTTTGGTGCTATTGAGGGGACGATAACTTCGTCGGTGAAGGTGTAGATTTCGCAACTTGGTCCCGGGATAGGTGGGCGATTATCTAGCACTGGTCAATCATTTGTCGAGTGTGATGAGAGCAGGGAGAAGTACCATGACTTGATCCGTCAATGCCGTCTGATAAATGGCTGCCGTTCAAAGGATTGACGAGATATTGGAGCTCTGCATCTCTTACGTGATCTTCGCTTGTCGTCATGATTTGTCATAGAATTTCTTACAAGACAAGGCAAGCAGATGATATAAATGAGCTCTGAAGAAAGCCGGGGTATGTCTTGTCAAGAAACTGTGAGAAGTTCGTGATATTGTCGTTGAAATGCGGTGACTAAATGAGACTAGTGTTGTTTTGGGTTGGTAAAGGGGGGAGGAGAAGATGAATTTTCACGTCAATCTTACAGCCGAGGGATCGTCACGTATCCACTACGGGACTTTCCTCCCAATCATGTTTGTAAGAAGCCATCTGATAAGATAAGATTCCTTCACTGCGCTACGGAGTCTAGGGAGTACATGTATCTCAAGGCCGCGTCAAATAAGGCGGGTAACAAAGTAGTACAGGTGTTGAGCCGCGCATGCCATGCCGGTTTTAGTGCCTATGGCATGGATTGCCTTATTAATCATGGGATAAACGATAAATGCAGAATTATGCAATAAGCTGTTGGTTCTGCAAGCGAAGATTAATGTGGGGTTATCATATGATCAAAATGTCTCGTTGCGCCGTGTCCTCTTTGCTTCACAATTCTCACAATATCAATTTCATCTGAAAATACAAGTCATGACTTCTTTGGAGAGCCCTAAGCCTTTCATACTCACTCTCCCTCCAGAGATTCAGAGCCAGATAATATCTCTTGTTGCCGACTCGACTGATTTCAAATCCGTTCATTCACTTCTATTTTCGTGCAAACAACTCTACGCAATTGCACTGCCTTTCTCGGTCCAAACATTTCATGACACACCAAGAGTTGAAGAGCCGAAGGAGGGCTCCGTAGTTCGCTCCCGCGTTGTGCAGCTTCTTTCATATGTGTCAGTCATCAAGCCAGAACTCGCCCGACATGTTCGCACGATCAGGCTGTATGATTGGCTGCATGATAACTGCCGCTGTGGAACAGTTCATATTAATGCCAATGAAATGATCTACTACAAGCAACTGATTTCGAAAATATATTCCGACAAATTAGGATATCTTCCGTATCGGAGAAACAATTGGATTCGAGCTCTGGAAAAAGGCATCGAAGACGCCGCCGTGGATCTTCTACTCGCTGTGTGCACGGAGATCAAAACTTTGACATACGGCTGCCCTCGAGATCCAGGTTGCTTAAGCACGATGCTGGTGGCTGCTACTGGAGCCTTCAGAATAAAACGTGTTGAACACCCTCCCTGCCAGTTGCTAACCAAGTTGGAGACTGTTAGGCACGAGGCGGAAGGTAGCTGGACAGGATGGCGCCCATTTTATAATAACGCACAATGGCTTTTTCGGATCCCGAGCCTTCGATCATACGAATGCGTTGGGGCAGCCAACGACGAAATGGATGAGCATAACATAGACCCTCTGAAAGAAGGATGCTCAAACGTTCAATCAATCATCTTAAGAGATAGTTGGTGCGTGCCCCGAGCCGTTCGCTCTTTAATCCGGGCGTGCAAGGAGCTCAGGAGGTTCACATATACTTGTGATATCAAAAAATGGTCAGAATATGATGACTTCAAATTGGCGGCCCGGGACATCATGGAAGCCCTTTTGTCCCATAAAGACAACTTGGAATTCCTTCATCTTGATTTCGCTGAGGCAGCTCTCGCTAGCTTTTACCTCCACGGACCACGAGAACGACTATACATGGGTGTTGAGCTGCGACAAATGCACAAATTGAAACGCCTTATTCTAGGGTCTCAGAACATATGTGGACTTCTAGCGAATGGCACAGTGTATGATTACACGATGGACGCATCTATTCAGACTCCAAGAGTTGTTGAATGTATTCCAGAGTACTTGGAGTACCTTGAGATTCACAGCTGTGGAAGGAACATCATCAATCAGCTCGAGGAGTTCCTCGACACTCTGGCCGATCCAGGTCGGATCCCAAAATTGAAATCTGTCAAGTTTACATTCAACAAGAAATGGGTGAAGGAAGAAGAAATGAAGAGCCTTGCTACGAGTAGAGATGGTCTAGTACTGGAGGTTATTCGATGTCGGTGATAATAAGAACAGTTGAGTACATAGGCGCAGAACCTATGAGAACATTGCAATTCTTTTCTTGGTCACTGAAAATCTAGATTGCTCTATTTGTATGCTGTATCTAATGGAAATTGCTCAATACTAGAGTATAAGGATGGCACTCAAAGATCGACCTAAATGTACAGTCTATTCTAAGTCTGGTCTACAAACACCTTTGACCTTGTCAATGATATCCGTCCTTCGCTTCACAGGATCGCCCAACTTGGCGATATCAGACTCTTTCATTCCACGGCGAATGTTTGCGACCTTGGTGATAGTAGCAATATCCGCAATAGCTAGAGGGGCAAGTATAAGGTCAAATATGGCCAGCGGCGCATTTTTGGGATCGTCAACCACGGTATAGATGTCTACAGCCGAGTTGCCGGCAGCCCCCAGCAGAGCCATGACTGTTCCGATATCCGTCAGTTCAGCAATGCTGCCAACCACCTCTCCTATGACAGGTACGATGAGGAAGATTGCGCTAAGAAACGCTAGAATGAAGGCTTTACGTTCTTCCTCAGTGATTTTGTCAGCGATCTGAACAACTGTTCCCATGTTCTCGGTAGCTGAGGCGAGCATCAAAATAGGTAGTGACAAAGAGTCGATCAGTTCCATATCGTCACCAAGGTAGCCATTCAGTTGCAACGCAGTCAACACCTGGTCTATCTGCGTAGGAAGGCCCTTGATCTTATCGAGGCCTTTGCTCACTACCTCCTTAGGGTTCGCAACATCAGAAGCCGAGTAGCCGTTGATAAGAGGCACATTATAGTACATGCCTATAGACCAGCAGTCATCACCAGCCTTTGCTGAGGGAGCGCAACTGTTCATCCTGTCATAGTTTCCCATCTTCGTCTTGGACTTGGGAATACCGGTGTTCAACTCGAGGTCAGCGAAGAAACCAGAAGAGTTCTTCCAAGTCCAGTAGACGGTTTGCTCGTAAGGGTTGTCGGGCCCGTATCCACGCTTGCTGTAGTTAGGTGGGCACGGTTCAGACTCATTCGCAGTTTTGACAATGAGTTCTTGGGAAGGCTGCACATCGTCCCGCTTGTTAGTGCAACCGACGACGTTGCACTCGTGATAACATTTGCCATCAAAGCAATAATCACAGTAGGAGTCGGATTTCTTATCGTCGTTGCAAGCCTTGCAGCAGATGGAAGTCTCTGCAACGACGCAAGTAGCGTAATCGTTACCATGATCGTCGATAAATCCCAGGAGCGATTGGCTTGCACTGCCCGCCACCGCTTTAGAGTAGATACCAAACTTCTTATCGTAACCATCGCTGAGTAACGTGGTGTAGTTGTTGAGAGTTTCGGTTAGGAGCGCCTTCAAGGTGGTGATAGTGTACTGAGCAACACAGTGCTGTGGAATACTAGAGGCATGGGCATCGAGGTCTTCAAAAGTGTTGTAGTTCGCACTGCAGGCAGATAGAGGTGTTGTGTCAGGTAGATCATCGTCTCCTTCTGGGTCCAGGTCATCATCAGTGAACTGCTGTAAGTCAACAGCCCAGTCGACTGTTCCACCGAAGTTCAGGCCTTGATAGTGCGCAACCCTAGACTTCTTCGTCGTATCGGACATGTAAGCCACCCAGTTGTTGCCGTAAAAGAGCGTATCAGAGTCACTGGCTTTGTCATAAATGTAGTCGACTCCGGCGCCTGTTGTATTGAGATCCATGATCTCTTCGATCTCGGCATTGGAAATGTAGCCTGCCGTTTGCGTACAGTTACCAGGTGTGGCTCCAGATTTTGGGCCCATGATGTGGCAGCCACTATCGCTCAGTGACTTCTCGCAAGCAGGGCGGCTTGTAAGTCCAAAGGAACGACCGTAGCTTGCGACTCCGACGTTGATCTTGCTGGCAGCAACACCAGCCTTCGTAACTGTGGAGATGTCAGTACCGGAAGATACAAAAAGGACATAATACCTACTCATAGCGAGCGCATAGGTAGTTTCGGTAAGGTTGACTATGAATCTATGTCAGCCTGAGACCCGGGGGCTAAGAAGAGAATGGGACTTACCATGACTGCGGACACAATTACCAGAAGAACAACCATCTTGAGCCCAAATGTTCTTGTAGTCCCACTGGCCTAGGACCAGAGTCAGCCTTGCTCAAGATTGAAGTATGACATGCTTACCGTGAAGATCATAGGTCATGTAAACGATGTAGTCAACCACCTTGGCCATATCCGCTATGGGAAATGCCTTGAGGTACCAGTACGACGCAGGCGCAGCAATCGAGATGCTCTTCGACGTTCCAACAGCTTTGCGAAGTTTCTGCAAGAAGTTCAAGTAGTTGGGACCGTCGGTCTTCAGGCCTGGTGGAATCCCAGGGATATCGGGAGCCTATGAAAGGTGTTAGCCGCCTGTTTGGTAGAGTACCTGTTTGTCTAACTCACACCAGGATATTCCCAATCAATATCGACACCATCCCAACCTTTCTTGAGGTAGGAAGCGATGTTGGCAACGAACTTGTCAACATTGGCAGGGTTCATAGCTGTCCTGAGTGACTCGAATGTTTTCGGATCTGTAGAGTAACCCCAGCCGCCGAATGAGAGGATCTTCTTGTTAGGCAGCGATAAAAAGTCATCAAGCTGCTTGTAAGTGTCATTGACAACGACGTTGTAGCTATTGTCGAGGGTAGCAAAACCCCAATGTGCGTGCGTGTAGGTTGTACCACCGAGATTGATTGCTCGGTAGTTGAGGCAAGGCCGATCCCAGTTCCACGATTCATAGTATGCGATCTTGATGAACTCCGTGGGCTTGTCCGAACTATGACTGTGTTAGTGTACTAGAAACTATAAGCATCAATTGAAAGTGACTTACTTGTTCTTGATGTCGATGCCGCAGTTTGATACGCACCCATTCTTCTTAGGAGGCGCCGTACCAGGATTGCCAGTCAATCCTTTCTCTGCCGTACAGTAGTCTGGCGTGATGCCACATTGACCCCAAATATCGCAGCAAGAGTTCAATGGGCACGGGTTCAGATCAGCTAAGCTTTGGCCTTTCTTGGGAGCAGTGGTTCCAGGTTTGAGAGGGCCACAAAGCGCATTGGATACAGGAGCTGGGAGAGGAGGTGTTCCTGTACTCAAGCAGATGTTAATACCAGCGGCCAGGCTCTTGCAACCATTCCAGCCCCAAGTGGTTTTGTCGTTGAACTTCTCGATCTGCTCAACGGTAAGACCGTTCCTGTTGGCCAGTAAAGCACAATAGTCACCGGTGTGAACGTTGTAACTGGCACAGCTTCCATCTTTACCTGGCTTGGGGGTGATGTCAGGTAGAGTACCTGCAGTGCAACATACTCTTTGACCAGGTTGCAATGTGGAACAAAGCTTCTTGTTGGGGTTATACTTTGAGAAGCTCGCAGCAGTAATACCGCACTTGGAGGCTAATGAACCACAAGAGTCCCCACCGACCACGCTGATCGCTTTGCAAGTCGCTCGGGCCTCATGTTTGTGTAGGTGCGCATGCCCATGAGTGTGTTTATGACTCCTGGCAGATCGCTTCGTAGAATTTCCATGGCTAAGAGGAATAAGAGGGGCCTCGAAGATCTTGACACCAGACATCCTGGTTGTAGGTTGTCCAACAGCGAAGCAAGTTCCGTTGCTCCAGGATGCAATCGCTTTCTGAATAGAAGCAAGATCCCCCGTAGTATCGATGGCGATACCAAAGGTATAGTCAGCGTTTCTGTCATCGCCGCAAAGCTCGGCAATGGCATTCGAAGGTGAAGCTGAGTCAAGATGGCTTTTGACCTGGTTCATGATGGAGGGTATTGTGCGGCCATTGTCGATAGCGTCACCGCTATGAATAGCAACAACGACGCCTTGGCTATACCCGACAAGAAACTTGGTCTGACAGTGAGTCGAACTCGACATGTACTGTTCGAGAGCACTCAAAGCGGAGTCCAGATGGATTGATGGAACAGTGTTTTCTGAGCTGCTTACGAGCATCTCAAGATCAACCTCTGAACCACTTGCTGTGATGCAGCTAGCGTCACTGAAGGTGTCTTCGATGGCTCGCTTCCCAGCCGAGGGTACCGTGGAAGAGAGAGGCGCAGTTTGAGAATTGCTGTCATCCCCCGTGGCACATGTTCTGAGCTTAATCACCGAAGAAGGGTCATCGAGGGGACTGAAGATTGCAAAGTCTAGCAGCATTGGTTCAAGACATGCCGTCAAGCGTTGGGTTGCAGAGTAGACTGTCCAATTCCCCGGAGTACCCTCACAGGATGCTGGGCAAGGAGAAAGTGTAGAGTCAAATCCATCATCTGCAGAAACAAAGACAATTAAGACACGGCACAATAAGCCTAAGGCTATTGCCTCCAGTATGCGTCGCATATTCAGTTTCCAAAAGATGGTGTAACGAGATATGAATATAGTGCAATCAGAATAAATTTGAAGCTCAGCCGTACCAAGAAGCGAACTCTTCGTGACTCTCAGGCGGATGTTATACCGCCAGAGAATTAACGAGCCAGATCCACATCCTTTCCAATTCAACCCGACCAACACTCATACGAGCTTCTACGCTTTCTCATGTCCTCGGCATGGGCAAGCTCCAGAGTTGAAACCCTTGTTGGCAAACAAACAGAAATCCCCTGAGAGCTGGGCTGATCCCACGATGCTCCAAGCCGAGTTTCTCTCCAAGCGCTGGTTCCGAGCGCGTGCACGGCATATATTTGCCGAAAACGCAGGTCTCTGCAGATATCATGGTCCACATACGGATAGCTGAGCGCTAGCTACAAGGGTCTTGACAAAGAACCCGACATGGTCTATCCACTACCAGCTGAGACCCGTGGCTGGAAGTTTATTCTTCAGTCTTTAGTTGGTTGGTCAGATCCACTCGGAACGGAAGAGCAATGCCTTTTTATGCATGTTGGTGATGCTTCATAGCCGGTAAAGGCTGATTGTCCAGGTTTAAAACTCAATTTAAATTTGTTTCTGCTCAGCTGCCTTTTTCATCTTGGACCTGAAACCCGCCGATGAGGGCTTTTTCAACCAACACGTTGAAAGAAGCCGAATAGCCGAAATAGGTCACTGGTAGAGGTTCCCAGCCCTTAGAGTAAAGTTTCCATTTTGGCTCAATATACTCTAACACCAGTCGCTTTTTTTTTTTAATGTCTATCGAGACCAGAGAGGCCTACCCGGCTGACGATCTTTCTGGTCACTGGCAGTCTTGCTATTTCATTTTCATATATGATAGTTTCCTTCTTCCATTCACATATATCCCCATCGCCTGTTCTTTAGTCCTACTCTCGTAGAGCCCATCATGCGTAGTTACCACTTGGCCAGCACTTGGGTGTATCTTTTGATACAGCTACTGCCAGCCGCCATCGCTTATGGAGAGCGTGGCATTGCTGAACGGTACGTGCAGTGAGCTTTACAAGACCTTTGCTGAGATAAAGAATCATAGAATGCTGTACTGGAGCGCATACCTTTGCGAAGAGCAAACCAAGATCCTTGACCCGTCTTACGAGTACACGGTTGCACCAGGATGCCTTACCAAGGATTCCAAGAGGACTCGCTGCACTTTGGACGAGTTCTTACTCCAGTGAGTAGCTTGGACTTCTTTTACGCGTTCGTACTGACATAAGAAACAAGCTTATGGGCTCCAAAGCATGATTCAAACCCTCCAGATACGGAAAGGCCTTATAGAATGAAGGTATCAACCGGCATCGAAGATATGCCTGGCAAGTCGTTCAACCAATTCGAGGGCGCTCTCAATAATGCAAAATTCAATACTAATCTCCCGGTTGATGGTAATGTCGATACCTCAAAGCTTTATCCCGGGGCTACGGACTACTATGATGCGCTTTCAAAGATGGGCAAGCCTATCCAGGCCCTGAGTTCGGCATTTGTGAAAGCCAAAGCGAATGATCCGAGTTTGAAAATGACCAACCAGATTAATAAGCCGTGGCTGCTTGGTAAGAACTGCGCAGCCTATGTCTTTGCCCTTCGGCGAAAGGATATGGATGTATACCGAGCTACGTTCCTGCGTGAGAAGCTCAGTACACCCCCCGGACTCCGCGGTGGCTTCATTCCTGTATTCACAAACATTGATACTGCTAAAATGGTCCAAGGGGGCACACCGGAAAGTATCCCGGCAATTGACTTTGACAAAACAATCTCTCGCTACGTCAGCACGGTTCCAGACATTGAAAACGTGATGAAGGAGCAAAACGACGCTTTTATGAATGTCCAAAGAACGCCTGGGGAGTTCATCAACAAAAATCATTTCAAAGCGGTAGAAGCTGCCCGGTGTGCAATGACTGGTTGCAACTGCCAAGCAGTAATTCCACGCGAACTCAGAAAGAGGCAAAGGTCGCAGGGTATTTTCACAAGAGCAGTCACGGCCTGGAAATGGGAGACAGATCCAGCATCCGTACACTGGGGTGGACCCAAAGCAGCCAGGTCAAGGAAAATGAGAGCCCGGCGACTCGCAAGAATTGGCATTGAACCAAAGGCAATTGACGTCTAAGATATGGCATAGGGAAACCTGGACAGATTTTTCAGATAATTGTATCTTCACTGAGTGTTTAATCAAGAGGCAAGGCCCATGAATGTCCCGATAAATGCTCTGTTGCGTTGGCGCCATGTTCAGACTCCCGTAAAGGTCAGATGCAGTTGCGCTCCAGTGAGCGTCCAAGTAGGAAGGTCGGAGGCCACTAAAAGGCTAAGCACTGAGGCACTAATAAGAAACTCAAGTCTCAGTGTTGGGTCTATCCGGCTGTTCGGCACTCCAAAATCAGGCCATGCGCACGAACCCATTATTTATTATGCAGGGAACGTCCGTGTCTTGATAAATCCCTCTGAAGCCTGAACCAACAACCAACCGACGTGAAATACGGGCCAGTTGGACTTGGCTGTGTTTCGCAGTGGTTTCTCCCTACAATAGCTAAACGCCCCAAGATAATTTGCTTCCTAGCAATATCCATCTCCCACCCATCTTCTCACGCAATTTCTGGTTTCCTCACTACATCGACACGTTTGTCACTTAACAAATAAATAGCCAACCTGATGCGTCCAACTTCTCCCTTTCATCAAGTCAATGAGCTTTCGCTTATTTGCTCCCAAAGTTGGGGTCGTGGTTCTCCTGATCGTTTGGACCAAGAGCTATCTTCAGGAGCTGACCCCAACAATCAGCCAGAGAGAGCCCATGAGTTACTCTCTTCTATCGAGTCACTTTGGTATGCTCAAGATCCACCACCGCAGTTTGAGCGGTATGGCGAGCAGTTTCAGCCTCCTCTTTACTGTGCTGCCAACACATTCTCCAGCACGCCAGTTTTCAAAAATGAAAGACTGCAAATGATTGTTTCGCTTCTTCGGCATGGATCCAATCCTTTTCTGGAATTTCCGCAAGCTCTACGCAATCCCAGACATTCCTCTGGAAGCAGAGCGCCGTTCCCCGGTGAAGACCCTCCACGAACTCCAGTCGCAGACTACCCCCTTGAACTCAATAGTCTAGAGTCGTTCGAAGAGGAAGATCGTCCGCACTTTTCAGACGATGAGTGGGATGACGAGAATTCAACGCCTGTTTGGGGTGCTCGGCATCTTATACATGCCATCATCGAGGACGGGATTTGGCTCAAGCCTTTGATGGACTATCCCGGCTTTCTGGAATCATTAGACCTTGAACATCGTGATCCTCAAGGACGCACACTCCTGCTCAGCGCGTGCCGAAGTGCAGCTGGGGCCGATATACTTGCTGGAACCGCTTTGGCGGATGTTGATTGGAGAGTAGAAAACGGAGACCCAGGCGAGAAATTTTATCCAAGCTGGGATCGATTTTTGGGGCCGAGTGAGTCAGATTTCTCAGAGCCAGGCTCGGAATCTTTGATTGAAGTATTGCTTCGGCTTGGGGCAGACCCTCTCGCGGTAGACAATCAAGGGAAAAACGCGTTGCATCACCTCCTCGTCGAAGTCAGTAATAATGGAGATGCGGAGTTACCCATAGTTCGGCGTTCTTTACGCATCATTTCGTCGAGATACCAGTCTTTGGTCGACCAACCTGATCACCATGGAACATATCCTCTACATGCAGCTCTTCGGCGGATGCGCCTCCATCCCTTGGCTGAAAGCCGTTACTCCGTTGCCATGGCAGAGCCTCTCGGGTGTGTTCAGGATCTTATAAGAGCTGGTGCTGATCCTCGGGCCAAAGACAGAAAGGGCAATATGGCGCTGCATTACTTAGCTGATGACGATTTGACTGCCGCCTGGCACGGGTCAGAAAAGCGACAACTGTTCCATGACCTGTTAAAGATCGCGTTTTGCGATGATATAAATATGCGAAACGACGCAGGAAAGACTGTGGCAGAGCTCATATTGGATGATAACGGCCACATGGATGATGAAAAGGCGAGTACCTTTCGCTCGACCAATACGGACGAGGAGCAAGATTGGCAACTTTGGAACCACGTCGATGTCGAGGTTCTTAACGCCCTAGATGAGGCCGGGGTTGATTGGAAGGCAAAGACATCAGAAGGTGGAAACTTGTTACATATCGTGGCAAGATCTGGGCTTGACGATCGCAGATTGATTTTGAGGAGTCGATATCTGGTGCAAAAGGGAATCGATGCAAAAGAACCAGACGCAGATGGTTGGACAGCGAGGAAGATTGCAGAGCATTACAAGTTGAACAAATTACATTTCTATGCAGAGCTCGGTAGGCTGGAACAGGGTGAGGTTGAGGATTACTAGAGGGCATAAAGAAGATAATTATCCAGCTCGCATCAGTTAGCTTAAGTTTGCAGCCTAGGAAAAATATAAATGTGAAAGGATTACTCACGGGCATGCATCATGTCAAGGAAATATGTTTGTACTCGGATTTATTCACCAACCCCACTCCAGTCCACCAACGCCCATCCTCGACGGTATCCTCTCTAACTAAACTCCTCATGCACCGACCTCCAACAAACCGGTCATCAACAACATCTAAAGACATTCTACTCTCTAATAAATACCTTAAGCAGCAACCTCCAAGACACATCGTCCAGCGAGTTGGCCGGAAGCAAGCTTCTTGATCCATTGATCAAGATCTTCAAGCTTGCCCTTGGAAAGAATTGGCTATAGAACGTTAGAATACTGCTATCATGTTCTTGTCCTCTTTGGCAACACTTACTCGGACGAGACCTCTAGCAGTGAAGTCAAGAGCCTCCTCGACATCCTTCATACTACCAGTAACACTTCCCACGATCTTCAATCGTCGCAGAGCAACTGCCATTGGAGGTGCGCCAGCAATAACAGTTGGGTCTTGAGGAAGACCAACAGCCACAGCAGTTCCATTGGGACGGAGATAGTTGGGGGCAGTCTCGTATGCCGCTCGTGTCGCAGCTGTGATGATGACACCGTGGGCGCCGTATTTTGTGATCTTCATAACCTCGGCAGTGATGTCCTTTGTTGTCTTAAAGTCGATGAAGACTTCAGCGCCGAGCTTGAGACATAGATCTCGCTTTTCGTCGCCGCCGTCGATAGCGATGACTCGCATGCCCATGGCTTTGGCGTATTGGATGCAGAAATGGCCGAGACCGCCTCCAGCACCTGGGATGACTAACCACTGGCCGGGAGTTACGCCTGATCTTGGAGAATATTAGCATCATGTAATTGTGAATGGCGATTTGGCTTACCGTTTGCAAGCTGTGTATGCTGTTACGCCTCCGCACATGATCGGTCCCGCCTCCTCATCAGAAACACCATCTGGAATTCTTGAAGTATATCTTCCGTCCGCAATAACATATTCCTGGAATGTCCCCGCAACGGAGAATCCGCTGTTCGTCTGGTTAGGGCAATGAACTTCATCCGAACCAGACCTGCAAAAGTCGCATTCGCCACAAGTGCTGGCAATCCACTTCACACCAGCCCGATCACCAATCTTCCACCTATTCTCCATGCCTTGACCAACAGCAACGACATTACCAGCTCCTTCGTGCCCGGCGATACCTTTGGAAGCATCCATCATGCTGACGCCAAAGTCTTTCCACTCATTGTGCAGGAGAGACTTGTCGGAACCGCAGAGGCCAGTCCATGTGATCTTGACGAGAATTTGGCCAGGTCCCGGCTTTTCAACGTCGACTGTGCGGATAGGAGCAGTTGCTTCTGGGCCGAGTCCTTGACGGACTGCTGCTCGTTGTTGAGAAGGAATTGACATTATGAGTTGAAGGTGATGATAGATCGAAAAAGACTGTTTCAAAGGCTCTGGTGTTGAGACATCTGGAAAGACAGGCGCGAGGATGTTGGCTTTTTATATCATTCGAGTATTGATCGGTCCACATCAGGCAACTTTCCATGCGGGCATGATTCCGCAGGATCTTTCGAAGCAGGGCGGAAGCAGGGTAATTGTTAGCCTGATGGTGAGGGGTCGAATAAGGTGACACAAAGTGGATCTAAACTGTGTTCACTTTCTCCATTCGAGTAGCAAATTTGGCAAAGAGCAATGGACAAAGGGAGCTTGTCTGTTTCCGTGATTGCTTTGACTTGTCGCTTTGACATTATGTATGCCCGTTAGCCCGGCATGCATATCGAAGGATCCATGCGGGGAAGTCGAAACGGCAAATGTGATCTTGTTCCAAGGAGGAGATATCACCTGATGGAGGGTTCCGAGGAACTCGAGTCAGGGAAAACTAGTCAGAGCTCATGCTCAGATCGAAAAACTGAGATCTAATTGAGAATTGGAAAGGTAAAAAGACGAAATTGAGTTTATCGTAGATCGCCCTTGACGCCGAAAAGCTCATGGGACATGAAACAAACATGCATCATGGTGTCGTACAAATGCCACGCTGCAGGGATGTAACGAATAGTTCTCAACAAAATGTCGGAACCGACAACACTATCGCATGCATCCATATCTCGATTCAGAGCATAATTGGAGCAAGATCAAATCTTATTGGCACGTCAGAAGTTCCATGGCCTGATATCTTGCAACAGCGTGGTTGGGGCAAAGAACAGGCGATCTCGACAAGGATCGACGGCCTGAGTGGGGGTTTTCTACGCGGAACAAAATCCGGGGACCACAAGAAGATCTGGGGAAATCAGAGAAGCCCGAGAGCCCGATCTCTGTTTTGCGCATTCTATTGGCTCACTTTCATTTATATGATGCGCTTTGATGTGGCTACTGTTGTCAAAAACGTCGTGAGGCTCGGTTGTATATCCCCGCTATTACCGTGTTCCGAGACCGAGGCTTCGTTCGGGCCGTTCACTAGCTGCTATGTATTTGTCGCCTGATCTGCGATGCAGTAGATCTTTGGTCATACAAAATGGTAATCTTGAAGATTTTTTAGGTGTACTGAAGTATCTTATGGTAGACGGAGGGAGAGTCTTATCTGTTGCATTTCATTACTGATATAAACGTTTGACGAAAATCCTCCTCTCATTGAGAACATTGTCATTCAGATACATCTCAGCGAGTGCCCATAATTGTTGGTCACCTATTTGAGAGACTTATATAGATTACACTCAGTGCCCCAAAGGAGCGAAAGAAATATTCCTGGCGCCCATGTTTGGCTTGGGCTATGGTAGTCGGCTTCCAGATGTTTCTTATCTTATCACCATACCCATCGTGACAGTAACCGCAACCGGTAAGGTTGATGCGAATGGAAGATAGCCTTTCGTCTACGGATATTAATCTTAATGAAATGATTTTTGGCTGGTGAAATACATGTTCATTTCGCCCCTATTCTTGCAAACTTCGTCCTCTGAAGCCACGCAGAATTGACAAATATGATTACGGAGACAACTGGCTGGTGTGGTTGGTGTGAAGTTGTTGAAGACTGCGATGTTAACGTGTCTACCATTGGATTATTCAACCCGGATAACAGTCAACAACACCGGAATGTTCCCAAGGACGTACTCACAGCCTACAACCGCCGTCTAGGCATTCGACACATTCGCCACTTCGCCGGGCCCTACCGATTGCAGAAGGACGAATCTTCAGTAATAATTCAAATCGATGGAGCTTGCCGAGGAAATGGATCGCGGTATGCCCGAGGCGGCTGGGGAGTTTTCTTTGGTCCCGAGTCGCAGTACAACACCTGGGATCTTCTGCCGCCTGGCGCGCCGCAGACCAGTACTTTCGCGGAACTTTACTCCCTGATGATAGCGCTGGAAATGATCCGTGACGAACTACCGCTCTATCCCGAAACCGTCTTCATCGTGTCGGACTCTTCATATCTGGTTCGAGTCTTTACGGAGTATATGCCTTTCTGGCTGGATAATCAGGGTATAAACTCCCGAGGACAAAGGGTGGCGCACTGGAACTTTTTGCTAGATATCAGACAGATTATTGATGACTTGGCTCTTAATGGCGGTCGGAAGATGGAGCTCAAGTTTTGGCATGTACCGAGAGAGCAGAATGTGGCTGCTGATGCGCTTGCGAACCGCGCTTTCAATTGAAGATTTACTACTCCGTACCGGTAGTCTATGCCGCCAGGGGAATATAGCGGATTTGGGTTTTTTTATCTTATCAGTGGATCAGGTTAATCTTATGCAGGCCTTATGCAACTGATCTAACGCTAATATGTTAGTTCAAATTGGCGGTGAACATTTGTGACACGAAGCACGAGCACAAGCAAAACTGAGCCCACGCATCGATCGATCGACAAAAATGTCTGCTGCAGTGGACTTTCCTGAATGCGAGTCACCACCTAATGAGGCGCAAGACTCCGGAGAGGAGCAAGAAGAAGAGAAGGAGTATGAAGAACGCGAGAGACGCTTCGACCCAGCAGCCTACCCAGAGCTTCGCGACATCCCCCACGAAAGACTCATCCAGTTCGATCCTGAAACGCAGATGTCAAATCTTACCCGCAAATGCTCGGAAACGGGAGAAATAAAAGTCGATTCCACCACATTCATCATACACCTAGCCAATGGGCACAACCCGGTCTCATATTCATGGGCTTTGTACTTCGGCCCTCAATCTCGCTACAACAAATCTTATCTTATGCCTTGGATCAGATCCATTAGCGAAGAAGAAGCAGGGTACCAGAATTTGGAAGTCGCACTCGATCACATCTTTGATCACATAAGTGCTGAGATGAAGCAGGTGATCATTGCCACAGACTCCCCATCGCTGTTTGAGCTCGTTACAGAAGAAATACCCGAAATGGCGAGGGATAAGGATTTTCGGGAACGAGGACAGGGACAGCCCAATACATTTCATGTCATCTGGAAATGTCTCAACGCGGATCAACTGAGCTCTTATGATGACAGGACGCTGGACTTTCGCTTCTGGCTAATACCGGAGGAGATGAACCAGGAGGCTCAGGCAATGGCGCAACGCTTGATAGATGCAGAAATGCGAAAGGTACTTGCCGAAATTGCCGAACCTATCGGGTACCCGCGAGTGAAACGGAGACGGAGGTTCTGAAGGAGGAGGCTTTATTACTAGTACATATGACTACACTACACCGAGAACCAATCTATCATGCCAGGCCTGCCGCCGGTGTCCTGCACCAGTCAATCCCAGTATCATATCAAAGAGATACCTCTTGCAAGTTGATAAGAGTTGTCTAGTTATTGCCGGCAGCTGCACCAGCACCGGCACCGGCTCCTCCTGTCAGGCGCTCGAGGATGCTGCCGAGAAGACCTCCGGCACCACCGGCGTCAGCACCATTGCCACCTTGAGCAGCGTCACCTCCTGCAGCAGCATCTCCGCCAGCAGCGGCGCCATCGTTGTTACCAGCGTTGCCCTTGTTTCCATTGGCAGCACCATCGTTAGCAGCGCCGTCGTTGGCGTTACCGTTGTTGTTTCCAGCATCCTTGTTGCCGTTTCCATTCTGAGCGTTACCCCCGTTGGCGGCGTCATTGCCGTTGTTCTGGCCAGCGTTTCCATTGTTGCCGTTGCCGTTGCCATTGCCATTGTTTCCGTTGTTACCGCCCCTGTTTCGTCCCCTTCCATTACCGTTCCCGTTACCGTTGTCGACAGTGACAGTAGCGGTGACAGTGACAGTAGCAGCGGCACCATCAGTAGCGGCAGCAGTGTCGGTAGCAGCGGGGGCTTCGGTCACAGCAGCAGTGTCACCGGCAGCTCCGGTCTCGCCAGCAGCACCTGTTGGAGTAGCTGCAGGAGTCTCCTGGCCAGGAGTGTTGACAGCATCAGTCTGTCCGGGGGGGAGAAGCTGGCCGGGGCCAAGAGATCGGGTGACGACGGTCTCGTTGGCGATGCGGCTCTGGATGGCACCGACATCGGTGGCGACATCGGTGGCAGCGTTGGTAGCTGTGTCAACGGCGGTAGCAAGGGACTCGGTGGCAGTAGCTTGATCGCCCTGGTTTCCTCCATTGTTTTGGTTTCCTCCATTGCCATTGCCATTACCGTTGCCTTGGTCGTTGCCGTTATTGCCGTTCCTGCCACCTCGGCCTTGTCTGCCACCGCCATTTTGTCCGTCCTGGCCGTCCTGGTTATCTTGTGCATTCTCGTCATCTTGCTCGTTCTGATCGTCTTGGGCGTCGTCGCTACCATCCTGTTGTCCCTGGTCCTGCTGTCCACCACCACTTAGCACCAAGATCTCGGGCTGTCTTTGTTAGTGAGGGGCCACTGGAAATCAGGAAGTTTGTTCTTACCGATCGGGGTTCGATGAGGCCAATCACTGGCACGCCAGAGACTGGTAGAGCTGCAGAAGCCATCAAGGCCTAGTAAAGCTATTAGCCCGAGCGAAGCAAAGTCAAAGACCAGATACATACCGCGAACTTTCCAGCCAGTGCTGGGGTCGGCCTTCTGTCACCAGAAAGGGCCTGGGCTGCAAGAGCACCGATAACGATGTTGGAGAAATACATAGTGAGTAATATCGAATGATTGTGTTCAAACAATTAAGGAAAAAAGGCTGCCCAGCAGTTATTGATTGTAAAAAGGCACCAGTCCGAAAAAAGAAGAGAAATAGTCGCGTCAAGCGAATCTTGATAGTCTGAAAATGAGAGGTGAGTGTGGATGACGAGAAATATGTTTGGTGGGAACAAACCAGTCTTCTTATACATGATGTCCCCATCTCGCTACAACCCTCCCAAACATGATCTCAAAATAGATTCAAGCAAAAGCTTAACTTCGGAAACTTTGCTGATACACCAAACGCCAAGAATGGACTTCAGTGGCAGTGCTTCCCCAGATGCTGATACAGGTCTCAAACTTGGGATCGACTGTTAAGCTTTCCCTTGGCGGAATCGTTGATCTATAGTGGAGTTGGGAATCGACGACTAGGGATGTCAAGTTTGGGGTTTGGTTTCATTGGTAATATCTTGTGAATAAATGCGTTTGGTTGAAACGTTGCCGAATGCCGATGCTGGTTTGTTTCATGTATACGATTACATAGTCAGTTTGGAGTGAGGCGGCCCCTGGAGGCTACTACACGAGATGTGTCAGATTGTTACCGGATGACAATGGACCGTGTCAGAGGCTATAATCCTGGTTTCTTCGTTCAAATTGAGCACATAATTCGTCTATCTTATTGCGCTACGATGAAATCGATTAAGCTTGTTTCCCGAGTAGGCATGAGGTGCGAGTTCCAGCCTCTAAAAAAGGCGCGTCATTGCGTGAGCGTCACATCGCGCATGTTACAGAACCCTGGAGACTTGCAGAGCCGAGCTTCATCAATGTCTCAAGGTAGCATATCTCGATAATAGGGTATAAGATTAAGAAATACATAGAGCTGTGAACGCAAATTCTTAAATGCGATTGGGTTGTCCATAAACATCTGCCTGTAATAAAACGAATGTTATCCCTTGGTGGCCGAAACCATAATCGTCAAGCTGAAGAAACATAAACAGATATCATAGAAGCATGCCCATACCAGCCAGGATACCCAGAGTCAGTCCAAAAACACTCACAACTCCATTTCCAGGAGTTTTGGTGGAAGCAGCATTTCCATCACTACCCTCACCGTCCCCCTCATTCTCATCATCATTATCACTATCGTCCTCATCCTCGTCCTCCGCTTCATCCAGATCAGACTGATGGTGAACCAAAGGCACCGCTGGCACCCAAGTAGCAACAGCAAGTTCAGTCGAATACCGTGAATGAGTAAATAGGCTGTCATCTTCATACGTTGAAGCTGGCGTACTCAGAACGTCGAAAGAAATCAATGGCTGTGTTAACGAAGCGCCATCCACACTCGTGACAGTTATTATTTGCACTGGCGCTGGGCTGAGGCACACGGATGAATAGTTGAATTCACTCATTGAACCAACCGTTGAGAAACAGCTTCCACCGGGATCTGCCACGTAATCACTTAACTTGTCAGTTTTGGCTTTTGTACATCAATATACATTCCAACGTACCTGGGACAGCACAAGGCAATTGTTTCTGAGACATTCATAATTTGGCCCCAGAAGACAGAAGCCTCGAGTGGCTGCGCTTCATAGGTAGCTGACCGTATCGGGCGTGAAAAGACCCCGGATACGCTGAGGGAGGAATCTCCGTCTTTTACCATGGATCCAGCTGTGGTCCAACCAGATGGACAGGCTATTCCGGGGGAGTAGTAGTGATACCATGCCCGGTTCAGCGGTGTAGTCACACTTCGCAGCGAATCATATGAATTTCCGCTGGGTATACAACTACCTTGGTCTTTCAAACCGCACGTCGGGAAGCCCCAGACCTCGTAGGGTGCGCTTCCGTTGGCGATGACATGATGATCAGTGCCAGTTGCACAAGCTGACGGGGCCGAGAAGGTTGTAGTTAATGGACCCAGATTATAGGCAGTAAAACCAAAGAACTCTGTAGAAGTGGGCATGGTCGTTTAAGTTTGGTCAATATACTTTTTTGTAGCGAAGGAACCTGAAGAATGGATCTGTGACACGAGATATGGAGGCTTTTGTGTTTGGGAGATGTCCGCCAAGAGGAACCTCGTCATTGTTCCTGGGCATTTTCTACGTCACGCGACAATTTGCCAAGAGTGATGGACTTCAGCTCTGTTGGCTAGAATTATTCGTTGTATGAATGGTGTAGAGTGACAATCACTCTTGGCGAATCCTCAATGCGGGTGGGTGAGCAAACGGCCCCCAATGTACATCTCATTTCAGGCTCAACGGCCGTCATTTCCAAGGAATTAAGATTCAGTTCCAAGGCAGAAGTTGATTAGATCATATTAGCCTATGCTGAGATTTCCCAATTGAAGTAAATATACGGCAATCTGGCATTTGAGCTGAAGATTTGTATGAGGTTAAATGACGTTGTATCTCATGGCTACCCTGTATGCGCAGATTAAACCCAGGCTTGGCGCGTGGATTTAAGCATCAGAAGTAATCAACGAATCGAGAAATCGCCGAGCAACCACCTCGCAACCGCCCCGTCTTTCCAGTCAGCCACTTCTAATACATCATTTGGCCCTCGACTTATAATACGTTCCGCAAGACTAGATAGAAAACCCTGAATCAATGAGAACATTAGATCCAGTAACAGATTCCGATTTTATGAGCAGGACAATCTGTTCTGCGACGTCCTTTTTGGTAATTAGTACTTCTCCAGTGACATGGGAATCACAACTTGCGTACCTCAACTTTGGCGATCTGCTTGAGGAGAGTCTTTTCTCTAGCAGCGTCGATCTTTGATTGTGGCATATTGGCGATCCAATTCTTGAAAGTCGACTTAGTCAATACCGCCAGATACATGGGGACTTTCACAACTTACTGTTTCCATAAAGCTTGGGGATACAGAGTTGGCACGAATTGATGGTGCCATGACCGTAGCCAAAGTCTTTGCCAGATGGATTTGCGCAGCTTTGGTAACAGCATATGCCTAGGTCAAAGATTTAGCTCCGTCTTCTCGTACAAGAGTGATTACTAGATTACTCACGATAGAGCTCCCGCTAGGCTTGACTCCCGCGACAGACGCAGTCATGACAAATGCACCTTTGGCTTCCTCCAAATGTTTCTTCACCGCATGGCAGAGAAACATGTGCGACTTGACATTAGCCGCATAACAGCGATCCCAAACTTCCTCATCAACATTATCGTCAATGTCGTGGAAATTCGCAAACTTGGTCCATCCAGCGTTTGACACCACGGCATCAATTCTACCCATAACAGATACCGTCTGGTTGACCAACTCTTGGATTCCTTCTCTCTTAGTCACATCAGCCTTTATTTTCAAGCATCGCTGTCCAGTATCCGGCGAGAAACATATCGAAGCTAATTGGTTCAGGTGCACGAAAGCATCGTGGGCCCGTTCATCGTCGTTGACGTAATTAATGACTACCGAGGCGCCGGCTTGAATCAACTTTTCCGCCACGCAGAGACCGAGGCCAGATGTACCGGCTGTTACGAGAACGACGGATCCTTGAAGAGAGCGCGTCATGATTTAGTGACTGTAGATGGTAGCTGACTCGATGATTGATGAATGTGAGGCATAAGTTGGATTGATGAGACAAGTACGGGGTAGCTCCGCATCACGGAGGCTGATCTCCAACCATTGACGCGGGAGACCGGTTTCGGAATCAAGGAGGCGGGCCAATCTCGCGGTGTCTCAATCTGGAGGACGATAAGCAATTCTGTGTTTTCGAGACGCTTGATATCAATCTTGACTTCAATTGTGTCGATAACTTGTACAATGCCACATTACATCCCGCTGGCGAACAATCATACCGCTGCTATACCCGTCTAATGCCCGCTCTCGGCTCCCCGCTCAGGAGCCGACACTAAGCATGCCAGCCTCACAGTTCTGATCCCCCGGTTCCGATTTCTCCTCAATCCACTCACTCACCCACTGTACCAACCATGGACCCGACGCCTCAAAAGTCCCAACACGACAAACGTCGTCGCCAGCAGCGAAAAGCTTGTGATTTATGCCGCCGTCGCAAAGTCCGCTGTGACATAGTAGACCGACCATCAGGCCCATGTTCCGTCTGTGAAAAGTCCGGGTTCGAATGCCGGTACGGCTCCGATGCGCCCTGTGAGAAAGAGAATGATAAGCTGATAAAGATTCAGATCAACGGCGAAATGGGCTGTTGCGAGAAGAAGTTCGCTGGCTTCTAGAAATGCTTATGATCGTGATACACCTGCGAGATCGCCAGGAGTATCGCAGCCGGATCCGGAGGCCGGAGCCGTTGAGCGGGATGATCATCTTTCGATCCTCGGACCCGATGCTTCATCTGCATCATCGCGGCGTGACAAGTCATCAAACGATGCATCGCGCTCGGATGGCCAAGAGAAACTCGCTCGGGAGGGACTAGCGAGGTTCTTCAAGCATGGCATCGGGGCTGCGGCTTGGGCTGTTTTTGCATCGACCAAGAGCTTTCGCATCGCTTATGTCGGCACGGCTGTGTCGAACCTGGTTCATCTTGTCGACTTACATCGTTCTTTCAGACAGCCTTATTCTTCCATTCTTGGCGACCAGAGACCTTTGTCTGCGCCTACAGGACCCGATACTCATGGCTCGTTTCAAGAGTCTGCAGATGGAAGTACCAGTAGTGATAGGATAGGTGGCAAACCGTTGCATTATCCATATCCTCCGATCAGACAAGTCAAGTCTTGGAAACCGACACCGAACTCATGGGTGACTCAAGATTTGGTGACGGAAGTATCGTCGTTCCCGGCGCAAGAAGTTCGCGATGCGTTGGTACAAGCATACTTTGATCACATCCACCCATTTTTGCCCATCGTATCAAAGCCAGAATTCCTCGCTCGATATCGTACACCTGATAATCCTCCACCACTTCTACTATTTCAGTCAGTCCTAATGGCCGGTGCCCACGCATGTGCTCATCCTCTCGTCGCCACTGATCGCCATGCCGTCCAGAACAGACTCTTCAGAAGAGCGAGTATGCTATACCATATGCGCCATGAGTCAGACAGAATGCATCTTCTCCAAGCAGCAGCCCTGTTCACATGGCACATAGGCGATGGTGATACAGTCGCCGGTGGGCCGTGGTACTGGGCTGGAATCGCTGTGCGAATAGGTACTGGCCTTGGTGCTCATCGGAGAAGCTCTCAACTCCCATCTACAGAGATGGCGCAGTATCGACGCTGCTGGTGGTCTGCTTTTTTCTGTGAAGTATTTTCTTCGTTAGAGACTGGGAGGCCTTGTGCAGTGCGAGCAGAGGATATAGACCAGTTGCCACTTCAGCAAGAGGATATCACTGATACACCGAGCAATGACCCGACAATCGCCGAATCTGGAGTCAGCCCTGACTTTCTGAACCACCTCGTTGATCTAGCCTACATCGGCCTCGACGTCATTGCACTCAACGCACCCGCCCGAGATCGTGTCATAGATGTAGCATCAATCGACGCCCGTCTAGGTCTATGGTCGCTCCGCTCAGGCATATCCACAGTCGCAGAAGACGACGACTCATGGACATGCCATCTCAGAATGCACTACAATCTCCTCCTTTTGCACCTCCACCGCAATCTCCACGAACAAAGCAGCCAGTCAATCTGCTCAGCAGCAGCCCAAGCAATTGTTACATCGCTCGAAAAACTCACGGCACGCGATGAACTGCGCCAATGCCACTTTACCTCCGTCAGCGCGGTGACAGCAGCTGGTATACAATTCGCCGGTGAGATTCGTGCAGCTGTAGCCTCTCAGACGTTTTTAGTCGCCATTAATGCACTTGAAAGACTATCGAGACTCTTGAGATCAACGATATTACTTGCGAGACACTGGCCTAATGCCGAGGCTGTTCATAGTGTCTTTGAGGAGCTACATCGCGAGTATGAGACGCTTGTTACGCAGAGATTGCAGGGCGAACAAGTCATGGTGCCGGAGAGTCCGCCTGATTGGAACAGGTTGCTTGGCGGAGAGGGATTGCACCAGTTCAGTAACTTCACATCGGATCAGGATTGGATGAACATTAATAGCTGGACGGATTTGTTATAGGGTCCAGCACAGCAAACAATTGAGCATCAAATAATCGAGTTACTGGTTCAGTCCATGATCATCTTGATTGGCACGTGTAACTTGTGAATCAAAAGATGGCTACGCCACTTGGCGGACTAGCCACGCCCCCAGGAACCTAACACGCATCAGACCATCGGCTCAACGAGACGCGGAAGGGAAAGAAACGTACCTTGAGTGGCATACTCGAAAAGAAGAAGGACCACCTCCCTCGCTTCTCACACTCTTTACTCAAAGCTTCCAGGTCAAACAACTCCCCAATTGGCATCCCCCAGCCCGCCAACAACCACTCATGCAGAAAGAAGTCCGTGTTCTGGCAAGGCCATGCCTCCATGCTAGGTTGATCACCCGCAACTGCTGCAAAGTCTTGCTCCCAGAGCCATCGGAGCGTTTCTTCTGAAGACTCGACACCATGAGCTGGTGGGACTTTGTAGTCTGCTAATGTCTTGCACTCATCATCGGAGAGCTTGTCGTAGGCTCGAACCCAACCTGTGCGAATGAACAGGATATCGCCTTTTTGGAATGTTGTTCCTTCACTTTTGGCAACTTCCTTTAGTGTTGAAACGGTGATTGACTTTGTTTCAAAGGGAGTTAAGGCGATGCCGTTCTTATCTGCCCAAGATGCGTAGTCGAGTAGTACTCCGCGTCCAACGATACCACCTCGCTCAACCCAAGCTACACACGTCAGTAATATCCAATTAGAGCGAGTATAGCTTACACTGAATACCGTTGACATCCGAAGATAAGAGATCATCAAGGCTCTTCCCATTGAACCAAAGCTTCTCCTTCTGATAAGCATAATGCCTAAACCCATCCCACTGCGAACTACTCTGTGTATTGAATGTCAGAGTATCATCATTGACAGCACGAGGGCTCTTGGTAGTGATTTCATGCTTGAATGGTGCACGACCGAAACAAGGCCGTGACATTCGATTGAGGGGCCAATCGGTAGAGACTCGAACGCCGTCTCGTATCTCTGATGCTGCTTTTGCTATGATTTCTGGGGTCAAGAGGTTTAGCATCCCACATTGGTCGTTTTCACCGAAAAGACCCCAGGCATTTCCTGGAGGACCATCTTTGCGAAGGGGAAGGGCGTCGAAGGATGGTTTGGACGTCATTGTAAGTTTTTGTTATGTTCTTTTGTTGATGTTCGCGTTGGTGTCGACTTTATGTCAAGACCCCGCCTTTTGAGGGGAACCGCGGCAAGAAACTCGATCATTATGTTGGTAAAAATGCGATTTGTCATCACTACAGAAGAAGAAGAATTCAACACTCAAGAGTTTTACTATATCTATACCACGATCTTTGTTCACAAATCCTCTACCATCCCGATATCGTATCGCAATCCTCAATTACCTTGGGCTATGAAATCAGTAACATCAGATCCCTGGCTAGACGCCATACCTGTCTTCACAACAACATTTTATCCTCCGACCCGTATTCCTACTGCGCACGCTGCAGCAAGGTAGCCCTCTCAGCAATCTTCACTGATCTTACCCGCCTCATCTCCTCCTGCCTTCTCTGCTTGCTCTTATCTCTGTAACACATCGTAATAAGAGTGCAAGCACAGATGAGTATAAGTGCCGAGAAAACAGAAGCTATGATAATACCAGCTGTACCAACTTCATTCTGGAGTTCCATGCAGATCGTAACTCCGTTGCTTGACTGGGTCGTGCACATAAGACCCGGAGAACATGTGCTCGAGGTAATATTCGCAGCATAGCACGTCAAAGTGGTGAATCCTGTTGTTTCGCAGATGGTGCTGCTCTTGACTGTCGTGCTGTAGCATGAGGCGCCGGGTTCCGTTGTAGTCGAAGTCGTGCTTGTCGATGATGCTATGCCTGAGCTTGAGCTCGAGGTGGTGGTGGTTGACGACACGGAGCTTTCTTCTGTGGTAGATGCCTCCGTCCCCGATGTAGTTGTTTCCAGCGTAGTACTTTTGGACTTAGCTGTCGTCGTAGCGTCATCTCCAGTGGTAGAAGCCACTGAGGCATCTTTAGTTGCCGTGCTCGTAGCGTCTGCTGAAGTATCGGTATCCGTCGAACTGTCGTCTCGACGCTGGATCAATCGATGAAAATCCACCTTCACAAGTTCATCGTCTCCTTGTTTCGCATGCCACAATGGCTCCATGGAGGACGAAGAAGCGTCATCTGGGAAAGCAGGTCCCTTAATGAAGTGATTTTCTGACCGTTCGACCTGGATACCATGAGCGTACACAAGAGGGCTTGCGCCTAGAGCAATAAAAAAAGAGGAAATAAGCATTGTGTAAATCAAGAGTCCGGGTCGCAGTGGTGTTATTGAACAGTCTCTCCAAGCAATCTGCCAGCTCATACTTCTCTCCATATCTTATAGTCAACTATGACGCTAGTGCACATGCAAACTTTGCATGTTTATCTAAGTATAGTACCCGCATGAGGCTCATGCTTCGTTTTTCGTATGTTTCTATTGTAAGCTTAAACTACGTTTGCGCGTCCTATTATAAGAACTTGCTGCGCATTTCCTAGCGCGCATTCACGCGGCGGCAATTGCGTCAACTACTTCCGCGCCGCTTAATAACCTGATGTGCAGGGGAGCGACGGGAGCAAAATATGGTGAAGGAAATGAAATTGAGACACCAAAAATAGCAGCTTATGAAACTTATTAATTTTGCCCTGTATTTAGCTTTCTGTTTATGTCAACTGAGATCAATGTGCTGAGTTTTTCTGTCCTTTGAGGATGATCTCGGGTCGGAATGTGGGCGGCTGTCAAAAATCATCCGGGATGCCACTATTTACGGCTACGGCCCGTCTGCAATGCGTCGTCAAGACATGAATAGAGGCGCAGTTGAAGTATCCATGACAGAACTAAATACAGTTTCGAATTGAACTCATGTTGCTATTTTTCGCATGCTAGGGCTGAGCACGATTTAACATGCCGAAGCTCGAATATCGCAGAACGATGTGAACTCATGTCATAGTTATAGCCGTATATCCGGCACACAAAGACCCCACAGAAGAAACTTTATAGAGCAACAAGGGTTTTGCCTCGCTACGTAGGCTTGTGAAAAGGGGGGACGAGTTGATAAGTCTCTCGAAAATACATACCACAAGGTCGACAAACTAAGTGGCACTTTTGAGCAGACAATTCGAAGGTCAGGTCGTGTTTACCACGGGCATCACTGCAGTACTAACTGAAACATGATGAGCTTCTAGCTATACTACTATAGAGCACAGAATGTAATTTTATTAAATGCTATAAGGCAGAAATTAGAGCTTTAGTACTGTTAGAAGTTAACTTAGGAACTCGGTTTGCCTCTTTGGGACGCATAGACTAAGCGGCATTCTCAATTGGGGTATAATGCCACCCCGCACCAAGAGTTCAGCTGTGACTCGCTCCATTTTCAAACCTTGACGACAGATCGTCTCCGATGGACCCATTATCTATCGCGTCGGGCGCCGCCGGCCTTGCCATCAGCTGCGCGACGATAGCCAAGACGCTATACACCTGGATAGACGATACTGTCGACGTCGACGAGAATGTTTCCAATTTGTTGGAAGAGGTCTCGATTCTGTCGCGAGTCCTAGACTCCGTCAGCAATGCCTCAAGCCGGGTTCCGCAAGCTGTCGTGGCGGAGATCGATCCTGGTAATGCCCTCTGGGGTAGTATTAGTGCTACCCTCGATGATATCAACAGCACTTTCAACAAGCTCAACTAGCTGATGGCCGAGCTTGAGAAAACAAACCTCTTCAGCCGAGGGTTCTTGCGCAAGCCAACTAAGCAAATCAAGTTTAGCCTGCGGTCCAAAGATATCACAGTATACAAGGAAAGAATTAAGTCATACAACACGGCAATGACAAGTGCTTTTCAGATGATCAACGTGTAAGTCATGATAATCGGGGGTTTGGGTAATTACTAACGTGGACAGCTGCCTCCTAATTCACAGCAATTCCTCTCAAGACTCTGTGTTCAAGGTCCTCTCCGGCCTTGAGTCCCAGCTGAGGCTTGTCGAGATTGCTCTACGTACAAGTAGCTCCGCAAGCCCTGGCCCTTCCAGTGGACGCGAAGAGGACGATCGCGCCACCCAACATCTCCAACACTTTGTTCAGGTGGCAAAGAACTTCCACTCGAGCGCCAGTACCATTCTGAGAGAGGGCCCTAGGTCTACTGTTTGGGGAGGAAGTATTATGGGTAATCCTTTGACAGAAGCACAAACATCAAGATCGAGAGATGGATACCTTCACCCGTTGATGAAGAGCCCGACCCCGACTCGGACATTGAAACCGAGTTTGCCAGAAGATTTGAAGAACTCGCGATCAAGAATGAGGCCAACGGGGATCACGCAAAAGCAGAACAATTCTACAGAGGTGCCATCGAGCACGGCGAATCGAGTTCAAGACCTGTAAGCGACATCACTGCTATGAAGATACGACTAGCATATGCATGCATGCGGCAGGAAAAGTGGACAGAAGCAGACGAAATCATATCTCCAATTGCCTTTGAGAGAAAGACAAACGATATACTCGTGTATCACGGAACGCACGCCTTGGCTCTTGCTTATCTAGATAACTCCAAGCTTGAGGAAGCCGAAAGGTGTTGCAAACGTGCTCTTTGGGGCAAGAGAAAAGTTTTTGGTAAGGATCATTGGAGATGCTGGGAGACCCTGGATTTGCTTGTGCGCATCTGCAAGGCAAGAAGCAAGATGATGGAAGCAGAGGTCCATCAAAGTTTTATCCCGAGCCACGCGACTATTGCGACTGATCAAGGAGCCTTGGATTATCTGGACCGTTCAGTTGGGAGCTTGAACAGGCCAAGTAACGATGGTGACACAGTCTCACAAACTCGACAGCCATTGGATTTCCAGCAGGAGTATCCTCAGGGCCAACCATACAATACGGCCGCTTCTGGCCCAGTACCATCTGCAGGTAGATCCCAGTACCCCAAAACCTTCGGTTCTCAGTACACAAGTCCATCAACACCGAATAGTCATCAAGGAATGATTCAATATCCGATACAGCATAGGCAAACAAGGTCAAACGGAGAGTCATCTTCAACCCCTGCCATCTCTCGAAAGGCTATCGGACAACCAGATCCGATCTTATCTACGATGCATCGCCCCGAAAGTATGGGGTCATACTCTCAACAGCAACAACTAGAGCAACCGAGGAGAAGCGCCAATCTATGGTATGGCCACAATACCGATATGTCTGGATTTAGGTTGGCTTTGCCGCTGCAACCACCTCTCTATTCAACAGGGGCATATATACAGCCCACGCATGGTGCGAACAGTTACGAACAACAAGGTTATCAATCCCCTCTACCACTGTCGCCCTATGGCACGGCTCCTGTGGCCGCGCCTGAGCCCCGATGTTAGATATTTGTGTCAATCGACTTCATGAACATAGATGGTGCGAATACCAGTGTCGCATACGTAGTCAACGACCTTAAGAACCCGATATCAGAGCTACTCAGGGAGTGGCCTGGTGCTGGCTGCTACAGCAAATCATTGGTAAGTTATTTAATAGAAGCTCACTGAATGATCTCTAATTTCCCAGGTTCCCACTGTTATTTATTATGATCTGTACAATAAGGTAGTTGGCTGGGGCCACGATATTGCTAACGCCGTTGGGCCGACTGGACATCCGAAGTCAGGTGTCCAGAAGGTTGAACGTCTGCCTCTGTTCTTGGTCCAAGAGACAGAAGAGTATATTCCGCTTCCCGGCATTCCTCCTGGCTTCAACGCTGTAGATGTCTCAGCAGATTTTCTCTATGAGGTCAGGCGTGCCCTTGGAACTCAATTGCAGCAACGCATAGGACTCAAATTCTTAGAGAACGAGCAGAGCATCCATTGGATTCTCACCTCGTCAGAGATTTGGGCAGATAAAGACAAAACGTTATGGAAACGTGCGCTTCAGAGAGCTGGATATCTTACAGACGAAAGTGATACACGCTTGTCATTCGTCAGCGAAGCAGAAGCATCAATACACGACGCGATACTAAGATATTCACTCAGCCAAGAAACGCAAAGTCCATTTATCTTTGCCAACTTTGGGAAAAATATAGTGCACATGTCTGCCTGTGTGTGTTCAGTTCTGAAAGCATCGCCCTTTTTTGCTTCTCAGCTTATGTCGAGTAAGAATCTAGGGTGAGTTCCTTTTGCCTCTTTGCTACACAGTCTAAATGTTCCCAGGCCTGCTCTGATAGCACAAAACTTTGCTGACATAGCGCGGACTAGAGTCCGCCGCATGCGACTTCCGGATGGTTCCAGAATAGCTAACAAAGTCTATACAAAGTGCGTCAGTGAGTTTGAGCAACGCATCATGTCAGAGTTCAGAAACAACGGACAAGAATGGGATATCGATGTTGCAATCGAAACAGAATTCCTGGAGGCAGGGATCAAGGGTGGTTATATGACTTACACAAATGGCGAAATCCTGTCTTGCTTCCAGCCCGTCCTGGATGACATTATTGCCATGATGGCTTATACAATAGGAGAAGTTCTCAAATCTAGCAATAGTATTGAGGTATGTTTAAGTCCTCGTTTCCTATTTACATACTGATTTTCAACAGGGGATTATACTTGGAGGAGAGTTCTGTACATCGGAGTACTTGCTACGAGAAATCAAGTTGAAACTACCTGAGAACCTCCGACACAAGGTCTATCCCCCTATGGAGCCTGCAACTCAAGTTGCGACAGGTGCAGCCCATTTGGAATTTTGTCGTTATTTGGCTAGAGGTCAGCGATATGTTCAATCATGACAAATAGACATGTCCCGCACATATGTAATGTATCTGGGGCTGTGTGATACCGATGTATCATCGTAAATGTGACTTCAAGAGGCATGAGGAGCCCCCTAGATTATGCCCTGGCAATTAATAACAGCACCCTTCATTCATGCTCATACATGCATGAGACTTATCGGCGATCAATAATATGAGATTGCGAAACGTATGGGAGCTGGGAGCATGGCCATGAGACGGAACTATATGAGAACAGAGATGGACCTCGAGCCTCACTGTAAAATATATCGACATCATCGAGCTTGACTTACTTGTGATGGGTCGCACGACTGTACAATTCGACAACGCGGGGACGTAAGAGATGATAGACAAGCGAGATCTATAATAACCTCACAATATGGCTATACTCGAAGCCTTTATGTGCCTAGCTTTATCATGACTTCCTTCTCAAACCACTCAGGAAAATCAATAACTTTCTTTCCCTTCCTTGCCTCCTCAGCAGCGAATACCATACTATGACTCATAATAATATCCCTCAAATTGCATTTGATATACTCTCGCTGAGCCGTTGACACCTTCTCACCATGGTTCTTTACCCGGTCAACCGCCAGCACGAACTGTCTCGTCAGCCCTTCGTCTCCATCACCATGGCCACCGCCCTCAGGAATGTGTGGGTAGTGAACCGTCTTCTTGCACGTCCTGAAGTCTGTAACTGTAATCGAGGAACTATCGGCGTACATCTCCCCGTGGACACCGTAAATGTGCGTGAACCTGGTACAGATCTTTTCTGTGAACGCAACCATATGCAATGTCGCTGTCTTGCTACCTCTACCACTAAGAGCCTGCAGAGATGTCTCGCCCGGAGCCGCGATCGGATCAGCGTCCCAAGAAAGTGTTACAACTTGGTTGTCGCAGACATCGTTGTCACATTCGTATACACAACGTCCAAAGGTATTTCTCTTGCTGACCTCATCTGCCGGGGTGTCCTCTGAGTAATCTTCCGCAAGTTTGGATAGAACAGCCTTCTTAGCTGCTTCTGACCCACCATTCGGAATACAGTCTTCTATTTCCGGTGCGACTACCGTACAAAAGTGCTCTTGTTGCTGACTCTTGAGATCAGCTCCAGTGTAAATTCGCTTGGCCGAAAACTGGCAGGATGGCTCATAGGCACATGATAAGCAATTGGTGGCGTTTCCAGCTTCGACAGGCTTTCTCTCCTTTCTGAAATATTGGAGGGATCCAGAAGAGCTTATGTCTTTGGGGACATGGGTCGGCTTGTTAGAGCCGGGAGGCGGGGCCGCCAAAATCCAGTAGAGGATGTCCATATCGTGGCACGACTTGGCAAGTAGTGATGGAGCTGCCGCCTTTTCATTGCGCCAGTTTCCTCTAGCACGGGGTTAGTCTTTATCGGTTGCGCAAGCTCATAAGTCAACGGCTTACCTGACGTAGCTGTGTGTAAAGTGATACCAGCCCACTGGCTCTGTGTGATTAACAGCCATGATGTCTCCGATGACTTTATCCTCAAGCAGAAGCTTCCTCATCATCATGTTGTGAGGACTGTAACGAAGGACATGGCCGATAGCGAACAGCTTTTCTGAGGATCCTGAGGCATCAAACGAAAGGCTCTTATAGATAGCCATACAATCCTCCAGATTGGGGGCCAGCGGCTTCTCGCACATGATATGTAGTTTCAGTGGTGCAAGGCCAAGGACAACATCCTTATGCATGCCATCTTGGACGCAAACGAAGACTGCATCGACACCCTCAGGAACACCTGTAGTCCCAGAAGCGACTGCTTGCCGCCGGCTAAGCTCCCATTGAACGAAATCTGGCCAGTCGCGGAACTCTTCCCCGGGTGTTGGCTCCCGTGTGCCCCATATGTATTTGCGACCGAAATACCGTCTCTTGAGTGCGATAGGCTCTACGACGCCCACGATAACTCCATTACTCGAATTCTGAACAGCCTCAGCATAGGCCTTACCACGGTTCCCAGCGCCGATGATTAGTAGACGTGGAGGCGAGGCAGAAAAGGCAGGACGCTCTGGTGGGGGGAGGCGAGTGATGCCATGGGCGGACTCATCCTGTTCAGCATGGGGTGCCATGGTGAACTAGCAGACAGATACCAAGAAAGATTGGGTTGCTGATAATGGCTTAGGTGTTGATTGCAAGCTATCTTCAATCGTGTTAAGATGCTTCGTTAGCAAGGGTTCCCTTATTAATACGTAAAAAACTACGGATATTCGGCTCTGGTAGCTTGTTACATTGCAGCACGCCCGACAGCCACGCATACATGATACACCAGATAATAACTTTCCCCGCGTTAATGATTTGCAGGTATGGAGAATGCAACGTTTGAGAAACTTAGTAAGGCCCAATAAGCTCTTATCAATTTGCAAGCGATTGACTTCGAGTCGGTGAGACGATAAATCGGCGAACCGGCAAACATCGGAAAAAGACCGGTGGCTAACTCGTTTGAGTCGAGATCACCATCAATATCGATTCGGGGTAGCTATGTACAACGATACTATTGAAAATCATGTTTTCTCGGGCTTATCCCCGATAATAGGATTCTTTAGGCTCTTCGAAGTACTGGTTCATGATATTGCCCGACTTGCTGTAGCCACATTTGACATAGAACGGCTCGTTCGCCGGACTGGTCCCCAGAGTCGTCTTGTAGCACCCGACGTTCTTAGCAATAGACGACAGGCTGGCCAGTAACTTCAAACCGAGGCCTTTGCCTTGGAAATCTTTGCTGATCGCGATTTCCTCGATATGTCCAATTAATCCAAGATTGTGAATACTGCCGAATCAAGGTTAGCATCAAGACAGTGCAGACACCTTCCTCACCAATTAGAAGACTTACAACTTTCTTTCTACGATAATGGCACCGGTCCCGACAACTCGGTTCTCATGCTCAATGACCACGTGGTAATGCACCCCTTGGCCCTGTGTCTTCATCCAATCGAACCTCTCCTCGAAGCGATCCTGGGACACGTCCCCTACATCAGACAGTACCCCGAGGCAGTCAAGGAATCCCTTTGCATAATCCCCTCGTTCCAAGGGTCGGATAGTGTGGCCTTCAGGGAATGATGTTACAACATCAGTTCCAATCAGGTCTGGTGAGAACAGAGGGCCGGAGAGAGAGCCGGTTGCAACCATCTTGTGTCGTACCTGGAGGCTGTAGTAACGGTATTAGAGGGGTCGATTAGGTGAGCTGATTTGCCTAATATGTCGTCTAGCGTCACAATAGGGAGTATCAATGAACACAAAGGAATCTTGCGCATTTATGGGCGATATCTTGACAAAGCCCTGCTAACCCGGTCCAGGCACAATAGCCGGCAAACGGTCGGTGCGAATGCCGGCAAACCCTGCCCGATATCTTTCCCCGCATTTTAGTACGATCCTTCTCTACGTAGCTATTGACTACTTATCGTAAGTGGCCAAGAAACGTTGCATTGGCGTGTTACATTTTATCGATAGGGAAATGAGATGCTATCTCGTGCACACGCATGTCTGCGGGGTGCTACCGGTATCAATAGTGACAGGCCGGTCCCCGCAAAACTGGTGATAAGCCTGAGCAAGCCAGATATCTCTTGGTGTACCGATCTTCAATAGATACTTAAACACCGTTCTTCGCCGCTATAGGCGAACCACTTCCTCTTGTGGCTGTCAGACCCCCTCACAATATCTATTATATTTCATCTTTGAAAATGTCAACCCTAGACAAAGAAGCCAATAGAGATAACCATGACGTGGCAAACCTGAAGAGATCTGAGCTCCTTGAGATCGATGCCACCCGCGACCTCACCGTCGAAGAGCACAACCTTGGCTTCCGTGAAGCGGTTCGCCAGTATCCATGGGCCGTCTTCTGGGCTCTTTTCTTCGGCATTGCCGTTATAATGGCTGGCTTTGATGCTCAGATAATCACTTCCTTCTATGCCCTACCCGCATTCCAAACAAAATATGGTGAGCGGGTTCATGGCGGCGACGGCTATGAAATTTCCGCGCCGTGGCAGACAGCTCTGGGAATGGGTAATCCAATCGGCCAGGTTCTTGGAGCCTTGGCCAGTGGTTATCCCCTCGAGATGTTTGGTCGAAAGAAGACATTAGCTATCTGCTGCGTCTGGTCTATTGCACTGGTCTTTGTTCAGTTCTTCTCCACGAGCATTGGCATGCTTTGTGCGGGCGAGATTCTCGGTGGCTTGGCTTATGGGTTCTACGTCGTCATTGCACCAACGTATGCCTCAGAAGTTTGCCCACTGGCTCTGAGAGGTTTCCTCACCACATCGATCAACATGGCGTTTGTGATCGGCCAATTTATTGCCCAAGGCTGCGCGGCTGGTGTAGAGACCCGTATGGACGAGTGGGCGTACAAGATTCCTTTTGCGATCCAATGGGTCTGGCCAACGATCCTTCTCGCTGGTCTACCCTTTGCTCCTGAAAGTCCGTACTGGCTGGTTCGGAAAGGCCGACGTGAGGCAGCACGTGCCGCGCTCATGGGCCTGTCCTCACCCACCAACAGACCCGATATCGACAAGGCTCTTGTAGGAATCGAACAGACAGATCTTCTGGAGCAGGAAATCGAGTCGTCAACGTCGTGGTTGGAGTGCTTCAAGAGTGCGAATTTGGTTCGCACCGAGATCTCAGTTATGGTCTACCTGATCCAGGTCATTGGTGGCAATCCGCTTATTGGATACGCAACATACTTCTTCCAAAAAGCCGGCCTTAATCCCTCTGATGCTTTCAACAGTACGTGTTTCAAAAGCCGAAAACTACAAACATGCTGACTTGGTACTCTAGTGGGTGTTGGTAACACCGCTCTGGGCTTTACTGGCACGGTTTGTTCGTGGTTCCTCCTAAACTGGGTACGTGTCATTGCCAGTCCCAATTCTCTATTTTTTCGACGTATCAGCTCATGGATTACATAGTTCAAACTTGGTCGACGCACAATCTATAATGCAGGCATGATGGTCATGACGGCTCTCCTATTCATCATCGGCTTCCTCAGTCTTTCTAGCACCACTGGTGCTATATGGGCTACTGCCACGCTGATGGATATCTGGACCTTCGTGTACCAAATGACTGTCGGACCCATCTGTTTCGTTATCATTTCCGAAATCTCAGCCACCCGTCTTAGAGAAAAGACGATTGCTGTTGCTACAGCAGTGCAGGCTGCCGCTTCCGTCGTGTTCACCATCGTCATGCCTTTGATGCTCAATACTGATGAGGCCAATTGGGGTAGTAAGACGGCTTTCCTATTTGGTGGAATTAGTCTTGTGTGTCTTGTCTGGTGCTACTTCCGGCTTCCCGAGAGTCAAGGTCGTACATTTGAGGAGCTGGATATCCTTTTCCAGAGGCGCGTTCCTGCGAGACAGTTCAAGAAGTTCGATCTACTCAACGGAGTGGACGCTGCTGTGAGTCGGGAGGAGTAGAGCGATATAGCTTAATATTGTCTAATTCTTATAGCCAATGCGAAATGTTATTGATGAAATTTTTTGATTAATTCCTATGATAGCAAGAGCCACAGACTCGATTGATATAACGTCAAGCTTCTCGAGGTCACTGTGATCACCGTAGTGCTTCAATCTTATGCTCCATATGCCCCTTAATTATGGGCGGAGAGCTTAAATCGGCAGACACAACTAAGACTAATTAATATTCTAACTATTATGTACTTTTGTTTTCTTCTCGCCTCGTATAAATAGTCTCTAGTCAACTGACAAAGCCCTTCTTGAAACAGGTAAGTCAGCACATTATTGGTTTTGGCGGTCGTTAAATTTTCGAGACTATTGGGGCGCTACTGCAATCAATTCAGTAGCGACGCTGTAAAATATGCTTATTTAAGTGCATCTTAAGTCGGTCTTGGTGGCCCGTGTGGTCAAACTATCGAGTCCAGACCCCCATGGTCATTTTAAAATACAGAATAAGAAGGATGAAAGCCCCTAGTTTACACTCGTGTCTTGAATCGCCTTGGGTCCATTCGCTCATTTCTATTCACCCCTCACACTCGTTTATTTTGTTCATCGAGATCAGCGCAAGATGGTTTCAAACAAGTTGTTTGTTGCTGCTTTTGCAGCCTTGGCTTCAGTGGCCAATGCAAGCCCCTGTAAGCCCTCGTTTACAAGGGCCATCACTACGTCTGCCGCCGAAACCGCTGCATCTTCCACTTATGCTGAGACCAGCACTGCGATTAGTGAGAGTGAGACAGCGACAACGGCCACTGATGCTACCACGGAGGCTCTCAGCACTGAAGCCTCTACGACTGTTGCCGAGAGTGCTACCACGACCACGGCTGTCGATGAGCCTCTTATCACCAACGCTGGCTTCGAAGATGGCACAACTGCCCCGTGGCAGTTGCTAACGGAGCACGAAGATTCCCTGGCTATTGGCAGTGGCTTCCAGAGTCCAGCTTCTGGTAAAGTGATGTTTGGAAGCGACGATGGCAGCCAGTATGCCACGTTTATTATCCAAAAGATCAATAAGCAAGCACTCAAGGCGGGCTCATATGACCTCCAAGGCCATACCCTCGTTGACAGCTTTAGCCAAAGCGGCGACGGCTGTAGTGTCATCATCGCCGCTTGCCTCACGGGATCTGGGCAAAGCTCAGTTCTCGTACCAGCTTCTATGTCCCGGGCAAGCGCTGAGAATTCCGAGGGTCACTGGTCCCAGTTAGAAACTACGTGTATCTTGACCGACGATATGCTAGCTGCGGATGAAGACATCAGCGTTGTGTTTGGATTCTTCTGTGCTAATTCGGCTGTCTACCTCGACTCTGTTGAGCTCAAGCCGGCTGCTGGAATCCCCCACCCCGACACTACCACGGTTGCCACCAACAGTGAGACTAGTATGGTAATTACTACCACTCAAGCGACTACAGTGGCCACCTCCACCGAAGGCTCGATACTCGCCACAGAAACTGCTACCACGACGACAACAGCCGATGGAGACAGAACCTAGAACCCTGGCTATCGACTCGCTCCGAGACCGTTGCCCGCGACACCAACAATCCCTTCGAATGTCCCGCTTCTGTACGACTCAAATTTGGAATCGATAACGACAAGACGTACTATAACCACTTTTACCAAAAGCTCGACACAAAAGACCTCAAAGCTGCTATTGGTTGTACCCTTGGACGCCCAAACAACTTCGATCGTGTTCCGGGCCTAACTGTAATGGATAGTCCTAGCGGCGCGGTGATCAACTGGGCCCCACTGGATACAATTTGCAGGCTTACGGAGGCCATGCTGTCTGAGCATGACTATTTGAGCATAACGTTTGAATTCAGATGTGCTGGGGTCGGTGCCAATCTCGATGCTTTAATATTTCGAAGTTATTTAGCATACCCACATATTAGCTATGTTGAGTTCCTTTATTGTGTACATAATTTTGATAAAGCTAGTCTTGTCAACGGATCAGGGAGCTTGTTCGATGAATCTTGGTCTGCCCGTGCTCTTATTATATAGAGGTATTTATTACAGCAACTAGTACAACTCCATCCTAGTAGTCGTTTCTCATAAACTGCTCGGTTGAGTCATTATGCTGGAAAAAGCTGTCTTTTTATAGCAATTTCGCATGGGTATGAACTCAATAAGCGAACAAGGTTCTCGCATCCCTGGATCTAGGTGCCAAGTGAAGCGACCTGCCTGACTCGAACATTTGAGTGGATATATGCGGCGACTGTGCTATTCAACCGCTGAGTAATCGGCAATGAGCCAGGTGGAACGTGTTGATCATTGCGAGTCACTCAGCGGCGGATTCGAATCACTGTCGAGCTATGACGTGGAGCTCTGGGGTATATAAACCATGCTCTCTGCTGCGTATCCCCTCGATATTCAGAAGACCATAGATCCCTTTTGTGTTACCTCCTCCGCACAGCGCCATGAAGATACAACTTGTTCCAGTTATCGCATGTGCATCGTCCTGCCTGGCGCAAGTCGCGGCCAATCCTCGTGATGGAAAACACTACTCGCCTATTCCACTCATCACCTTGTCCGAGAACTCGACGTCCGTTAATGTAGCGCCTTATCAGTCCAATACGTCGCTATACTATCTCGGCTATAAAGATGATGACTGGTCTCGGCCGTTTGCCAAATACTGGAAACCGGCTGTGAAGCAAATCTCGGATGAGGTGCAAAAGGGAATCACTGAAAGCCCCCATGCCAGCAGTCTGGGTATGTTGCCCATAGATCATGGATACGCCCCTGCTGACTTGTTCTATAGTTTTCAAGCCTCAAGAGGCGCCGCATTATCTAACTCAGCCCGGATACTTGCAGTTGGAGAACGGCTGGGCTGTGAGCGACGACAACAAACTGATGATAGCCGTTCGTACTGATATGGGCAATGGTATAGTAAAGTTTAACTATAGAAATATAGGCGCTTCTAACTATTGCCAGTCACGGGAGATATGTATGACTGGTGGTTTGGATGGCACCTTGTTGACCCCCAAAGGTATGGTTTCTTGCTTGCAATATGCTTTACTCAAGGCTAACGTTTATGCAGATATAAACTTTGGCATCCAGTCGCTCATCAATATGCTTACCGAATGCCGAATGCGATCGACTGGAGTAACAAGACCTTACCCGAGCGTTACATCGGATCATACTCCTGGATAGACGAGTTCATCGGTAACTTTGCCACTAAACTGACCGTCAACTTCGTGGATCCAGCAACTCTCGGGTTCAATACCAGTGTCTACGAGTCGCAGGGCATAGAGACTATCGTTACTGCTCATATTACAGGCAGTGGTATGTGAACCTGCCATATTCCATTTCTTCAGCTGACCTTTTATAGGGCATACTACCAACGTCACTGGTAACTCCTACCTCATGCATCAGATTCGCCGTAAGGACGATGGACAGCGAGAGCTGCGATCTCGATTCTTCCTTGACACCTTTACAGATACTCAAGGTCATGATCTGAGCGTTCATTGCGCTATTGAGATGTCACGTAAGTCCTAAATCCCCATTAATTATTGCAATCACTCATCAAGGATAGACTTGGCCACATTTCTGCCTCAGCTATTTGTTGAGTTCAAGAATACAGTCTGAGCTGAGGAGGATTGGGTGGTATTAATAAACTATATACCAACGTGTATCATGCTACCTCCCATTTGCTATTTGGAAGCTCTGCAACGCGATAAAGACGCCGTGAATAACACGGTATCATGTTTAAAGTCATGCAGAGAGAAGGCTCTCCATCTCTGCATATAATCAATAGCAATGAAGAACAGTCAGCCAGGGCCATATAATATGTCCAGCTTTCTCGAACCGGCACATAGATACGATACTGTCGACAAATAACATGGTCTATGACTAGTAGCAGTTTGAAGTGAGTACTTGAGAACTGGATATGGAATTGAAACTTGTTCGACAGTGTTCACGAACTCATACCATACACAAGCAATTACTCTTCAGCCTGGTGTTGATATTACTGAACACGACATGAACTAGCACACCTCCTCAAGAAACTCATGTAAGAAAAAATGGGAGACTGTCTTGGGGATTTGTTCGTCAGAGGTTGTCTTCAGTATAAGACTTTGGCTTGATGTTATCCTACTAGAGACATTTCCTAGACATGTTTCAACCTCGTATGTTGGGGTCTGGTCTAGTTCGCGCCGGTTATCTTAAGACTCATCGTCTAGCCACAGTACTATAGCTTGCTCTCGCGGAACCGTAACCATCAAGTTCCATTTGGTGAGCCCCCAAAGACCCCCCAACTCTCGACCGCGATTACTCCTACATATACACTTCCCTGGCCCCCAACTCCAAGAGGTCGTGTTCTGACAACTTCCCATCGTCGTAGGAGTTCTCCAAGTTCGCCAAATCATCAGCCTCCACTTTAGCTATGTACTCGCGGGCCTTGGATGGAAGCCTCATGGCGGTGGGAACCTCCTCTTGTAACGGTTAGCAATGTCTCGAAGGCGGAGAGTTGTCGACTTACTGAGATGAGGGTCCTTGGCAAGAAATTTCTCTGGAGTGGTGCTGGCTAGCTTGTCGTAATGCTCACCCCATACCTTGCGCCGATCTTTCTTTTCACCAGCTGTCTTGTCGTTCTTGTTGGATTTGATTATCATGTCGGTCTTGTTCTCATTAACATCTATAGACGAGTGTTCAGCAGCTTCGGGAGCAGCCTTGTTCGGCGTCGAGTGTTCCTTGCGACCAGCGGCATTCTTGGCAGAGTTGAAAGCCATTTTGAGGTAATGGTCTGTTGTTGCTTGAGGAGTAAGGTAGGTTTCGGGGTTAAATGTGTCCGGAACCGCGTACTAAGCAGTAAGGAAGCGAGAGAGCGAGATGTATTGATGGGAAGGAAGACATTTTAGATTTTGAGGCCGCCGAAAGGGAACGGAATGGGAAAAGCCGAGGTGCCAGTGTGTATCCGCGGTACGATTGCCATTCAGGCCACTGTGAATTGCTATACCACGACTGCTACGACAGCGGCAAATGGGATTCCCGTGAAGCTGACAGTGGCAGGTTACTGCCGTTGGACCCGAGACGAATAAGCCACTCTTGATTTCTTACCGATGGAGAGAGCGGTAGGGTTGAATAAGTCAAGATAGCTAATTTCTCTATGCTATTTAATCACAAGAGTGTAGAGGTCAGGCGGATACGAAAGAAGAGGGAAACAAAAGAGCTGGTCTCAAAGCTTCCGATATTGGGAAGTATATACTTGCCGCCTTTTCACTACGAAATGTATCAAGTTATATGGATGTGACTGAATTCTTGATTGGGGGCTTCAAGACACATCAATGGACACACATATGATCAAATACTTTGTTGGGCCTATAGCGCCAATGTCATCGTGCCACTGCAGCCAGGTAGTCAGTCAAAGTTGGCAAACCGATCCTCGAGGTAAGGACTTCGTGGCTGACCGGTATGAGATCAAAAGACTAACTCTATATGGACTAGTTCGGCTTGTGATCGAACCACTCATCTCGGTTATGCAGTCTGACAAGTCTGACTGTCAGAAAGTTGACAATATCAGCAGCTCTCCGTCATCTTTTCTCAACCGAAGTCGTCAGCTTTTTTTATTTCACCATAGCGTTCACTTAACTTTGCCCAGCCAGACTCAAGCATTTTATCCACCATGAAGCCCAACTGGGAGCCATTTGTGAAATCTACTGAGGATGATTGGACCGCTGTCCCAGACCCTGCCCAGCGAAAGCGGATCCAGAACAGGCTGTCCCAAAGAGCCAGGCGTATGTAATACGAGATCGCTCAGAATGGCTTCACTGATTTTGTTCTAGGGTCACGGCTTGTCGGTAAACAGAAGCAAGCGGCACAGTATGAGGTTAATGGTGAGGCGGGAGCCATTGTCAGAAGAGATGCAGGTTCTAGTCCCGGGCAGTCGTCTACAGAGGGCTCAAGCGTGGCTGTCACGGAAATGTTTGATGCAAGCTTCTTTCATACCCAATACACGTCCGAACAGCCCACAATGGACAGTCATTACCTCATCTTGACCGATCTGACCGCCGCCACCGCTCTGGCCGTCATAGCTCAGCGCCTCGACCTCGACTGCAGGCAGATACCAGGCTTCAACATTAAAGCCTTGGACGACAGTCTCCCGTCGGCTATAGCTCCCACTCAATTACAAAAAAGCGTCCCTCACCTGTCTTACCTGGACATGCTTCCCTGGGCATCGTTGCGGGACAAACTCCTCAAGTCTCTCTCTATTATCAACGAAGAGGAGTTTGCGCGTGATATGCAGTTTGGAAGCTTAAAGGTTTGGGGGACAGTTCCGTGGGACCCGATGGGATGGGAGGTTGGCGAAAGCTTTGCGAAGCGGTGGTGGTTCTTGATGGATAGTGGGATACTTCAGACGACTAACTTTTGGAGGTCTCAACGAGGGGAAAGGCCATTAACTCTGGCATCCCTGCAAAGCTGAGCAGTTAATTCCTTATCTATTAAATCGATTTCATGTTCTTTTCGATTATCTGGTAATTTCGAAGGAGGGCTGTTGCAGGGGAATGCATTCTGACCACAGTCTTTCTCGGCTACTTCGGTCTGACAGTCCGAATGAGCAGAGTGTCAGAATCTATGAAGCAAACAACCATATGAGATTGATAAGCTGAAACATATCCATATATAAAAAGAACAACAATATTTCCTCCTCATAACAAAATATTATGAAAGACACTTTTCCAGCATCGTTCTACTTGTACCCGACATTCTGACACTACCTCTTAATCTACCATCATGCAAGCTGCCTGGACGCAAATATTCCCACCCAAGCCTACTTTCACAGAAGACAATGTTTCTTCGCTAGAAGGTAGAGTCTTTATGGTGACAGGTGGCACTAATGGCGTTGGCTTGGAATTGGTCAATATGCTCTACTCCAAAGGAGGCACAATCTATCTCCCAGCCCGGTCCGCCACCAAAGCACAAAAGGCTATCGAGACCATCAAGGCCGCATACCCAGAGAGCACTGGCAACCTCAAGACTCTTCACATTGATCTCAATGACCTTGCCTCCGTGGCAGCCTGTGCTTCTGCTTTCCTTGCGCAGGAGACTCGTCTCGACGTGTTATGGAATAACGCCGGTATCAGCGCCGCACCATTTGATGAAGTTACGGCCCAAGGATACGAACCTCAAATGGGGATCAACTGCTTGGCACCATTTCTTCTCACCAAGCTCCTGCTCCCCGTCTTGAAGCAAACAGCCAGAAATAACCCTGGTCCCTCGACACGAGTCATCTTCACAGGCTCAGGTGTAATGGACATGATGGCCCCTCCTGGAGGTATTTCGCTGGTTGAGCTTACTCCCGGCAAACAATCCAAAGACCCAACACATAACTACACCATTTCAAAGACGGGGAATTGGTTCCTCGCCTCCGAATTCGACCGACGTGTGCGTTCAGATGGAGTTATTTGCATCTGCCAGAACCCAGGAAACCTGTCAACCAATATCTGGGACCGCGTGCCGTGGCATCTCAGGGTGCCGAACAAAGTCTTCCTGCACCCGCCTAAGCGAGGGGCTTACTCTGAACTATGGGCTGGGGTTAGCACAGAGATTAAGCTTGAGGATGGTGGTAGGTTTGGTATTCCTTGGGGAAGATGGCATCCAAGCCCTAGAAAGGACCTTGTCCAGAGCTTGAAGACCAAAGAGGACGGCGGTAGTGGGATCGCGGCGGATTTTTGGGATTGGTGTGATCAGCAGACCAAGGACTATGTATAAGGCGATGAGGTTTTCTTTTTCAGCATAAGTGTATAATGGGCATGGTATGGGGGTAATGAACTAGATTGAGCAATTAAGTTTTACGAATAAGTGAGCCCTCACTATCTTGGCTTCAAGGAAACAAGCCTAAGATCCGTACCTTGTGGCTCCGATCGAGCGAAGGAGTCCACAGGGAACAAGAGGAAGTGATGATGCACTCCGCGAAATGAACGCCCTCCCATGACAGAAACGGTTACCCTGCCCAGAAATGCATTTGTAATCTCCGATGATGAATCTCCCAAAGTGGAGTACGATCGCGGAGACCTGCGATTCTGATGTACCTTTTGGGTTAATCACATTTTGGGGTGCAATACCCGGCGTCGGATCGCGTATCCGACATCAGTCTTTTTTTTTCTCCAGTTCTCAACTTCAACTCCTTCTTGGCAACATCAGGCTGTCTTCTTCAAGATTAACTATCTTGGGAATTGCAGTGTAGCTGTTGAGGAAGTGAAGGCAAGCAACCATGTCTTCGCCGGAAAAGACTGCCGAAGCGACGGCAGCGAGTGAGCCACAGACTGCCACAACAAATGCGCCCTCTGTGTTGGACGACGAATCAGCGGTTGTAGACATTGAGAAGAGTTTCGCAGCTTGGGTATGTGTCTTTGGAAGCTTTTTGTTCCTGATGCCCACGTATGGTAAGTACAGCGCCACTTCAGCCCTCTTACCCGTTATTGACGTCGCCCAGGTATGATGCAGTCTGTCGGAACGTTCCAATCTTACCTCGAGCTAAATCAGCTCTCCGATTACTCAGCTGGTGATATCGGCTGGATCCCTGGCATGTACATGTTTGTATCAATGCTAGTCGCCATTCAAGTTGGTTCATTTCTTGACCAGCGCGGTCCTTTCGCTATGAGTATTGTTGGAGGAGGTGGGATTGTTATTATGTTTGTTCTGTTAGCTGAGTGCAAACAGTACTGGCACTTCATGCTGTGCTTTGGAATCTTTGGTGGACTATCGACTGCTATTGCTGGCACTATCCCTGTAGCAGTGGTAGCAAAGCTCTTTTCACGGAAGCGCGGCTTCGCTATTGGGATAGCTCTTACTGGCTCATCGACAGGAACAGTGATCTTCCCCATCATGCTTCGGTCATTGCTCCCGAAGCTCGGTTGGAGTTGGTCAATGAGAATACTGGCCTTTGTCATCCTCGGTATCTTCACTCTCGGAACGATTTGCTTCATTCCTTACCGTCGACTCGTCAAGCTCGTCAATATGCCGATAGCCAAGAAAGGCGGCCTCTCCCTTCTCAACTTCTCTGCCTTTCGGTCTGTAGCTTTCACGCTGGTCTGTGTTATGTTCTTTGCCACGCAATTTGTTCTATATGGAATTGGTGGTCTGTTGCCGACTTTTGCAATTCAGGCTGGCTTGACAGCCGAGACTGGCTATACGCTCGTCTCTATCATCGGCGGCGCTTCGGCTTTCGGTCGTGTCATACCGGGTTTGATTGGCGACAAGCTAGGCCATTACAATGTTTTGATATTTATGATGGCATTGACGTTGGTCTTTATGGGGACGTTATTTGTTCCCTTTGGCGATAACAGTGTCGTGCTGTATGTCTTCACAGGCATCTGGGGTTTTTGTTCAGGGGGTTTCTTATCTATAACCCCAGGTAAGATCCATCACCAATGATGAGAAGTAAAACATTACTAACAGTTTTAGTATGTGTCGGCAAGACATGTGAGCCAAAAGATTACGGACGATATTATGGTACGACCCCAGCTTACTAAACTTATGATGCCGCTAATCGATTTAGGAACCATGAACTTCGTCATCAGCTTCTCCCTACTTATTGCCATTCCAAGTAGCGGCACGATGATAGACAAGATGGGAACTCAAGCTCTCAGCGGCTTCCTGATGGGGGTTCTGGCTCTAGGCCTAGGCTGCTTGTTTGCATCACGCGCCGTCCTGGCAGGAAACTGGTTTGGAATCAAGACCAAGATTTAAAGCTTTCGAAGCGGAAAGACGATTTTAGACATGAAAATTGCGTATGAATAGACTATGAGTTTGAGTTCCAACACCACGGCCATCAGCTCAAGCATTCTCCAAGTAAATGACGGATCATGGGCTCGAGATTTCCTGGGCGGTGATGTTGGTCTCACCGGACTATTCGATTTAGTTGGTGGTCTAGGTACCGCAGTTCTAAGGCGAATTCATCGTGAGCCTAAACCTCTTTCGACACATTCCGATCCATGTCCCCTTCATTCAGCCTGGCAAGGACCAGCTCAGGCCGATGTTTCCTAACATCAAACGTAGTGAAACAATTCCGTGGCTCTAAAGTCTTATTCGCATCACAGAATGCATCGACTGGGAAAAGCCAAAAGCCAAAAGCCGGTCTGACAGTCATGCTGATGTCTTCATCCCGAGATTCTGGGGTTTCCGAAGCTGCAACGCTCTCTATCTGTGATTCTTGAGAAGGCCACGTACTTCCAGTCTTTGGTACCCATCCATTTTCCTCCCATTGCAACCAATCCTCGGCATCCCTAAGGTCACAGATCGTTCGACGGGGATTGAAGGCAAGTAAAAGACGGTACCGTTCTTCACACGGTCTTACTTCTATTGTTTCCAGAACTTGAAGCCATGAGCCATACAAAAGCTTGGGATTGCGGATGTGAAGATGGCTTAGATCATTTTCGACAGTGCGAGGATCAAGCCCAATACGATCGAAGTTGTGTGCCGTAGCGTGAATGGGTAATGACCTTTCGAAGAACGTCTTGCGGATTGTCGGCCATTCATCTTCGCCGCCAATCATCTGCCGAAGAGATACCTGGATAGAAATCAACCAAACTTCATCAAGCCCACTGATGACTTCCTTGAAGATCTTCATCTTAGAGGATTTGATTTCGGATGGCCTGATCGCGTTAAGGCCGTGTACGCGCCCCCCTAACTGATTGCGACAGAGTGCAAGGTTTCTGATCCCGATCTTACGTGGATCATGCTTCGTCTTCAAGTCGCAGACAAAATCAACTATCGCCATCGTGTCTTGCTCTATATGAAGAAAGTCATATTCAGGGTTGATATATATCGTTCCAGAAGTCCAAGGGGTGATGCGATACTTGGATACTTCGTCCGTCAACCAACAGGGCAGATGAACCCTTTGAAAAGAAAGCGTTACCTCTCTAGATTCTGCATTGACTCTGAGAAGTTTGCTAAGGAGTCGGTGGCCGGCGACGACGGGATAGTAGGGAGAACCATTCTCCCGGGGTTCTCGGGGAGGAAACTGAATGTCATTCCTATTACGGTTTGCAAAAAAGCTGGCGCGCGATCGGAGAAAGATCTTAATGATTCTGTGATGTCGGAGAGACCATGTCCATATCGAGACCCGTATCTCTGCTGGGAGTAAGGGGAACTGAGTGAATGAGGATGGCCCTGCAACATTAGGCCCAGGGTGGTTGAAAATCTCTGAATGACTCTGAGACATTTTATGATATGTATAAGATATTGCTTTTTGAAAGGAACGACGTGTTAGAGCATGTTGCGAGTGGAGTATGTTGAAAGTCGTAAGATTGTTGACAGTCCTTCATGCTGACGGCCGGACAAGGGTTCCGCGGGAAACCCTTGGGCCGTGGCGCAGCCAAGCACGGATGACAGCAGCGGCTAAGCGTTTCCTACCAATCATAATTATGCTCGTATAATTGGTCTAGATTAGCTAGTCCTAGGCATGTACGGAGTCGGCAGGGGTATGCGGCCAGCGCTGAAGGGAAGATGGTTTCTTGAAGACATGATGGTCAAATTGATCAACAGCTTAAAATTCATCAGAAATTCGATGTATAATCTATCATAACATGGTATAAAACATTTCGCTTCGTCAAAGATAATCACGACCTAAAGCACCCCAACCTCTAGCCCTCCCTCTCACAAGCCCCATATCATCCATGTTGAGGATTCCGATACCATTGTCTATCAACACCCTCCATGCGATATCCCTCACATTCGGTGGTTTTGAAGGAGTATCCCAGTACCGTGCCAACAGGCCACGAGCTTTGGCTTGCTCAATCTGCGTCAACGCCTTGTCAAGTTCTCTTGATGGCGGTGTATCCAGTACGCGCTGGAAGTTTGATCTGTAGAGAATAGCGTTCTGGAATCGTGTTGATGCAAAGTATGAGTTGGAGCGGTTGAATTTATATGTGGGAGGGTTTGTTGAGAAGTCATCGTCCATTGAGACAAGACTCTCGAGCTTGGCGTCCCAGAAGATGTCGCGATGGGTAGAGTTCATGGCCAGAACCGACTCGAAGGGGGTGTTTCCGGTTCCGACTACGGTGAGAGGTCGGATGATTCTCTCTGTTCCGTTCCAGTATGTCAAATAGCCAAGGTCTCTCAAAGGCTGCAGCTCAGCATTTAAAGCATCAAATGTTTCTGGGCCAGCTGTTTTGAGATCAACGAGGAGCGTGACGGTTTGTTTGGGTGCCATTTCGAAAAAGCCTTGCCAGTCATCATCCTTCACTCCCATGTTCCGCGCTTCCAACATACGCTGGAGGGGCTTCAGATACAATCCTTGTAGCGTTCGGTGAGGATTCACGCTCAATCTCGAATGCGCAACAAAAAGATTGCCATGTCGTAGATGGACATCTGCTTCGATGCTGATACACCCAGAGCCGAGGGCTTCAAACAGCGGGATATGCCGTGTGTAGTCATTGTGCGAGTGGATCGGTACAGGACGAGCGCTTCGGAGGAATGATTGATGATTATCGTCCCAAATTTCAGGACTGTCGTGACTGAGGTGACCGAATCGTAAATCGTAGGGATCGTTTGGTATACGGACCATTCCCGTGCCGAGGCGGGTGATGTAGATTAATTGGCTGATGGACCTGCAGACCATGAGTAAAGACCCTGAAAATGCTTGGCGAATAAATAAATGACTTACAGTATGAGCAACAAACCCGTAGCATACTTGAGCCAATTGGTCCTCATATGTCGCACAAAAATAACCCTGGGAGGATGTCTCCTCACGATAATCTCCTCCGACGAACTCGCATCATTGTAAGGAAGCCTCGACTCCATGATATATCCCTCGAACGCAGTGTCTACAGTCTCTCAAATCCGAGGAACGAAAAAGAGGGGTCTAACGGGGTAATAATTATAACCACCAACAGCGCTACCGAGCGAGTCTCAAGGGATTTCTGAAGTGGCTAGGCATATTTCCTCGGGTGCTACCCGACGAGGTTAGGGCCAGTGGAGAGGTTTACGCTTCCACCAATAGAAGCGATCAAGATTGGTCGAGACACGTTCTGGACCTGACCTTAGAACGCCGCGGGTTTTTCCATGTCACGATAGTGCCCTTTTGGCGCTACCGTTATACGACTGCGCCTTTTGGAGAAGCGTAAGCACGGCACGGTTTATGTGACGGGATAGGGGCCATGGAGGTGGTTGGTCGTTGGTGATTGAGTTTGGGACGCGTCAACGGTGCTGGAAGGATTCGAGGCAACAGAATAACATCAGGAGGTTTTGGAAAAGGTACCTGAGCCTCAGCTGAGACAGCGTGGTTTAAACGAGTATTCTCGGAGGTTTCTGTTTCAAGCTGCTCACACTAGATACGTTAGGATCATGTTTTTGTTGGTGCAGCTCCCGGGAATTCGGCACAACGCCCTCGACGTTGGAACTTTGACCTCCGACTCGGACCCTTGCATCGCACTCACGGAGCGCCAGTTTTCCGTCGGCAATTGGGCTTGTACGTCATCTCTCTGAGTACTTATATTTGACGTTTAACTTTCAGTAACAGTAATACAAAGTTTCTCCCGTCGTCATGGAAGAAGAAATGGTTCTTCTTCTTCGTCTGGATGATCTTGCAGGGCTGTACAGAGTACAGGCTCGTAAATCGCTAAGTTCACCCAAGTGGGGCGACCCATGTAGCACATCATGGCTGTCACGTCCGTCGATTTATTTATACGAAAGCTTATTAGAGATTGGTCCGCCCGCGGAATGCGTCGTGTCAATCTGTGAGAGGGATGCTTGGGAAAAGACTTCGCAGCTACGTCATCTCTGATATGCAACGCTGTGATGTAATTTTACGCGTCTCTCACTCTCGTTCGTTCATTTCCTGTTTCATTCTAGCTAGTTTGAGCCGCTGCTTTAAGTCATGCTAACTCTGCCTGTCAAGTGATATATTTTGGAAGTCGACACTTGGATATAATAGCAAGATAAACAAAGTAAAGCCGGGTTTTTTCATTTGAACAAGAGAAGATGGTATGCTTGCTGGAGAGCACTCGACGTGCGATCAGTATCAAATGTGAGCATCACAGGAAAAGCTAGGAGCATTGTAAACAGACATAAAGTTGAAAGTATCAGATTCCAGTTGAGATGTACCATTAAATTATTTTATGTGATTATACATTTCTCACCAAGTACTGTTCTGGCTTCACTGTATGAGATCAGCTCTGATGTTGTTTCTGAGCAGAGCATGAAACTTTGACTTACCCTGTAGAGGTGCTCTTACGGCGAAATCAGGGGCAAGGCCGATGGGTTCTAGACTCCACGGAAATTAGTTTCTCCATGTCTTGCGTGATAGTCTAGAACAGCAAAAATATCTCAGGCGTTAAACGGACTCATGCAGAGTGCTGAGCTAGAGAGTCATGGCCGGATCACCTGCCATTTGCTGTCACGAGTAAGTCGGAGCAAACCCCATGTATCATCTGGAGTACCCCGGACCGGACCCCATCCCATGCAGAACCTCGGCCTGTTATCTTATCTGATCGGATCAGGAAGAATAAAGATGCGAAATCTCCGTCGGAGTTTATCCATCTTTTGGGAGACAGGACAGCGGCACAGTTGAAGCGCAGGAGTGTCAGAAATTGCAAGAAAATAGTTACAGACAGTCTTATACGATCAATATCATAAAAATGTATTATAACAACATATCATGACTTCTCTCATCACGTATCAGCCACCGACATACCGAGGTACCCTCTAATGGCGTCGTCGTCATGATCCACTTTTTAAAAGAGCCGAGGTATCCAAGTCTTAGCCTCATCGATTTTCCGACATCGCTTGGACCGAGCGACGCCCCATAAAGTTCAAACTCCCCTTAATCTGACCATTCCATCATCAACCTTTCTCCTCCCTCATCAAAACCCGGGGTAAACTACATCCACAACAACAATGCCTCCGCAAAATCCAGACTGGGTCAAGGCCCTCAAACCCTCCGGCCCCCAAGGTTCAGAGCTTCTGGCCCAAGAACGCGCCAACTCTGACATCAACGTTGACCAGCTCTCTACTTTTCTCTTCACAAAGGAAGTCCTCGAGAGGAATGACAAGATTCTCAAGATTCTGCAGGCTGATCCTGTTTTTGACAAGGAGCAGAACTACTTTAGGGGTCGAACAGATAGACTTGAGGCTGCGCTTGCTAGAGCTAAGGCTTTGAGGAGATTATCTGTCAAGCACAACTGGAATGAAGAGGAGCATCACGCTGCCAATGATTTGATCAGCGAGCCTACGCCTTATGGTCTTCATGCAACTATGTTCTTGAAGACGCTTGAGGAGCAGGGTACACCGGCGCAGCATAAGCTTTTCCTGGAGAGAGCGAGAAACTATGAGATCATCGGATGCTATGCTCAGACTGAACTGGGTCACGGCTCTAATGTTCGTGGTCTGGAGACCACTGCTACTTGGAACCACGAGGACAAGACTTTTACTATTCACTCGCCTCACCTCACAGCTTCAAAGTGGTGGATTGGTTCTTTGGGCAAGGCTGCCAACCACGCTGTGGTCGTCGCGCAGCTTATCCTCAACGGCAAGCCCTACGGTCCTCATCCCTTTGTCGTCCCCATTCGCGACATGAAGACCCATGAGCCTCTTCCCGATATCCACGTTGGCGACATCGGTCCCAAGTTCGGTTACAACACCATGGATAACGGCTTCCTGCTCTTCAACAACGTCAAGATTCCCCACGTCAACATGCTGAACCGCTTCTCCGGCGTTGACCCCGAGACCGGAAAGTACATCCGTCCTTCGAACCCAGCTCTCATCTACGGAACTTTGACTTTCATCCGATCATCCATCGTTTTCCAGTCTGGTTCCGTTCTTGCTCGTGGTGTCACGATCGCTACACGATACTGCGCTGTTCGCCGGCAGTTCCAGGACCGTGATGCCGATGCTAGTGAGACTGGTGAGAACCAGGTTCTTAACTACACAATGGTTCAGCACCGTCTTCTACCCCTTCTCGCTTCTTCATATGCGCTTTTCTTCACTGGCCGCGCTATGATTAACCTCTACAACGCCAACCAGAAGCGCATGGCTCAACGCCGCGATGCTGGCGACGCTAACCGCAAGCCTGGTCCTGAGGAGCTCAGCCCTGGCAGTGATCACCTTGCTGATCTGCACGCCATCTCCTGCTCCCTCAAGGCCTTTGCCTCAACCACCGCTGCTGAGGGTCTGGAAGTCTGCCGTCGCGCTTGTGGTGGTCACGGTTACTCTGCTTTCTCCGGCATTGGCAGCTGGTACGCTGATTATCTTCCTACTGTCACATGGGAGGGTGACAACTATATGCTGACCCAGCAAGTCGCTCGATACCTCCTCAAGTCTGCCCGCGCTGTTCTTGCTGGCAAGGCTCCTGACAACGGCATCTCCCGTATCTTCAAGGAGTTTATTCGCCGACAGGACATCGGTGCTGCTTTCGACGTTCTCGACAGCGACCAAGATCTCGTTGATGCTTTCGCATGGCGCGTGTCATTCCTGACCTTCGAGGCTCTCAAGCATCGTGATGAGGAGAAGCAATCCTGGAACAGTCTCCTCATCGACTTCTGGCGTCTGTCCACCGCATACGCCCAGTACCAAGTCGTCAAGAACTTCCACGAAGCTCTCCAAGACGAAGCCACCAAGAAGTCCCTCGACCCCAACACCCTCGCCATCATGCACAAGCTCTTCGAGCTCTTCGCTCTGCATAACCTCCAGAGCTCCGCCTCTGAGTTCTTCACCAGCGCCGCCACAACAGTTCGCCAAATCCAGCTCGCCCGCACAAAGCGAACTCTCTCCCTACTCGATGAGATCCGACCTCACGCCGTCAGACTCGTTGATGCCTGGTCGTTCCCTGACTGGCAACTTGACAGTGCCCTTGGTCGCTATGACGGCAAGGTTTATGAGGACTTGTTCCATCGTGCTTCGGAGGTCAACCCTGTTAACGACATTGTGTTTGATCCTTATCCCGAGTCCGATGTACTGTTCCGTAAGAACGGCAGTGGTCCTAAGGCGAAGTTGTAAGAGAGAGCGCTTGATACCTGTACTCTAAAATGGTGTTACCTAGTCTTTTGTATTGTTATTTATATAGACAGAGGAATATTAGCCTTCTTATGCTTATTTAGATCCTTGTTGGTCTATGGAACTCTTGTCTTATTCGTGTAAGAGGACTCGGCGATGATCTCCGTGGATATTTCCGTAGAATCAGTCTGAAGGGCTGCCAGCTTGCTGTCCGCGGAGCTGAGCCTTTACACGACCATGATAGATCGGCCAATCAAATGTGCAATGTATTTCCTATACTAGGACTTAAGACTTGTATAAAACCGTCCCTGTTTGTTCAAAGGGGCTGGTCTTGTACCTCATATTGAGCCAAGGAACATGTGGACTGCTCTATCGGGCAACAGTATTAACGTTAACCTTGTCCCCAACTCTACGACTATTCGAGACGCTGGTATAACGTGCTTATCTATGGCTTCCGAAACTATGGCAGAAGCGGTTGACACTATGAATCTTACGATGTCATTGGCGCTCACAAGGATACCAAGGACACGATCATCACCTTACTCGCAAGACACATGGGTGGTAGCATTGATTTCTTCGCTATGGGCAAACATCCCTACGAACTCAATGATACCCGAGTCCCGAGCTGTATTCTTTCTCAGTCAACAAGAGCAGCCGAGTAACGTCATTCTGTATCATTGCTCTATCACTCCGGTATCTCATCCTTGTATAGCTAACCATATAAATCTACTGTACAAAGCTCATAGGTTGAGGAACAGCTTCCAGATTCAACAGAAATTTCTCTATTAACGAGAGTGATGACTTTGCTGCGTCTTGCTTAAAACTCGACACTTTATTTATGGCTTTCTTATCTATCAACTCAACATAGTAGCTAGTTATGCCTTATCAAGCTTAGATTCGGCTAGTACGGGATGATATGGCAATTCTGACTGGTTCGTTGCCACCGCATTTACACAGCAGCAGAAATGCTACTAATTATAGCACGAATGAGCTCCAGGCAACTCTGCTCCCAACATCTTTTATGCAACGTCATCCTTCAGACCTCGGACCAAATCATCGACTCCTCGCTTCTCAACTTCGTCAACCTGGAGCAACTGCAGCACAATGGCCACCGAAAGACAGCCTGAGATTATCTTGTATGATCTTGCATGTATCAAGAACATATGCTTCTCGCCCGTCGTTTGGAAGATCCGCTTGATGCTCAACTACAAGTGCATTCCTTACAAGACCATATTCCTTGAATTCCCCGATATTGAGCCAAAGCTCAAAGAGCTGTAAGTTATCGGATGATTGAATCAATGCACTTAATGGTTCGCTTCTATGACGAGCTGACAAGCGAAAACCAGCGGCCTGGAGCCTCATGACTCTAGCTCTGGCTCCGCTCGTTACACTGTCCCAACAATCCACCATGTCCCCACCGGCAAATACATCATGGACTCACCCGCCATCGCCGAATTTCTCGAATCGACCTATCCAAACCCTCCAATCCTTCTGAGCTCTGAGCTCGGTCGCGAGAAAAGCAACCAGAGCCCGCAGTGCCGTCGGCCCCGCATTCCGCATCTCCGTCACGCCACGCGAGAACCTCATCCTGTCGCCACGAGCTCAAGAGTATTTTCGAGCCAAGAATGAAGCTCGAATGGGATGCAAGCTGGAAGACTTGATGAATACAGAGAAAGAGAAGAAGACATGGCAAGCTGTTGCGGACAAGATGAGCGAGCTGAGTGATTTGATGCTGACGAACAAGGACAAAGGGCCCTTCTTGCTTGGTGAGAAGCCGAGCTACACTGATTTCTTCATTGCTGCTTCGCTCCAATCGGCAAGAACTATTGATGAGGAGATCTTCCAGCGTTGTGCTGCATATCCTGGCTTCAAGGCAATCTACGATGGTTGCATTCCTTGGATGGAGACAAAGAATTAGGTCAAGGAGTAGTTTGACCTTATGGTATTGACCTAGTAATATCTACCTAGTAGTATATAGGTCGTAGTATTTAGGTAGGATAGTTATAGACTCAGCTCCTCCTATTTACTCTACTTAAACAGGTGTTTATTCACTGGTGTAACGGCATCCCTGCCCTCCAGAACTGCCATAACATTCTCCATAGCCAACCTCTCAAACCCAATCGACGTATCAAGCGCACCACCAGCAGTATGACACGTCAAAGACGCATTCCTCATCTTCTGCAACCTCGGATTCGGCCTCGGTTCATCCTCAAAAACGTCCAATCCCACTGCAAACAAATGTCCAGAATCCATAGCGTCAGCCACAGCTTCTTCGTCCACCAGACTCCCGCGCGCAACATTCACCAGCCGTGATCCTTTTTTCATCTTGGATATCTCTGCACATCCGAGGATCTTCTTCCCGCCTGCCCCGGGAGCAGCTATGACGATGCAGTCGGCGATGGCGAGCATGTCTTCGAGCTTTGGGTAGTTTGTTGCTTCGATGGCTGCTTCTTGCTCTGGGGATTTAGGAAACGGATCGTAGTATGCAATGCGCATTCCAAGAGCCTTGTAAGTCTTGAGGGCAATCTGATAACCAATGTTGCCGAGACCAATAATCCCTAGAATGTGGCCACGAGGGTTGAATGCCGTAAGTTGCGTGTGAGCATGTGCATCTAGAAATTCCTCTTCGCTGCCTCTGGCAGCCATATTGCTCCACTGCATATTCCTAAACACAGAAATGATATGGTAAAGCGCCATGTCAGAAACAGCTTCCGTCGAAGCAGCTGCTCCGTTGCAATAAAGGATACCGTTCTCGGCCATGATATCAACGTCAGCCCAGTCATACCCAGCGCCGGCTGATGCGTAGACCTTCATGGACTTGGGCAAGAGTGGAATTAGCTCTTTGTCCCAGCGTCCCATTTCCCCGCCTGTGATCCAAAAGGGTCGCATGACAGCTTGGAAATCGCCCCATTTCTTTTGGCGAAGAGCAGCGAGAAAGGGACCGCGTTGGCGTTCTTCCGCTGAGGGGCGGATGACAGTAAACTTTGACTCGAGCTGTTTGTAGAGATCGTGGTTGTACTTGATTGGGTCTCCAATGTGGAGGATTATAGGTTTGTCGGCTGAAGGCATGATGGGAGCTGAAGAGATAATATCTGAAGGTTGGGATATGATGCTAAAGAGATTCCCTTAACGCTTTTGTCAAGAAGGTATATAAACGACACCAGCACAAGAGCGTAATATTGATCTGTGGATCGACATCGATCTTCGCTCCGAGCTCTCCATGTTCCCCGCGTCTTCCTTCCCACTATCTCCTCCCATGCAGGTCGGATGTCGCCATTACTACCTGACTATCACCAATACAACGCGTTCATCTCGTCGGCTCGGCTACACACAACAAACGTCCCTTCTAGCGCATCCAACTCATCGGATAACGGCTCGGAATGTTGTTGGATTGGTTCGAGTTGAAGATCTACATGATTCATGGGGTTACGTTGCATGGTTCTTTTCCCCGCTCGTACTGGTTTCCCCAGACTATCTCCCCCATACCCCAGGTTCTGGCCGTAGGAATCTCGGCAAGAAATGCGATGGCTCGCCTGGGTAGATTCATCGTGTTGATAAATAAGCTTGAAAATGCTCTCGATTTCGCTGCTTGATTAGTGTAATCTTGTGATCAACTTATCAACGAAATTATCTGTCATCATGGCTGATATCAAAGAGACAGGCGAGGAACTCCATCTGGAGACTCTTGGTGGAGAGACAGCCAATATCGAGAATCGCGACATCAAGGAAAAAGCCCTCGTTCGAAGAATCGACAAGCGAATGATGCCACTAATGATGCTTCTCTGTAAGTACTGACTCCCTTGATTTTATCAGGAAGAGCTAACATATTCTTCAAAGATATCCTCAATTACCTCGACAGAAATAACATCGCTACCGCCCGCCTCGGTAATTTCGAAGCAGACATCGGTCTTGTGGCCGAGCAATACAACACCGTCATCAGTATCTTTTTCGTGGGTTACATCCTGACTCAGGTACCCACTAACATGATCCTAAACAAGATGCGACCGTCGATCTTTTTGGTATGTTTCCGAGTCAAAGGCTTGGTCGGTACGATGCTAACTTGGATTCGTAGCCTTGTATCATGGTCTGTTGGGCAACTGTTAGTGCTTGCACGGGTGCTGTGCAGAGCTATCATGGAATGATTGCATTGAGATTCATCCTTGGATTTGTTGAAGCACCGTTCTTTCGTAAGTTGATCAATCGCTTTGGTGACGTGTATTTAATTGACTTGAATAGCTGGAGCGCTGTTCCTGTTTAGTTCATGGTATACTAAAAAAGAACTCGCGGTTCGCATCTCGGTTCTGTATGCAGCTGGTCAAATGGCTGGTGCCTTTGGCGGTCTTCTAGGAAGTGCCATAATGGCTGGTATGGACGGCAAAGCTGGCTTAGCCAACTGGCGATGGCTCTGTATGCCCCTCTTCCTAATATTATATGTCCCGACTAACAAGCGTCTAGTCATCATCGAAGGCTGTGCCACTTATCCCGCAGCCATCGTGACATACTTCGTCGTTCCAGATTACCCAGCAACGACAGCCTGGCTCAGCGATGAAGAACGCCGCATTGCAGTCCTACGTATGGCTGAAGATGCCAGTAAGGAAGATGACCGAGCCGATGTATCAGCTTGGGAGGGTGCTAGAATGGCCTTCACTGATCCTGCTCTTTACATGATATGGATCATGCAGCTTGGTCTCAACACGGCGGCAGCCTTTACGAATTTCTTCCCTACTATTGTCAAGACTCTGGGCTACAGCTCGACTATCACTTTGCTGCTCTCTGCGCCACCGTATGTATTTGCTGCGGCCCTGGGAATCACCAACTCTTGGCATAGCGATCGCGTGAATGAGCGATGGCTACATGTTGTTTGGCCGCAGATATTCTGCAGTATCGGGTTCATCATCTCAGCTGTGACTCTCAACATGGCTGCTCGATACATCTCGACATTCGTGATGATGTCAGTCTACGGATCCTTTGGTTGCATCTTGTCTTGGGTATCTTCGTCTTTACCGCGTCCATCGACAAAGCGCGCTATCTCATACGCTGTTGTTAACGCTGGATCTAATCTCGCATCTATCTACGCATCTTATTTCTATCCTTCATCTCAAGGTCCGCGATATTGGCAAGCAAACGTCGCAAACGTAGCATTCAGTGGCCTTTGCATTGCTATGGCAACTATTCTCAGATTTTTCCTTGCTCGGAGAAACAAGAAGCTGGAGAAGGCCAGAGAGCATGATCTTCAGCATGAGGGTACTCTGAGTGGCAGTGAAACAAGGCTGCTTGTTGAGAAGTGGCAGTGCGGAACTGAGTATGTCTTTACACTGTAGATGGGCTAACGTCGATTAAGTATAAAACAATTTATAGAAAACCACAAAAGACATTCTGTTATGTGATAAGACCTGAGATAATTATCAACCCCCCAATCGTTATGGACTTTCTTGGTGCTACAGATAAGAACTAAAGAGTATCAACCCTCTTTTATTACCTTACTCAGTGCACTGGAATGTTCCACCCTGACTTGGGCCATTCTGCTGCAACCTTGCACAATTGAAACACGAACTGTCTTTGGCCACAGCATCCTTACACAAATTATAGAATAAGTTTCCGTCGATCTTACCAAAAATACTTTGTAGCTACCACAATATTAGAAGACTGTCAGTATTCAAATTTAGTTACGCACAAAAAGTCCTTGAAATCTTGGCCCAGGGCCTCTGTCACGTCTAAGCCAGGGTTCTTTAGATGTCGCGTCATAACTCGCCGGACCTGCCACAAACAGTTAAACACTATAGCACATAACGAAGAGACTTCTGGAACTGACCGTAGACAAAGCTGTAAGAGTCACCGCACGACTTAGCAACGAGCGATGTTTTAGTATCATCGAGAGCCCCGTCAGTTTTCGTCTGGCAGGCGCAGTAGTCATAACTAGCCGCAGCGGCAAGTGATCTGATTTATATACATAAGCAGGAAATCTTTCAGCTTAGTTTAGAGCATTACTTACAAAAAACAGCTGATAGCCAGTGCCAATTCCTTTGTAGGTAGCATCATGATGGTTGGTTGAACGAAGTTGGCTTTGTAGTTATTTGTGAGTTGCAAGTGAGGATGAAGTTATTCTAAAGAAAGATCTGGGGCTCACATGGATATAAATACTTTAGTTATAAGTAGACTACCGTCAACGTTCTGGAATAACAGGCTGAGTGTCAAGGACCGAAAAGATTTGTAATCGATAGTTTTTGCATTAAAGTAATACCCCTGTAAGGTTTATAATATGTATTTACTCGTATATGTGGCCTAAACTTAAACACATGCTATACGCGGACCGAGGAGAAGACATTTCCCCTGTGAGGCCGACAGTTACAAAGACAGATAGACAGATCATGTATAGTTTCGCGCTAAGGAAAGTAAAACACAAGTTCCAAGTGTGACCTGGGCCAACGTAGTATCAATTAGCCAATAATGCCAGGACAATTAGGTGCATGGGCATGCGCACTGACAGACTCGGAAACACAGAACTCCAAGCCAGCATCGGTGTAAATCACTGCCTCTTCTCGAAGCGTAGAAGCCATAAAGTTTAAGTTATTAAAATAAAAACCGCACATTATACCAGCGAAGCGTGAAACTTTGATAGCCAATGAGCAACTACCAGATGGTAGACAAGATATCCGAACCATCCGCGCCATGTGAAGTATATGTGAAATTAGAAATTGTCGGGAACAGGGCTAAAGACTGTATTCTCTGGCTCGATCTGAAGTTTTAAGTCTGGAAAATTATATAAACATCGCCTCATCCTCCTGCTAAAGACTTCCACAATTTTCTTGAGTACACAAAATTCTGAGTCAGTAATCAACATCAAATTCACCATTGTCCCCAGCCAATATGAGACCTGATCTTTATATTTTGTGGTTTGCCGCTGCATCTGTCCCTGTG